TATGAATATGTAAAACAAATCCCATCATTATGTGCAATCATAATGCACCACTATAAAATGTGGGGAAAAAAAAGAAATGTGTTGTTGGGGGAATTGGAGAGATGTCGTTCAGGGGATTCAAAATTCAGTTAGACTAGAAGAAAGATTCAAGAGCTGTATTATGTACCATATTGACTGTAGTTGATCATAATGTGTTGTATACTTGAATATTAATAAGAGAGTAGCAGTTTTTTTTTTAGTTAAAAAAATTTTTTAAATATCTTTATTTCATTTTTATGTGGTGCTGAGGATTGAACCCAGTGCCTCACATGTGCTAGGTGAGCACTCTACCACCGAGCCACAACCCCAGCCTCTTAAAAATTTTTTGTAATTGTAGATGGACAGAATGCCTTTATTTTTTATTTTTTAAAATATTTTTGTTTTTAGTTGTTGATGGGCCTTTATTTTTTATTTGTTTATATGTGGTGCTGAGGATTGAACTTGGTGCCTCACACATGCTAGGCAAGTGCTCTACCACTGAGCCACAACCCCAGCCCCCAGAATGCCTTTATTTTATTTATTTTTATGTAGTGCTGAGGATCAAACCCAGTGCCTCATGCATGCTAGGCAAGTTCTCTGCCTTTGAGCTATAGCCCCAGCCCAAGAGTAGCAATTTTTAAGTGTTCTCATTACACAAAAACAAGGTTATGCCTGTGTAAATTAGCTTGATTTAGCCATTCCACAACATATTTAAATACATTGTTTTGTATTCCATTTATATACGATTTGTATTTGTTGAACAGTTTAATTTTAGAATAAGAGGAATGTGTTAATCGGCAAATGTTTGGGGATTCTTTAGTTCCTTCTTTTGTTTTTTGAAGTACTGGGGATTGAATCCAGGAGCATTCTACCCTTGAGTCACAACCTCAGCCCTTTTTTATTTTGAGACAAGGTCTTACTAAGTTGCCCAGGCTAGCCTCAAACTTGTGATCTTCCTGCCTCAGCCTCCTCAGTCACTGGGATTGCAGGTGTCGCTCAGATTCTTTTTTCATTTATAGTGAAAAAACATAGTCATGTGCCACTTAATGATGGGTTTGTTCTATGAAATGCATCATTAGATGATTTTATCATTTTGCCAACATCTTAGAGTGTACATAAATGCAGTCAGTAGACATGGCAAACACATGAGGCTTCTGCCTATGAAACATGGCATGCTGATTTAATAAACTTTTTTTTATAAGTAGAAGAATATTGTAAAATAAAGATTAAAATTATAGTTTAATAATACAGGGCCAGTAATATGGTCATTTATTATCATTTATTATGGTCAATTATGTACTGCATATAATTGTGTGCACAATACTTTTATACAACTATGTTTGTTTACATTAGCCTCACCACAAACATATGAGTAATGATAAGACAGCTACAATTTGATGAGGTGATAGGAATTTTCCAGCTTTATTGTAATCTTATGGCACCACCATTGTATACTCAGTGTGTCATTGATCAAAATGGTTTTATGTGGTACATAATTGTTTGAATTGGCTAGTTGGACACATGTGACTTCAGTTTTTTTTTTTTTTTTTTGACAGCATCATAGTCAGGAGTCAGTAGAACATATGTCTTTTTCTTTCCATCAGACCTGATTAGGGTGTTGGCTTTGGCCATTTTGATTTTGTAAAGCATATTCACTGTTTAATCTGGTGCTTGTTGATGTTGGTATCCACAAAGAACACAAGTATATTATTGTCTCCTTTGTCCAGTTAGTTAGGAGGATGTTGATGAAGGCATAATAGTCAAGATTGTTTCTTCTGGGGGCATTCTTCCAAGGATAATTGGGCTATCTTTGGGCTACATTGGCTTCTGATACCAAAAGTAGGTGACATGGATATTCTTTTTTTGTTGTTCAATTTTTTATCTTTTTAGGTGTCAATGGATCTTTTATTTTATTGATTTATATGTGATGCTGAGGATCAAACCCATGTCCTCACACATGCCAGGCAAGCTCTGTACCACTGAGCCACAGCTCCAGCCCAGATATATTTTTGTGTGTGACTATAGACCTTTTACCACCTCTTCCTTGACCTTTGGTTAGCTCGGGTTTTAGGAGGAATTAAGATTTTCTTCACTTGTGCTATCTTCATGAAAAAGGTCTCCAGATATTTTTATTTCATTACTTTATAATTCTATTATGGTAAGAGAACATTAGGCTTTATTTTCATGGCCCATTTTTTATAATGAAATATTCCTTTCTACCTATGGTATTACTCCTTGCGTGTATTGTTAGATAGTAATATAGCCACCCCAGCAGTGTTGTGATTCAGATTGTATGGTATATCATTTTTGCATTATTTATATCTGTTACCTTCCTTGTATGTTCATTGTGGCTGAAAGGAACTCTGTCATCCTCTAGTTCTGTACTAAATCAGAAAAATTATTCAGTCTAAGCTTTTCTGTAGTTGTTTGCCTGTCTTGTGGAATTTCACACTATCGTGAGGTTTAATATTTTGATACAAAACAAGTCCTATGCATATTTTTGGATTACTTTGTGTGGCTTTCTCCATTTAATACCCTGCTTTACAAATTCCAGTTGTGTAGACCTACCAATTGTTGACATCTGGCTCCAAACCTCAGAAAATAGTCATGTTCTTTTTGGGTTCCCCCTTTCTGTGTAATACCCCAGAAAGTGTCTTTGAACAGAAATCTCAGGTGAGTCTTGGGCTTGTTTGTTTTCCTTATTTTGTGTATCACAGTTCTCTGTCTTTCTGGAATCTATTTTGTCCTTTTTTCTAGTTTTTTGTTTTAAAATTTTGTTTGTTTAAGCAGGAAGTCATGTGTAGTGCTGATTATTCTGACATAGCTGAAATGACTTAATTTTTAAGTTACAAATTTCTATCGATACATTTTACTTCAAAGCTTTCTTTTTGGTAGTGTTGTGTATAAAATTGAAAGTAATTCTGTCATGATCTTTTCTAAGTGTGCAGTGATGTATGCAAAACAATATTCATTACAAAATTATGAAAAGAAAGGGGTATAGTGTAATACTTTATCAGTAAAGAATGGTTAAGTAAGTGTACATCATTATAGTATTATGTGTTGTATGATCAAAAATGAATAAGGTAGATTTATTTACCTGTTAAGATGTAGTAATTCCGGGGCTGGGGTTGTAGCTCAATGGTAGAGCACTTGCCTGGCATGTGTGAGGCCCTGGGTTTGATCCTCAGCACCACATAAAGATAAATACATAAAATAAAGGTATTGTATCCCTCTACAATGGGGGGGGTGGGGGGGCAGGGGGAAAGGGGGAAGGGGGAGGGGGAAGGGAGAGGGGGAGGGAGGGAGGTGTGTGTAATAATACTCATTTGTAAAAAACATAAAGCATGCTACAGGACTCCATACCTGTGAATTTCACATCTTTAGATTGAACCACGGTTTAAAAATAATCAGAAAAAATTGCATCTATACAGAACATGTACAGATATTTTTCTTATCATTCCCAAAGAATACAACATAATGGGCTAGGGTTGTAGCTCAGTGGTAGAGCTCTTATCTAGCAAGTGTGAGGCACTGGGTTTGATCCTCAGTGACACATAGAAATAAATTAATTATTTAAATAAAGGTATTGTAGCTATCTAGAACTAAAAGAAAATTGTAAAAAAGAATATAGGGCTGGCAGAGCACATTCCTAGCATGTGTGAGGCACTGTGTTTGATCCTTAGCATTACAAACAAAATGAATGAATAAAAAATACAACATTAAGAACTATTTTTTTAAAATTATTTTAGTTGTAGATGGACACAATATCTTTATTTTTATTTGTTTATTTTTATGTGGTACTGGGGATCGAACCCAGGGTTTCATGCATGCAAGGCAAGCACTCTACCACTGAGCTACAATCCCAGCCCAACATTAAGAACTATTTGTATGACATTCATTTACATTGTATTATAAATAATCTAGAGATTACAAAAGTATACAGGAGGATGTGCATAGGTTATATGCTATTTTATATATAGGAGTTGAACATCCTTGGATTTTGGTATTCTGGACAAATCACCCACAATATTGAGAGAAGACTGTATATACTTTCTTTTCTCTTTCTCCTTCCTTCCTTCCTCCCTCCCTCCCTCCCTCCCTCCCCTCCCTCCCTTCCTTCCTTCCTTTTTCTATCCTTCTTTTTTATTTTTGAACTCAGGGTGCTTTACCATGGAGCTACATTGCTATCCCTTTTTATTTTTTATTTTGAGACAGTCTCACTGTGTTGTTCAGGAGACTGTCTCAAAATAAACTTAAACTTGGGCTTAAACTTGAGATCCTCCTTTCTCAGCCTTAGCTAGGATTATATAGGTGTGCACCATTATGCCCAGTGCTTTTTCTTTTTTCTTTTTTTTTAAAGGTAGGAACAGGTCAGAGGGAGACATATTTTTCCTTGTCAGCATTTTTATGCTGTTTTAGTTTTTTTTGTCACCTGTATTTGTAATATTTTAAAAATAATAAAATAATGTATGACGTTAAAAGAAAAGTTACTATTGGTACTAGAATTTTAGAATACTGGCCCTGGAGTGGACCCCAGAAATGTTTTATTTAACTCTTTCATTTTATAATTGACTAATTAAAGTGACTTAGACTAATAAGAGAAAGGAGTAGCCGTAAAAAAAAGTCTTAATTTTATGTTAGGTTTGGGTTAATGTCTAACTCTGTTACTTAGTAGCCATGTTATTTCAGGCAAGATATTAACTTCTCACCTTCTGTTTGCTCATGTATAAAGGGGGCAAGATATCTTTATAGGGAATATTGTGGGAATTAAATGAGATATCATAGATACAGTACCTAAAATGCTATCTGAACAATGGTTTCTGTTTTCCTTTCCTATTGCAAAATGCTTATCAATCTTAACATTTGATACTATTTAGACTTTTCACAAATAGCTCTTCATGTTTTAATTTCCCACATTCCTTAGAGATGAATCATGTTGTGAAAGAAAAATTTTACTTATTTGTTTATTTGTGTATTCACAGAATGTTTTCAGGAAAGTGAACATCTCAAGGAAAGTCTTAAGTGTTGCTTATTGCATCTCTTTGGAGCCATTGTAGCCGGTGGGCAGGTGAGGACAGTGTTGAAAGTTAATATATAAATAATAGTTAACAATGCAAAAAGCTTTCCATGGATTGTTTAATGTATTCTTTGTCTTTTTATGACTTCATGAATACAAATATTTTTGAGTTTATATCTTGTTTAAAGCTAAACTTATGGGCTGGGGATGTGGCTCAAGCAGTAGTGTGCCCGTCTGGCATGCATGCAGCCCAGGTTCGATCCTCAGCACCACATACAAACAAAGATGTTGTGTCCGGCGATAAATAAATATTAAAAAAAAAAAGCTAAACTTATTTCTTTTGATTATTATCTTCCAAAAAACCTAAATAATAATATTAGCACTAACAATAAAATTACTGGGTAAATAAACAAATTTAACAGTTTTTGGTATTGTAAGTTCATATTTGTGTTGCCTTTCAGTGACTAGTTATTACCATAGAGTATAGAGGAAGTTAGTCCTATTAGTCAATTTGATGAAATCAAATTCTAGCAGTTTGGTTTCCAAAGAAAGAATTTTTAAATTTATAATTATTAAATGCATGCATACACTTTTTAGTCATGTTTCAACAAGCCTAACTTGTTTTTTTATTACTTTACAAAAAAAATTCTCGTAAAGTTTCTTTTCTTTTTTATATTTTGTTAGTTGTAGATGGACATAATACCTTTATTTTTTTATTTTATGTGGTGATGAGAATTGAACAGAGTGCTTCAAACATGTGAGATGAGCACTTTACAGCCACAGCCCCAGCCCTAGTAATTTTTCTTTTCTAAGTTAAGCATTTTAAAAGCTATCTCTGCTAAATTTTTAGCATAACTACTAATTGACAGCAGGATTATAATTCAGAAAGAACTTTATGTTTTCTTTCTTTTTTTTTTAAAGGGGGGGAGAATTTTTTTAAATATTTATTTTTTAGTTTTTGATGGACACAACATCTTTATTTTATTTGTATGTGGTGCTGAGCATCCTAGTGCCCCGCACATGCCAGGCGAGCGCGTTACTGCTTGAGCCACATCCCCAGCCCAATGTTTTCTTAAATCATACACTTTAGATCAGAGGTTTTTAACTTTTTGTTCTTTTTGTATAACATCCCTGTTTGGCAGTTTGACAAGGGCCCTTGTCAGAACTTTTTAAATGCCTGAAGTAAAGTACGTAAGATCACAAAAGAAACCAGTTATACTGAAATATGGTTACTAAAATCTTAATGAGACAAATATGTGACTTAATGTGTGCTGTTTATAACATGATATAAAAAGATTTCGCTGTGATCTGTACATGGCGGCTCACACCTATAGTTCCAGCTACCTGAAAGGTTGAGGCATGAGGATCCCTTGAGCCTAGGAGTTAGAGACCAACCTGGGCAATTTGGGAAGATCTCATCTCAATCAATCAATCAGTAGCAATAAATCTAATAACTAATATAATTTCAAAGAAGAGATGAATGTAAGTGCTGTTTTGAGATGCCGCAATAATTATATGAAAAAACATGATTTTTATCAGTGACAAAAATCACAAGTATTACTTATTACACAATTGTGCTTTGTAGCTGAGTTTTAAATCTGAAGAAAATTTAAATTTTAGTCAGATTAATGGAAATAAAGATATAATTGTTTGTATCCAAGTTTATAGATCCCTTGAATTCTCTTTTTTTCCTCAGATTAAAAGTCCTATCTTCCTTTTTTTAATTATTAGCTTTTTATTTTCACATGAAATTTTTTTACAACATTTTCTTTATATTATGTACAATTACATATTTAAATTATAATTTTATTAAACAACCCATTTTTATAAAAACTTAATTAAAATTTGTTTAAAGATCTATCAGTAATACTGTAGGTTTATTACCTTATCATCATGGGCATTAGGAAGAAATTCTTTGTATGCTGAGGAAGCCTTCGTGAAGATTTAGATATTTATTTGTTTTTAAGAGCTCATGAGCCCTTTATCTTACAGCAGTGGGAACTTTTCATCTTATAGCAATAGGAAGTTGCTGTTTATTTGATAACTTATTTACTATTTCTTATTTTGTTTGAAGATTTTCTAGAGTGTAATTTTCATTTTTCAATTAAATTGCATAAACAGGTGACTATAGGTAATCTCTTTTTAATTAATGCACCAAATTTTATTTTATAAAATTGATTTTATAAATACTATCCTGAGGTTAAGAGTATCTGTTGATACTCAGTTCCCCTTTTCTTCTTTATCTTTGGCTTGTTTTTGTTTTCTTTCTAAATCATTTTTATCAAATGTCCCTGTACTCAGTGGGCAGTTTTGAAAAATTTTCCCCTCTTGTGGCTTCCAGAACAATGCTGAACTTTGTGTTTTTTAACCTTTACCTTTTGGTACCCAGCCAAAATCCTGGTGGGCTATGTGGCCTACTCTTCACCCAGTAGATGATGTCTCCTTGTAATGTATTTTCCAGTTTAAGTTAGCTTAGTCACCTTCCTGTATTCGCTGATGTCTGATGAAGACACTGGGTCATTGTCTTCCTATTTTTCTCATTTCTTCACTACTATGAATAAGTGTACCTGAAAAAAAAAATGAAAATGGCATTGTTATTGACTAATGGAGAATGTACTTGGATCCCATTCTGTTTTTGAACACATGGAGATGTGTTCTTATTAGTGTCCAGGGATAATCAATCCCCAAAACCTCTGAAATAAAACGTTAACATGAAAAACAAGTAGATATTAAAAGCCCAATTTATTTTTTTTGTACTGAAAATCTTTTGATCAGGGCATAGCTAGAGTTAGATTTATATCAAAATCAGAAGGTTGCTTGTTGTTTGTTTAATGGATCCAGACAAGGGGATTTGGAAGAGTTAAAAATCTGAAGATGCAAGAATGATCTTCTCACAAGGAACTGCAAAATTAAAGTCTAAAGACTGATCTCCTTTCCAAAGCATTGTGCCTGGGTTTTTCCATTGTCATATTTGTTCTTGTGATCTGTGAATACGCACACACACACACACACACACACAAACCTGTTCTGTATTGTGTTATGTTAAAAGCAGTGGCTTTGGGAATGACCTAGGTTTGAGTCCCATGTTCATCTCAAATTAGTTGTTTAACATTAGATAAACTATTTACATGTATTTTAGTTTATTTGTAATATATAAACAGTAACATAGCATAGTTGTAAAGACTATATGACATGTAAATATAATACTTTAATTTTTTGCTCTTGTAAAAACTAAGTAAATCACAGTCTTATCACCTAGGTTAGCAGCAGAAATAGAAAAATTATTTTACTACGTGAAGAAACATAAACAACATTTGAGTCAATGACTCAGAGAAGCAGTCCACAAAAGCTCACATCTACAATGTAGCCTGAGAAGTACTGGCACATATATTCATAACCATAAAACTAATGTTCTAAGGTGTTTTCCAAGGAAATGCTGTATTCAACAATCAATTTTAATGCTTATTTCACACTGCAAAGGCTGAAAAGATTATACTTACATTCAATTAATGCCTTGAACCAGCTATTCTAGTTGTAAAGTACAATTAGCCAAAGATGTCCCCTATGAAAGACTATACCATTTGATCAACTCATTTGCATCAGAGGCACTTTCTCAGATTCATTGGGTCTTTTGCTTCCAAGTACCACAGGTTTGGGTGCAAATTTGAAAGCAACTTGTGGTAAGAGAAAGGGCAACTGCTGAGAAGGCCAAAGGCTCACATATTCACTCAAGACCTCATGCGGATGCTGCTTGCTTCTTTTCAAACAGTAAAAAAATAATAATAACCTGCTTATGGATTTGAATAATATATTAACTCTTTATGCATGGCACTTTTAAAAAAACATTTTGAAAGCACTTTCACACCTGTTATTTAATTTAATCTTTCCCACACCTTCTGAGGTAGGTTGGACAAGTATATCATCCTAATTTGGTGGGTGAGAAACTTATGGCAGCTAATAATAAAATTATAACAGCTTAAATTATTTTACTTCTTTCTTTCAATTAAAAAAAAAATAGTTGTAGTGTTGGGGGTGTAGCCCTTAGTAGAGAATGTCCTTAACATGCACAAGGCTTTGGGCTCAATCCCCAGCAGGATCTTCAGGGACTCAATTTCCTTCTAAATGTCAGTCTGTTATCCTTACTATTGTCTCTCATGCCATAAGGTACCTCCTAGAGTTATAGTCATCATGGCATTTAGGGCACAAAGACGAAGGAAGTAATGAAGGAGACAATGGTATGTGCCAGTTTTTTCTACAGAGATACTGAAGTTGACATTCACTCTTTTTGTTTTAAATTATTATTTTTGCCAAATATGGTGATATGACTGTAAGGAGGCAAATAACATCCAGATGAAAAAATTGATAAAACTGCTATATAAAACAGTTATATATATTTATATATACATATAAATATATGTATTATGTTGGTAAAAACACATTCTAATGAGCCAAGGGCTATTATTTGCAGATGATTTTGCCTAACTATGTAATGTTTCGTTATATTTGAATTTAACAATTTTGGGCAACACATATTGCTCATTTCCAGTTTTTTTTTTTTCTCCCTGTGGTGCTGGGGATTGAACCCAGGGCCTTTTGCATGTAGGCAGGCACTCTACCAACTGAGCTATCTCCCCAGCCCCTGCTTCCAGGTTTTGTGGGGCACCTTGATATAGCTACCAGTTACTTAGTGTATTTCAGATATATGTTTGTAGCGTTAGAGCCAAACCAGTCATTGTGTATATATATATATATCTAAATCAGTTGGTATGAATTTGGTATAATCAACAGATAACTTAAGAGAGGCTTAACTGAACTGATGTTGTTTTTAAATTCTTAGATAAGAAATCCAGATGTGGGCAATTCTAGGCTGGTATAGTAATTCAATGAAAAGAACAAGGCCTAGGGACCTTTGATATTCCTCTTCTGCTCTCAGTAGGCTACTAGTTTAATCCTTGGACTTACCTTTACATGGTATAAAGGTGGTTTCAAATATTATTTCTGCATTCTGGATTGGAGAAGGTAAAGTGACCAAGAACAAAGAAAGGGTCCTTTTACTTGTAAACATCATAGTGTTTTGCCATAAATCCTTGAATAGCACTGTTACATGGTTGCCCATAGCTGTAAGGGAGGGTATAAAGTGAATTTTCTATTAGTAGTGAGGAACAGAAGACTTAATATATGTAAAATACTAGCAGTGTCTGTGAAATTAAAAATTTTATGTGTTGATTTATTAAAAGTTGCCTGCAGACTTAATTCTCTTTGTTATTGCAAGCTTAACAGAGCCTCAGATTTGTTTTCATTTTTATTGTCTTTACTGTTTCAGAGAAATGCTTTGCAAGCAATTTCTCCAGCCACCATGGAAGTTCTTATGAGAGTTTTGGCAGATTGTGATTCCTGGGAGGATGGAGATCCTGAAGAAGTGGGTAGAAAGGTAGAACTAACTCTGAAGTGCCTTACAGAAGTGGTACATATTCTTCTCACTAGCAGTTCTGACCAGCGCCAAGTGGAAACCAGTACTATTCTGGAGAACTATTTTAAATTGTTAAATTCAGATCATTCAGCTTTACCCAATCAAAGAAGATCCAGACAGTGGGAAAGCCGGTTCATAGCTCTGCAGATCAAAATGCTGAGTAAGTATTCAATAAAGATAGTTTTCTTACAGTAGATAAAACATGGGGCTCCTCAGTCAACAGCTTCCTATGAGGGAGTTAAATTAGCAGTTCTGCAGCAGCAAAATGAGATGGAGAATTATCGGGAGGAAAGCAGGGAAGCAACTCAGAAAGCTAGTATGCAGAAGAAAACTAAAAATGTTGGTTCCTAGAACAGAGAGTTTAAAAAGGTAACTGATGGCAGCAGCGTCGATTGTGCTGTGGCTCAGTGGGGGGCAACCAGAAGAGAGAGATTTTCCGCTGAATTTAAGAAACAGATGCTATATTAACATATCCACAACCAGAGCAGCTAATAAATTAGAAAATCTACCAAGAAGCTAGAGAGAGAGAACTGGTAATCCCCATCAAAGGTATTTGACTCTCCCTGGGTTGTTGGAACAGGGGAAGCACCAACCGCTTGAAGGAACAAGGGAGTTATTGATCGGACTTCCTGAGCCAGTAGACTTGGAATTCCTGCACCTTAACATGCTTGCTTGTATGTGTGTATTTGTGTATGTGTGTGTGTACTTGGTATACTTGCTTTTTGAATATCCAAGACCAAACAGCAACATAGGCTATACTTTTCACTGGATTGGTGAGTATGAGAGCCAATCTGAGTAAAGAAGAATTTTTAGAACCCTGATGGACTCTGCAGAGTGCCCAGAAACAAAGGGGGATTCCATTTGAAATTGACTGACTGATCTGTGGGATTAAGAATGTGACTGGCAGAGGGTGGGGATCTAGGTCTGAACAGGATTGGATGGAAAGTACCTCCTGTCTGCCTGCCCCCACCCACAGCCCAAAAGTATAGCACATAAATAGGGGCTCTCAGAATGAAGTACAGTTCAATCCAGATTAATCTTTAGATGAAGCAGATGAAGGAACTCCCCAATTGACCTGAGAGACTTACACTATCACCCCCTGATGAAACAACAAAGCCAAACTGAGAAAGAAGTTTATCCTCATTGCCTCTCTATCAGGGGTGATCAGGCAAGGAGTGGGTAGAATTCTGCATATGGATTCACCTAATAAGTTGAGACTGTTTGGGTGAGAGCTGAAATAAGGGAATGATACAAAATTTGCATTTGAGTGACTTCTTCATAGTTGGCAATTGCTAAAATTTGAAACACCAGATACAAAAGACTCTAAAAAACTTCAGCAATTAATCTGAACCTTTGAATGATATTAATGTCTTGGCTGATTGATATTACCTAAGATCTCCTATACATGACTGTTCCACTTCAGCTTCTTCTACACTGATGTTGTCTTCCCATTTTAACTTCTGTCTCCCTTCCCACCCTCATCCTCACCTCTCCCCCTCCCCCAACCCTTTATTCCATCTTTTCTATTTTTCTCTTTTCTCTATTTTATGTTATATTATTTTACTTATTTACTTTTTTTTTTTTTTCGGTACTAGGAATTAAACCTGGGGACTTTACCACTGATCTATATCCCCCGTCCTTTTTTATTTTGAGAATGGGTCTCACTAAGTTGCTGAGGTCTTGCTAAGTTGCTGACTGGCCTTGAACCTGCAGTCTTCCTGACTCAACTTCTCAAGTCACTGGGAATAGAAGCATTAGCCACTTGCCCAGATCTATTTTGTTTTATTTTTTAAAATTTATTTTCTTAGTACTGGGTATTGAAACCAAGGGTACTTTACCACTTAGCTATATCCTCAGTCCTTTTATTTCTTTCTGTTTTCATTGTTGTGAGACAGATCTTGCTAAGTTGCTGAGGGTCTGAGTTCCTCAGACTGGCCTTTCACTTGTGATCCTCTTGCCTCAGTCTCCTGAGTTGCTGGGATTACAGGCATGTGCCACCATGCCTGTAATCTATATTATTTTTTATCCCATCTTCAAATTCAATTTAGTCTATAGTTTTTAATGTGTAACCCTTTCAGCCTATTGAATGTTATTTTTCACTCATGTTCCTCTTGGGTTAATATATTTGTAGAGATCATTAGCAATTACTACCAAGGTTACTTGTAGCACTGTATCCTTTCAAAGAGTCATTGGAAGTTGAAATTATCACTAGGCTTACGCTGAACCTATGTGTCAAAGCTAAGATATACCATCAATGTAGAATTTATTAAAAGTAGGTAACTACTCACCAAAGGACCCTCACATAAGAGGAAGGGGAATATATTTCAACAGATATGTCTGTCTGGCACCTCTGAAAACATAAGGAAACATGCAAACAAGTTTTTCCCCAAATTTACAATTCTCCAATAAGGGAAACCATACATGTTGATTCATTCATTCTCTCTCTCTCTCTCTCTTTTGTTGAGCTGGGTATTGAACTCAAGGCCTAATGCATAGTAGACAAGCACTCTATCACCGATACCAATGAGCTACATTACCAGTCCTTGGAACCCACAGATATTGATTGGGATTAAAATTACAGAGAAAAATTACTGAAATGTTGATTATTAAAGTGATTAATGAGCTAAAAGAAGATCTAGGAAATTGAAAGCAAAAATGCTGGAGGGGAAAAATCATTTCAATAAATATAGATTCTGAAAAGAAACCAGTCAGACCTCATGCTAAGTGAAGTTAGCCAATCCCTAAAGAACAAATGCTGAGGAGCTGGGGTTGTGGCTCAGTGGCAGAGTGCTTGCCTAGCATGAGTGAGGCACTGGGTTCGGTTCTCAGTATCACATATAAATAAATAAACTAAAGGTCCATTGACAACTAAAGCATATTTTTTTTTAAAAAAAAAAGAACAAATGCTGAATGTTTTCTCTGATATAAGGAGGCTGACTCATAGTGGGTTAGGGAGGGGGAACATGGGACGAATAAATGAATTCTAGATAGGGAATAGGGGTGGGAGGGAAAGGGAGAGGGGCAGGGGATTAGCAAGGATGGTGGAATGTGATAGACATCATTATTCAAAGTACATGTATGAAGACACGAATGGGGTGTCAACATACTTTATGTACAGAGATATGAAAAATTGTGGTATATATGTGTAATAAGAATTATAATGCATTCTGCTGTCATTTTTTTTAAATCAATAAAAAAAGGAATGAAAGACACAATAAATCAAATTAAAAATTTAGTTAAAAGTATAACCAACAGATTGGGTTATATAGAAAATAAAACTTTATACTTTGAAGTCAGGGTATATTAACTTGAATACTCAGCAGTAATAAAAAAATATGATAAGAATATACAAGAACTCTGAGAAAAATAGATCTGACTTAAGAGTCATTGGAATAGAAGAGGGCATGGAAATACAAGCTCTTGGCATTAATAACTTTTTAGTGAAATAATGTCAGAAGAATTTTCATATCTTTGGAATGAGATGGACATATACACACAGGAGGCCTTAGAACCGCAAATGGACAAGTTCAAATAAGAACCTCTTCAACACAAAATGTCTAACATGAAAAATAAGTATACAGGGGTTGGGGTTGTGGCTCAGCAGTAGAGCACTTGCTTAGCACAGGTGAGGCCCTGGGTTCAATCCTCAGCACCACATAAAAATAAATAAATAAATTAAAGATATTGTGCCCAACTACAACTTAAAAAATAAATATTAAAAAATAAGGATACAATATTAAAAGCCTCAAGAGAAAAATGTGAGGTCATATTTAGAGGTAAACCAATAAGGTTTACTTCAGACTTCTCAACACAGACTCTAGAAGTTAGGAGTGCTTAGAGTGAAGTAATTCCAGACCTGAAAGAAAACAGTTGCCAACCGAGATTGTTTTATCCAGCAAACCTAGGCATCAGAATCAGAGAAGAAATAAAAATTTTCCAACATAAGGAAAAACTAAAAGAATTTATGATCTCTAAGCAAACACTGCAGAATAAGCTTAAAGAAATACTACATGCCCCTTCAGCTCTTGAATGGATGAAGCTCATTATAAGAACAGTTAAGAAAATGAAAATTAAATATATGAAACAAAGACCAGTTAAATATATGAAACAGATAAAAATGGCAAGAAACTGTAAACATCTCTCCATAATAATTTTGAATGTAAATGGTATCAGCTCTCCAACTAAAATTATAGAGTTGAAAGATTGAAAAACAAGACCCAAAACTATGCTATTTACAAGAGACTCATTGGGAAAGGCATCCATATGCTGAAAGGAAAAGGTTATATCATGCAAATGGATTTAAAAATGAGAAGGAGTAGCTATCCTTATATTTCAGGCTAAGCAGAAGAGATGTGTAAGGTCACTTCATATCAAGAAGATAAAATGGTATTAGTTATTTTTATGCATCAAATGTTGGTTTACCTAATTACATTTTAAAAAAAAGGTCAGACCCTAAATGCAGTAATACTGGATGATTTTAACATATCACTCTCACAATTCAAAAGTCATCCAGACATAAAATCAAGAAATATACTTCAGACCTAAAAAATACCATCAATCAAATTGATCTAACAGATACCTATAGAATAATTTTATCCATCAATAGCTGAATTTACTTTCTTCTCAGCTCATGGAACATAGCTGCAAAATGTCTATATTTTAGGACACAAAGCAGGTCTTAGCAAATATTTTAAAAATTAATATAATTCCTTGCATCTTATCAAATTATAACAGAATGAAGTTTGAAATCTACATCAAGAAAAATTATAGTTAACAACAAACACAGAGATTGATTGATAACAAACACAGAGATTGATTGATATACTTTTGATCAAGGAATGAATTATAGAAGAAATGAGGGGAAAACTAGTAAAATTCCTAGAATCAAATGAGAATAATAAGACAATGTACCAAAATCTCTGGGACACTATGAAGACGGTTTTAAGAGGAGTTTATAGCATTATAGTGCTTACATTAAAAAACAAAACAAAACAGAATAAAAACCCTCAAATGTTATTCTCAAGACCCTAGAAAAGCAGGAACAGCCAGATTCCAAAACCAGTAGAATACAGGAAATAAGACTAGATTAAATTAATGATCTATAGAAAAAAAAATACCAAGTATCAATGTAACAAAGAGTTGGTTCTTTGAAAAGATTAGCAAGATTGATGAACCCTTAACCAAACTGAATAAAAGAAAGAGAAGTCCCAGATCAACAAAATTATATAAAAAAGGAGATATCATAATGAATATTTCTGAAATTAAAAGTATCATTAGGGACTGTTTTGAAACCTTATGTTCCCATAAATTGGAAAATCTAGAAGTTATTGACAAATGTCTAGATACATGTGACCTACCCAAATTGAACCAAGAGGATAAAAAAAGTGTATACAGACCAATAGCAAGTAAAAATATTGAAGCAGTGATAAAAAGCCTTCCAAGAAAGAAGCCAGGGACAAAATGGATTCTGAGATGAGTTTTACCAGACCATTAAAAAAGAACTAATGCCAGTCCTCCCCAAATTATTTTTTTAAATAGGGAATATTCCTAAATTCATTCTATGAGGCCAATATCACCTTCAAACCAAAACCAGACAAGGACTCATCAAGGAAAGAAAACTACAGACACTATTCCTGATGAACATAGTTACAAAAATCTTTAATACAATATTAGAATTCCACATTCAAAAACACATTAAGAAGCTTGTACATCATGATCAAGTTTCTTCCATTCCAGGAATGCAAAGTTGGTTCAACATACACAAATCTCTGTATGTAATGCATCACATAAACGGAATTAAGGACAGTAATGACATGATCATCTCAATAGATGCAGAAAAAAATCTTTGACAAAATTGAGCACCCATTCATATTAAAAAAGCACTGAAGAGACTGGGGCTGTAGCTCAGTGGCAGAGCACTTGCCTAGCACATGTGAGGCACTGGGTTCAATCCTCGGCACCACATAAAAATAAACAAATAAAGGCATACCTTTCATCTATAACTACAAATTTTTTTTAAAAAAAGCACTGAAGAAACTAGGAATAGAAGAAACTTAACATTATTAAGGATATATATATATATATATATATATATATATATATATATATATATATATATAAAAAAACAAAGCCAGCATCATACTGATTGGAGAAAATCTGAAAGCATTTCCTCTTAAATCAGGAATAAGACAAAGATGTCTACTCTCACCACTCCTATTCAATATAATATATGAAACCAGCCAGAGTGGTTAGTCAGGAGAAGAAAACTAAAGGGATACAAGCAGAAAAAGGAGAAGTCAGATTATCTGTTTGCTGATGATATGATCCTCTATTTAGAAGAATCAAAAAACTCCATCAGAAAACTTCTGGAGCTAGCAAGTTCAGCAAAGTAGCAGAAGATCAACATACAAAAATCAGCAGCTTTCCTGTATGCCAATAATGAACCTGTGGAGAAAGAAATGAAGAAAACAATTCTATTCATAATCGCCTTTAAAAATTATCTGGGAATAAGTCTAAGCAAGGAGGTGAAAATTATAGAACATTGAAGAAAGAAATTAAAGATGACCTTAGAAGATGCAAAGATTCTTTGGTAGCCAGAATTAATATTGACAAAATGGCCATATAATCAAAAACAGTCTATAGCTTTAGAGCAATTCCCATCAGAATACTAGTGATGTATTCACAGAACTTGAGAGAAAAAAGTCCTAAAATTCATTTGGAAAAATGATATTCCTAAAATAGCCATTATTCTATGCAATAAGAGCAGTACTGAAGACATCAAAATACCTGATCTCAAAATATACTATAGAGCAGTAGTAACAAAAATGGCATGTATTGGCAAAAAAACAAACATGGAGACCAATGGAATAGAAGACAGGAAAGATAGATTCATACTCATCTGATCCTTGACATAGGTGTTAAAAATATGTGTTGGAGAAAAGATAGCCTTTATAACAAATGATGCTGGGAAAATTGTATATCCGTATGTTGAAGAATGAAACTGCTTCAAATCTCTCACCCTGCACAAAAATTAATTCAAAGTGAGTGAATCAAAGATGTAGGAATTGGATCAGAAACACTACTATTGCTAGAAGAAAACAGGGTCAACATTCTAACATATTGGCACAGGCATTGACTTTCTTAAAGCTCAAGAAATACATCCAGGTATTAATAAGTAGGATGGTTTCAAATTTAAAACTTCTGCACATCAGAAGAAACAAGAGCATGAAGAGAGAGCCCACAGAATGGGAGAAAAGTCTTTGTTAGCTACCTTTTCTGACAGGATTAATATCCAGCATATATAAAGAACTGAATGAGCTTAACATCAAGACATCAAATAACCCAGTCAATAAATGGGCAAAAGATGTAAACACACATTTCTCAAAAGAAGAAATACAAATGGCTAACAAATTTATAAAAAAAAGTCCAATATCATTAGTAATCAGGGAAATGCAATTCAAAACTACATTGATATTACATCTCACTTCTGTTAGAATAAATGGTATCCATCAAGAATATAAATTTAAAAATTGCTTGTGAGGATATGGGGAAAAGGGAACATTTATACATTGTTGATGGATCTGCAAATTAGTACAATAACTTTGCAAAGCAGTATGTAGCTAGGATTAGAACTACCACATAACCCAGGTATCTTACCTTATCCAAAAGAACTAAACCCATCATCCTATAATGATACATGTGTACAATGTTTATTGTATGGTAGCGCAATCAGCAGTGAATCTGTGGAACCAGTGTAGGTATCTGTCAACAGGAGAATGCATAAAGAAAATGGTATACACAGCCATAAAGAAGAAATAAGATTATGTCAACTGCAGGGAGACCAGTAGAATACAGGAAGGGGATCAGGAGCGGAGAACATGGGGAAGTACTCGGGGAATGAAATCTACCAAATTATGCCATGTCCATGTATAACCATGCCATAATGAATTTTACTTTTATATATAATTATAATGCACTAATTAAAATAGTAGTATTGGTACTAATAGAAGGGAGATAGTAGAGCAAGTAGATCAGGGAAAGGGAAGGAGGGAGGGACTACTTGGGAATGAAATTAATCAAATTATGTGCATTATGAATATCACATAATGAGTTCCACTATTATATATAATTATAAATCACCTATTATAAAAGAAAGGTAATTTTGCCTGAGTCTATGTTTTGCTTTCATATCTCCTACTGTCTTTTGAAATACAGAGCCATTGTATGGAAAGTTTTGATTGTTTAGTTCAGATAGCATATGACTTTATATTTTAACTTCCAAATAATTTAATTAATTTGTTTGTCTACAATACCCTCAGTTTAGCAACATCAAAGTCAAATATGCATTCTTTCGTGAAAGTAATATAAACAATGCATGGTGGCACACACCTGTAATCCCACATACTTAGGAGGCTGAGGCAGGAAAACTGCAAGTTTGAGGCTGGGCAGCACAATTTATTGAAACACTAACTCAGAAAAAAAAAAAAAAAAGGAGGACTGGAAATGTAGCTCAGTGTTAGAGCCCCTTCTCTGGATTTAATCCCCAGCATGGGGCAAAGTAGGGATGAAGGGGAAGAGAAAGTGTAATTCACTAAAAGTATATGTTAGAAAAGTCAGTGTGGCCCCAGAATTCTAGAACGTGTAGATTTTCAGAAATTGCCATTTGTAATGTTTTACTTATGATAAAAATTGATTTCTTTATGCTTTTATAACATTTATAGTGTCTGTCCATGCTCTAGAGGGCCTTTGATTTTGTTTTTCCTCAAAGCTTCTATGTGTCTTTGTTTCTCTTTCCCCCTCTCTTTGTGGTGGATGTTTGTGTCACTTTGTAGATATTTGTCCTTTTTTTGTTCTACTTTGTAAGCTCCCTCAACAATATATGTGGTTTCTTACTGCATTGCCATGTTAAATGCAAATGTTATTAACTGACAGTTCATTATTAAAGAAGTAAAATATTGTAATTACAGCTAAACTAGAAAATTCACATAATTATAAAGAAACAAAATATGTTCTTTATATCCTACTACCCAGACATAATCAACATTAATGGTTTCGTGTATAGCTTCATGTATATGTGAGATCAGTTTAGAATATGGGCGTCAAAATCTTATTGAAAATTATCCATTACAACATTTGCTTCTATAGGAAAACAAGACATATCTTACATACTTTATTATTTTATATGTTACAACATGTCATATTTTATAATTATTGAAAGTTTATAAATACATTTTTGACTGTATTGAATGGAGTTCTTTTTTATTAGGAACAAAAACATGGTATTTCCCATGATAGATGTCCTTTGGTTTCTGGATGGAGATATCTCTTTAATAGGAAATGAGAGCAAAACATTGTTGTCTTTTTCAGGACCATGTGTTAATTTTATAATGTGTAAATATAAGTGTTGTAAAACAACCAGTTTGCCTATTAATAGCAAGTTGGGCACAAACAGTTGGTTAGACTTGAGCCTTATGATGGAAGAATAACTAAATAAATCTCTGGGAAATATATATGAGTCATGTAAAATTTAAGTATTTTAAATTATGAAAATGTTCACTATTTCTTTCAAGTAATAATTACAAATTTTGTTGTCTATTCTTCATAGCTGTTATTGCCCAATTAACTTATATCTGTTCTGTCAACTGCAAAGCCTAAATTTAAAATGATAATAGTAAATGTGTGTATGATTCCAAATTTTTACCATTACATGGAAGATTTTTGTTTTTATTTTCCTAGATACCATCACAGCCATGTTGGATTGCACAGACAGGCCTGTTCTTCAGGCCATTTTTCTTAATAGTAATTGCTTTGAACATCTCATACGACTACTACAGAACTGCAAGGTACTTTTCTACTATTATCACCTTTAAGTTTTGAGAAAAATTTTTTTTTCTTTATGTTTTAATTCAAATTTTAGTATATTGTTACTGTTTTAATAGTTTGTGTTTGCATTTATGTAATCAAGTTCTTTACTGATTGAAATTAGCATTAAATCATTTCTAATTGTCTAAGTACTTTAAAAAGAGTCAAACTGAAAACTAATTTATTTATATAACGAGCATTTCAGTTCATGATATAAATATTTTTTTTTCCATTTAGTCCAGGAAGATACTGGAGACCCTTTAAAGTTAGTTGCTTCTGATTTCTTGGCTAGCCATTTGTGTCAGAGCATACTAAGATGATCTAGATTTTGCCTTTAGTTCTTTGAAAACAGTTCAGTTGGAAATGTTGTCTTTGACCAGTCTGGAAAGTACTCCATGTTATGTATTCTATTATTGTCTGCCACTGATAAGAGGGAATATTTATATAAAACATGGATTTCTCATTGCAAATCTATTACTCCAACTCAAATTGTATGTCATTGACTGAATGATATTTTTGTATAAGAAATGGCTTTTTAGTTAACTAAGTAGACTAATATTTACTGTGTATCAACTGTGTGTCAGCTTCTATTCTCAAATTATTGATTTAAGAAAAAAGACGAAAGTACTGTCCTCCAGTACTTACACTTTGGTTGGGAGCAAGACAAAAAAGAAACACAAAATATATAGGAGATCTGTTGATGGTGAATGCCACAAAGAAACAGTAGGTAGAAGGCTAGGAAAAAATAAGATACTGCTTTTGTATCTACTTCGGTTAGGCAAAGAGACTCCAGTAAGGGGACATTTGAGGAGAGATGTATAGGAAATGAATGAGCCAACCTACACAAATATCAGAGTTTCCTTGCTAGAATACCAAAGTTCTTGAAGTGGAAGCACTCTTAGTATATTTGAGGAACAAGAAGTAGTAGGCCGTGGGGCTAGAAATAAAATCAGAAGGAGAAAAGAGCTAAATTCCATAAGATCTTATAGACTGTATAAGAACTTTTGGTGATCATTACATTGGAACCAAACTTTAGTGGTAGAGCACATCCCTGGCATGCACGAGGCCCTAGGTGGTAAATTATTTAATGCTGGGGATCAAACCTCTGGGGCCTCGTGCATGCCAGGGATGTGCTCTACCACTAAAACACACCCTTTGCCCAGGTATTTTGTTTTTATCAAAATTTATTATGCTATAAAATTTGCAACAATTTCAGATAAACCTAAGCATTTGCTTTTTTTTTTTTTTTTTTGGTACTGGGGATTGACCTCAGGACCATTGAACCACATCCCCAGCCCTATTTTATATTTTATTTAGAGACAGGGTCTCACTGCATTGCTTAGCCCTTTGCCATTGTTGAGGCTGGCTTTGAACTTGTGGTCCTTCTGGCTCAGCCTCCCAAGCTGCTGGGAAGCATTCACTATTTAACCAGCTAATTTCCAAATAAATAAAAATATAAAGACCACAAAATATTTTTTAGAAATTTTAAATCTAATTTGACCTCTTTAGTCTGACTAGACTATGTATACTTCCTATTAATGTTCTTCTTAACCGTTTTTGATTCTAATACATGATCTTAGATTTCAAAAAATTAAAGGTAACATTTTATCAGTGCAATCATCTTTTCATAGCTGTTTTGGTTAAATGTAAGTTTTATAATCATCCTTATTATACCATCATGCATACTTATTATTATAAATAAGTAAGGGGTTATGAAGTTGTATCATTTTGTTTCTGAATTTAGACTTTAGAAAATTATTTCTAGTTCAAACAGATTCCATTGATTTAATCTAGAGTTCTAGACATTTTCTCTTCCCCAACACACTTTTGGTAACATTTTCACAAGAAACCTACTGTGTATCATGATGGGGAAAATAGTTATTCTTTCTCAAAGTATCTGCCTTATCCTTCTCTTACTTTTCACTTTTTTTTTTCTTTTCTTACAGCATCAGGTTAAACTGTACATGCTGTTTTAAAAGTGGCACTTGTTCTGTCATTCATATTATAATTCTGGAATAACTGTTAATTTCCATCAATAATGATGGTCATTTCTCAGAAAAACTTTGCTTTTTAATTTCTGGGGTTTTTTTAGTTGTAGATAGACACAATACCTTTATTTTATTTATTTATTTTTTTATGTGGTGCTGAGGATGGAACCCAGTGCCTCACACATGCTAGGTGAGCACCCTATCACTGAGCCACACCCCCAGCCCCTCAGAAAAACTTTTTAAAGTCAGAATTTTACTACACTAAAATACAAATATTGTTTATCTTTCACTTGGTTTACTTTTATAGCAGATTAGAATATTTTATATAAATACTTAGCTAATAAAATGAGGAAATAGTTTGATGTAAGGGTAATATTTTTTTAGGTTTGCTTTTTACAAAGATTTTTGGACATGTCAAGTTGAAAATTTTTAATTACATGCACATTTCTGAAACATATTCTCTGTTGAAAATGTTTATTGGGACTGGGGATGTGGCTCATGCGGTAATGCGCTCGCCTGGCATGTGCGGGGCACTGGGTTCGATCCTCAGCACCACATACAAATAAAATAAAGATGTTGTGTCCACCGAAAACTAAAAAATAAACATTAAAAAAAGTTTTCTCTCTCTCTCTCTTTCTCGTTCTATCTCTTTAAAAAAAAAGAAAAGAAAATGTTTATTGTAGAAAAATTGATACAATAAAAAAGAAATGACCTCTATAGTTCTATAAAAATAAAGGTTACTATTATGATTAAGTGCTTACTAATATGATGGACAGTGTTAGATGCCTTGCTTGCATTTGAGGTCACACAATATATCTTGTCCTCATAATGACTACTTTATAGATCAGGCAAGAAGTGACAGAGCCAGAGTTTCAGTTTAATTCTCCTTGACTTCAAAAGCCTTCATTTTTTTCTTTTCTTTTTGTTCCCTCAGTTGGGGCTAAAACTCAGGGCCTCAAGCATGCTACGAAGGCACTCTTCCACTGGGCTATATCCCCAATGCCTTTTAAAAATTTTATTTTGATAAAAGGTCTCACTAAGTAGCCTAGTCTGAGATCCCCCTGCCTCAATTTGCCCTGAGAAGCTGGGATTACAGGGATGCACCACCACACCTAGCTAAGTAATACATTCTTATTGTAAAATAGATACATTGGTGGTGTATCAGTTCTCCCATACAATATAAATATATTCTAAAATTTATGGGAATTATTACCACTTTTTACCCATGCGTAAAAGGTAATAATTTTCATAATTTCTAATGGAAAAATGTGTTTCTGTTAATGGGAAAGTAAGATCAAGAATCAAGCTGAATAGTATCAATAGAGGGAATTAGTATGTTTTGATATCTCTAAACCGTATTATAACACTAAAGCAAAATTTGAAACATTCAGCTGTTTGATAGTTTTCAGTATTAGTGTTATCCTCTTCTACAGTTGTTCAGAGGCTATAGAAGTTAGTACAGACTTGTAGAAACTTTTTTTTTAATATTTATTTTTTAGTTTTTTCAGTGGACATAACATCTTTATTTTATTTTTATGTGGTGCTGAGGATCGAACCCAGCGCCCTGCACATGCCAGGCAAGCATGCTACTGCCTAAGCCACATCCCCAGGCCCGAAACTTTTTTTTAATATTTATTTTTTAGTTGTACACAATACCTTTATTTTGTTTATTTATTTTTATGTAGTGCTGAGGATCGAACCCAAGGCCTCGCATGTGCTAGGCAAGTGCTCTACTCCTGAGCCACAACCCCAGCCCCTGTAGAAACTTTAATATGTTTGTTAGTGAATTTCATAAAACATAAGATGCCATTTTATAGTGCAACAGTATTTTGATGCCAAACACAAGATATAGAGACTAGACTGTATGGAAAACTGCACCTAATAGATGCTAAAGGGCAGAAACACAAAAGGAGAACTACTTATTTTCACAAGTGGAGCATACCATATACTGACTTCATTTAAGAAAAGCAGTTTCAGCTCACATACACAACATTGGGGGAAAAAGTTAGCAGAATATAAAGAAAAAATAATTCAAACTCCACTTAAAAATTTTTAAAAATTCTTTTTAGATACACATGATAGTAGAGTGTATTTTGACATATTATATATACATGGAGTCTAACTTATTAGGATCCCATTCTTGTGGATATACATGATGTGTAATTTCACTGGTCATGTGTTCATATATGAACCTAGGAAAGTTGTGTCTGATTCATTCTACTGTCTTTCCGATTCCCATTCCTCAAATCCCTTTTTTTTTTGTTGGTTGCTCAAAACATTGCAATGATCTTGACATATCATATTTCATACATTTGATTCAAGTGGGGTATGAATTTTTATTTTTACCACGTGTACAGATTGCAGGATCACATTGGATATACATCCACGTTTATACATACTGCCATTCTAGTGTCTATTGTATTAAACCCCATTTTTAAGAGGTTGAAAATCTCTTCAAATTTCAATTTTATTTTTTAATGGAATATAATAAGCATTTTTCTTGAAAATGAATTTTAAATAGGTTTATGTCCTCCACATTTTAAATGCTGTATTTTTGATCATTTGAATGATGTACTGAATTATTTGAGTTTTGCTTGGATAGTAAATATTGTAAAATTTAATAAGTGTCCCACGGTCATAGGAACTGCTATTTAAAACTTAGAACTTGTAGGAAGTCTTTTGATTGGACCTAGAAGGCAAAAAATAGGCAGTGGAATGTGCTCAAGTCTTCCAGAGATGACTGACACTGTGGCCTGCTCTTAACCCTTTGTTCCAGAGTGTTTCATCTCTTGGTTGTTTGTTTTTTGCTCTGTTTTCTCTCATTGGTGTAGTTTTCTACAATTGAAAATGCATTTATGCCCATGTGCATATTTACATTTAGTTGTAGATGGACACAAGGGCACAATACCTTTATTTTATTTATTTTTATGTGAGTGCTGAGGATCGAACCCAGTGACTCACACATGCTAGGCAAGTGCTCTACCACTGAGCCACAACCCTAGCCCCACATTTGTGATTTTGATAATAGAACTTTGCTATACATATAGAACTGTCAACTGGTATGTCTATCAGGGACATCTCATAACTAGTATAACCCAATTGAAAGGGTCTTATGCTTTGTCCTATTTTTAGGTGAGATAGAGTCTCCTATAACTACAAGAATAAAATTAAATGTGTAGTTACCAGGTCTGGAGCATTTTGAAAGAGAGGACAAATTCTATTAATTTCAAACCACATCGAGGTTCTGCCTCTGTGCATCTCCATAAAACTGTTTCTAATCAAGGTCCTTAAACCTTTTAGTTTCCAAGTTAAATGGACACTAGTTGTTATTGTTGCTGGCATTTTCCGTTTGTCACTGTTGCTTGTTGCCTTCTTGAGAAACTTAAAAAGAATTGTTTCTGAATTATCAACATACTCATCTTTTCTATGCTCTTTGTTTCTGTGTACCACAGTGGCCATTCTTCAGTCTCTTTGGAATATTCCGTTTCTAAAAATGCTGGCATTACCTATTTGATCCTAGGTTTTTACCCTCCTACACCTTAATTTACTTATGCTTTTGACAATCTCAGCTATTATTTATAATAGCCAAGATGTGGAAACAAATTACACACCCGTCACTGAATGAATATAGAAAATGAGGTATATATTTGCAATGGAATTTTTACTAAGCTTTTCATATGATGTTTGACACATAGAAATAGTATTGACATTCTCTAGGAATTTTCCACGAACCCCTAATAGAAAAGATTTTTAACCTAAGACATCAGGTTTTATTTTTTAATGTACTTCTAGTTACAAATCACATAATACAAGCCATTCTGTGACTGGATGCTTTTCCCTGTAATTAAAAAAAAAAAAAGATTTGTAAACTGTGAAAAAAAATTATTTTTTAATACTACTTACCACATTTTGTTTTGAAACAGGAAATGCTGGAGAATAAACCCATTTCATGGGGGAAAACCAGCCTTTGGAACTTGGGCCTTTCCTATTGGCTGTACATCTTCTTTACTTCAGGAATAGTTTTGTCTGAATCACTGTGGATTGTGACATTATTGTCTTTAAATCTTTTTAAAAAATTATTGGTACATATTAATTGTACAAATTAATGGGATTCTATATGATTTTCCCTATAGGCATACATTATGCATGGTTATATGCTCCATCCTTCTTCTTCGATACCCACCCTTTTCCCTTCAACACCTTCCCAGTCCCTAGTAATCTGTCTTCTACTTTTAGGTCTTTTGTTTCCACATACAATCTGTATAGTTTTTTATTTGTGGTGCTGGGGATTGAACCCATGGACTAGTGCATTATAGGCAAGCCCTCTCCACTTTAGTTTCCACATATGAGAGAGAACAGGTGATACTTGTCTGTGTGTGACTTAACATAATGTTTGTTTCCCTTAACATAATGTCATCTAGTTGCATCCATTTTGCTGCAATGATAAGATTTTATTTTTTTATGGATGAATGATACTCCCATTGTGTGTATGTGTGTATCATATTTTTGTTATCTATTCATCTAAACTAATTCCATATCTTAGCTATTGTGAATAGTGCCATAATAAATACAGGCATGCAGTTACCTTTTTTGTGTGATGACTTCATTTCCAGTAGTTACATACCCAAGAGTAGGATAGCTGGATCATATGGTAGTTCTATTTTTAGCTTTTTGAGGAACCTTATACTGTTTTCCATAGTGACTATCCTAATTTACATTCCCACCAGTGGTGTTCAAGGGTTCCTTTTTCTCCACAATATATCCAGTATTTCTTTTTTTGTTTTTGTTTTTTGATAATAGCCATTCTGACGGTCATTAAGTCTTTAAAAATGGGAGAAGCTTTGAAATAAGCTTTCCAATTTGTTCATCATACATATAAGGAAAAGTGTGTCAAGAAAGATATAATTACTAGCCCAAGGTTAGTAGTAATAAGTGATGGAGCTAGGATTTCTTACCCAGTTTTTTATTTTTCCCATGGTCCTAAAAGTCCATTGTGATATGTAGTTTTCTAATTGTATTAATTGCACTTAAGTTCATTATTTAGTCAGTACAAAATATGTTGCCTATGCATTAAAATAGGAAAATTAAGATTATATTGATACATAAACATTTTATGAACATAGTTTATATTATTCCTGAATGTATAAAAATGTATTACATGGTGGTACAAATGTCTGTGATTACTTTCTGTTTAAATTGATTTTTTTTGTTATTAGTAAAGAATAAATCATTTATTCTGCTTTATTCCATCATACAGAATATGACAGTTTTGCTGTTTAAACATGCACACCTGTTGGAAACATTGGAAACTAAAGATTAAAGTGACACAAATAATTTATGAAACATGGAAAATCTTTAGCTGACCGCTGGCAGTTTCTGTGCTTTCTTTTTGTATGAGAATCACAGTCCACTATAAGTTATTTTGTTTCCTTGAAGAAACATGATTTGAATTATTGTAATTTTTTAAAAGCCATCCATAGAGGTTTGAATTAGAACAGAAGAACAGCATTATCTTTAGTAGTAGCAATAAGAGGGATTCAGAAACCATCCCATTGACTTTGGGGCTGTGGTAAAAATCTTGGTGTTTTTTGATTGTGTCTTAGTGTATGTTTAGAATTACTCATTTAAGAGTAAGAACTTTTGGAAGATTCTTCATGTACATTGCTGTGTTGCTGTTTGGAAAGACTTTCTCGCCCTCTCTTTCTCTCTCTCTCTCTCTCTCTCTCTCTCTCTCTCTCTCTCTCTCTCGGCAGTACTGGAATTGAACAGAGGGCTTTGTGCACACTAGGCAAGTGCCCTGCCTATAAGCTACATACCTAACCCTTGGAAAGCTTCCTTATTTTTACCCGTATTAGCTTCATCAGAGCATTTCTATTTCCTTGCATCTGAATAATATGCAATATTTTTCCCCAAATCTTTGCTGATAATACTAGCTTTCATTTACTAAGTCTGTGTTATGTGCTACATACCATGTAAATAAACTACCATAGATTATATCATTTAACATGTACAGCTATTTGATGAGATATTTATTATTCTTCCCATTTTTAAGAAAACAAACTTAGAGTAGTTAGTTTTCCTTAAAATCAAACAGTTAAAAAGTAGGAAAGCCGGGGCTGGGGATGTGGCTTCAAGCCGTAGCACGCTCGCCTGGCATGCGTGCAGCCCGGGTTCAATCCTCAGCACCACATACAAACAAAGATGTTGTGTCCACCGAAAATTAAAAAAAAAAAAAAAAAATATATATATATATATATATATATTTTTTATATATAATATAATATATATATATTTTTATATAATATAAAATATATATATATATTTTTTTTTAAGTTCTCTCTCTGTCTCTTAAAAAAAAAAATTTGACTTGATTCTCCAGACTCACCATTAGACTCACCAGCTAATATGTACCCTACAAATATTAAAAAAAAAAAAAAAAAGTAGGAAAGCCATGATTCCAACTCAGGTCTCTGACTCCAAAAAGCCTATTAAGCTTTATGTACCTGTTGTATACTTACCTTTATCCAGTTAATTTTTTTTTCGTAGTTGTAGATGGACAGAATGCCTTTTTTTATTTATTTTTATGTGGTGCTAAGGATCGAACCCAGTGCCTCACACATGCTAGGCAAGTGCTCTGCCACTACAGCCCCAGCACTTCAGTTAATTTTATATTGCAGTATTTTAGCACGTAACTAAACTTTCTGAAATCACAGATTTTCCTAAGAACTTCTTCTTGGTATGCTTTTAGTTTTTTTATATATCTAACTTTTTCTTCTTTCACTCTCATTTGAATTATTTTTGTCTTTAGGCAAACTGTGCCAGAGTCCAAAGCCTTTTGGAATGCTGTTTTGTATATTAAAACTAAAATTAAGCTGGGTGTGGTGGCACAGGAATATAATCCCAGCTACGTGAGAGGCTGAGGCAAGAAGTTGGCAAGTTCAGGGACATCCCAGGCAATTTAGCAAGACTCTGTCTCAAAAATAAAGAATGGCTGGGGATGCAGCTCAGTGGTAGAGTGCCACTGGGTTCAATCCCAGTACCATAGACAAAACAAAACAACAAATAATCTAAAATTAAAATACTTGATTCTTTTTTTTTTTTTTCCCATTCAGAGGAGGGTAATCCTCATGTGTGCCATAAATAATACCAATCTCCCTTTCCAGTATACAAACTAATATAAATTAAGTTCAACTCTTTAAAACTTTGGAGAATATTGTTTTATGATATTCTTTTAAAAAATTCTTTAGTTGTAGATGGACACAATATATTTATATTTATTTATTTATTTATTTTTATGTGGTGCTGAGGATCAAACCCAGGCCTCATGTACGCGAGGCAAGTGCTGTACTACTGAGCTACAACCCCATCCCTGTTTTATGGCGTTCTGATATGATGTACAGTAAGATAAATTTGGAAAATTCTGTACACTGACCTCCGTGTGGGGTTATACATTAGCCTGTTGGAGACTCTGAGAAAAGCATTTGAAGATATAACCCTTTCAATAGTTAAATAGTATTTCACAAACTTACTTGACTAAGTACATTATTTACTGTAATATCTTGAGTCTATCTCAGTAGCAGCTTTCCTCCTCCTCTGTGAGGCATTCTCCTGATGTTTCTGTAAGTAGTTAGGAATATTAACTAATTTTAATTATTGTTATTTCTTATTCTAGTAACTTTGAGTTCTAAGGGTGAAATATATCTATGATAATTAGTCATGGTATATAAACTAATATTAGTTTGTTACCCAAAAAGCAAATAATCTGCAATTTCTGGAAGTGATATACTTCACAGGTGGATTCTTGGATTGGTTTTCAAGAAAGGTGGGAATCCATTTAGGTTTCATTTTTCTTAGAGGTAACAATTTAATTATCTTTCTCCATTATTCTTATCTCTGTTTTTAACAGCTGTTTTTAAATGCTAATAATAAGGTGGCAGACAAGAACGAGAAAGAACTTGCCAACAAATTACTGACAGAAATGAATGAGGACCAGGTATCTACAAAACCTGCATCTTGTTTCAGCCGAAGTCCAAAATCAGTCAATGGGAATAACTTTCCTGTACTTTTCTTCTTGCTTCTTAAAATACATAAACATTAAATAATTCTAATATTCATTAATTATTTTTGAAAATTACTTAAATATTAAAATAAGAATTACTTTCATCTCAAGGATAATTATCTTGGTGGTTAGTAGAAGCAATGAATAAAATGCTATCTGTGCACATGTATTCTCTTTAGTTTGAGGAGATATAAAGTACAGGAATGGGATCCCAGTATCAATGCTGTCTACCTGATGGTGACTTCATATTTTGGGGGCTTCCTTTTCTAAGCACTTTGGTTTAATTGGAACCTCAGGTATTTGTGTGTGAATACGTATGGTCATTGTTAATATGTTGATTCTTTGCTTCTTATTGACAAATAATGATTATAATTCAATGGACAACCTGAATCTTGGAGGAAGGGAAGAAGATGCTGAACTCTTTGAATGTTAAATTAGCATAAACTCAACTTTTTTCTAGTCTAAAAATTCAACTCTATATAAGGATAATGAAGCAAACTTACATAGTAAGTGTTACTTCTCATGTGTTAGGTAAATTAATTTGTAAAAAACTTAAAATGAAGTTTGCTCTTTTCTTTTCCAAAATGTAAGAGAACTTATGTCTTTTATTAACATTATGTTAATATCTAGATTAACAGAGTTGTGGTATAAAAAGAAACTATATTTTAGTGTATTGTTTTCTCAATGGGAAATATTTTACAGAGTACTCTTTTAGATTTCTCTATACACATTTAGTCCCTCTGAAGCCTACTTATATAGTTTAATAAAATAATTATAATAGTCTTGTAGAAGTTTATGTTATAACTCTAAATAGTGGATATAATGAGGTCTTTTGGGATTTTTCTTGGACAAAATCTAGCACTTGTATAAAATTCTGCTGTATGCAGAATGTTTAATATGTACTGTAATGTTTATTGTATATGTAATATGTTTATCCTACATAATATTATTTAATAAACAGCATCAACAAAAACCAGAATTTTATATTAAATGCCCTACCTAAAGGTGATTGAGCTTAATTCAACACTACAGTTAAATTAATCTAAACAGTTCCCTTTGCATTTGAATTTTTTTACTGGAAGATGGTGAGGAAAATCCTATTTGTGGATTGACTGGCTTCAGAATTTTTCAGGACTATTTATTTTTACATCTTTCCAGTTCTTGTTCTGTGCTTTCATGGTAATTATCTACAGGAATATAAACATTCTATGTTTTTCAAGCTAAGTCTATAAGTAATAGTCATGGTCAGTTGTTAAATATTGATTGTTTTTTTTTTTTGCTATACAGGCAGGGCCCTGAAATTTAAGATGTCTGGTTTTTAATGAAGCATAAACAAAATGGAGCTTTTTAAATTCTTTCTTAAAAATTTTAGCACTAAACGTTGCCTTCTCAAAAACATGACAGTGATTATAGATACATGTCTCTTTCTTAAACTCTCTCAAAATTTGCATTTTATATAAAACATAACTTATTGTTTGTGAGGATGATGATTAATTGGTGTGTGATGATCAATTTTAATATAGAGTTTGGAAACTAAGTACACTTTTTAGCTATCTCATTATACATGCTAGTGGAATTTAAGCCTAGGAAGTTCAAGTATATCTTTGAAGGGAAATTAAAACATAATAGAATTTCCAATTATAGACCTCCCTTCCTTCCTCTTGAGATTGTCCATTCGTTTTTAAAAGCATGTGTTGAGCTTGGTGGGGTGGGTTTTCCCTCCCCCTCAAAAACACTTAATGTAATGAGTGAATTTTGCCTTATTCTTTTTGACATATGGCTTATTTCTGTTAAGTAGGTAACTTTTCTTGCAGGTCACAGTGTTTTACATTTCATAGGAAGAGGAATGTAATGCATGTTAAGTATTTTTTCAGGTTTTCAGAACAGAGGTTTCCTAAGTGACTAAAAATCTTGACCGCTATTGATTTTTTAATTTCTTTCAGCAGGTGTTCCAGGGACAGTTGGATTGTTTGGCGGTGTCAACCATCCAAGCTTTGACAGCAATAATGAACAAATCTCCAGCTGCTAAGGTAAAACATATCTCCCAAGCTTTGAAATGTCTTAGATCTGCCATTATTCACTATATAAATCCCAAAATAATATGTAAAAGTCTATAATACATATGGCTTAATACCTGAAATAAAATAGTTCACGAAATACCTCATCTTAATGTAAGAATACTGATAATTTTTAAAAATATTTTTTAGTTGTAGATAAACACACAGTATCTTCATTTATTTTTATGTGGTGCTGAGGATTGAACCCAGGGCCTCACACATGCTAAGCAGCCACTTTACCACTGAGCTACAGCCCCAGCCCAATTTACTGATAATTTTAATGATAAGCAAAGCCCCAAGGACACTGCAGGATTTTAAAAAACATTGATGGGCCTGGGATTGTGGCTCAATGGAAATACACTTGCCTAGCAAGTGTGAGGCACTGGGTTTCATCCTCAGCACCATATACAAATTAAGTAAATTAATTGAATAAAGGTATTGTGTTCATCTACAATTAAAAAAAAAAGACATTGTAAATTAGTGAAGATTTCCAGTGTTTTTCAAAGAATGGGAGCTAGCTCTGATATTGAAATGATCTTTTTTTGAGATTTGTTATAATGTATTCATACATGCACATAATAAAACAATATAATCTGATCAGTTTCATTCCCCAGTATCTCCCCTTTCCCACTCCTCCCTCCCCCTGATCCCCTTCTTCTATTTTTTCTGGTCTCCCTTCTATTTTTTGTTTAATTTGTTCTAATTAGTTATACATGACAGTAGAATGCATTTTGACACATTTTACACAAATGGAGCACATCTTTTCATTCCTCTGGCTGTACATGGTATAGAGTCACACGAGTAGTGTAATCATACATGTATATAGAGTAATAATGTCTGTCTCATTCTACTGTCCTTCCCAACCCCACAGCCCCACCCTCCCTTCACTCCCCTTTGCACAATCCAAAGTTCCTTCATTCTTCCTTACCCACCCCCCCACACACACCATGGATCAGCATCTGCTTATCAGAGAAAACATTCAGCCTTTGTTTTTTTTGTGATTGGTTCATTTCATTTAGCATGATATTCTCTAGTTCCATCCATTTACCAACAAATGCCATAATTTCATTTTTCTTTAAGGCTGAGTAATATTCCATTATATATATGTACTATATTTTCTTTATCCATTATCTGTTGAAGGGCATCTAGGTTGGTTCCATAGTTCAGCTATTGTAAATTGAGCTGCAATAAGCATTGATCTGGCTGAATCACTGTAGTATGCTGATTCTAAGTCCTTTGGGTATAAACTGAGCAGTGGGATAGCTAGGTCAAATGGTGGTTCCATTCCAAGTTTTCTGAGAAATTTTTATACTGCTTTCCAAAGTGATTGCACCAATTTGCAATCTCAACAGCCATGTATGAGTGTGTCTTTTTCCCCACATCTTCACCAATACTTATTATTGCTTGAATTCTTTTTTAAAAAAATATTTATTTTTTAGTTGTTGTTGGACACAATACCTTTATTTCACTTATTTATTTTTATGTGGTGCTGAGGATCGAACCCAGGGTCTTGCACGTGCGAGGAGAGCAATCTGCTGCTGAGCCACAACTCCAGCCCTTGTTTGTATTGTTGGTAATTGCCATTGTGACTGGAGTGAGATGAAATGATAGAGTGGTTTTGATTTGCATTTCTCTAATTGCTAGAGTTGATGAACATTTTTTCATATGTTTGTTGATTGATTGTATTTCTTCTATGAAGTGTCTCTTCAGTTCCTTAGCCCATTTATTGATTGGGTTATTTATTTTTTTGGTGTTAAATTTTTTGAGTTCTTTATGTCCTGGAGATTAATGCTCTATCTGAGGTGCGTGTGGTAAAAATTTTTTCCTGGTCTGTAAGCTCTCTCTTCATGTTATTGATTGTTTCCTTTGCTGAGAAGAAGCTTTTTAGTTGGAATCCATTCCATTTATTGATTCTTAATTTTATTTCTTGTGCTTTAGGAATCTTGTTAAGGAAGTCAGATCCTAAGCTGACATGATGAAGATTTGGACCTCTTTTTTCTTCTTAAATGTAACGTCTCTGTTCTAGTGCCTAGTTATTTTTTTAAATATTTTTATTAGTTGTTGATGGACCTTTATTTTATTAATTTATTTATATGCAGTGCTGAGTATTGAACCCAGTACCTCACACATGCTAGGCAAGCTCTCTGCCACTGAGCCACAAACCCAGCCCGTAGTGCCTAACTCTTTGATCCATTTTGAGTTGATTTTTATGTAGGGTGAGAGATAGAGATTTAATTTCATTTTGCTACATATGGACTTCCAGTTTTCCCAGCACCATTTATTGAATAGGCTATCTTTTCTCCAATGTGTTTTTGGTACCTTTGTCTAATATGAGATAACTGTATGTGGGTTTGTCTCTGTGTCTTCTATTTTGTACCATTGTTCTACTTGTCTATTTTGGTGCTGATACTATGCTGTTTTTGTTACTATTGCTCTGTAGTGTAGTTTTAAGATCTGGTATTGTGATGCCTCTTACTTCACTGTTTTTGTTAAAGATTGCTTTTAAGTGAGTCTATTGTTAATTTAAGGAATTCGGTTTTATATTATAATTTTTCTTTTTAATAAAGAAAACCTGTTTTGGGGCTGGGGATGTGGCTCAAGTGGTAGCGCGCTTGCCTGGTACGCGCGTGGCACTGGGTTCGATCCTCAGCACCACATACAAATAAAGATGTGTCCGCCGAAAACTAAAAATAAATATTAAAAAAAAATTCTCTCTCTCTCTCTCTCTCTCTCTCTCTTTCTCTCTCTCTCTTTAAAAAAAAAAAAAAGAAGAAAACCGGTTTTCTCTATTTAGTCAGTTTATGACTAGCCGTAACAAACATTTTTCACGTGTGATCTGCCCTGTCACTTTGAGGTTTGTTTTTCCAAGTTTTATAGGCATGGTGATTCTGTTTCTTTGATTGTAGTCACTAACCTGCAGAGTTTTCTGTCCCTTCTCATTCACTACCTCTGACTATCCTTCTGTTCACTTATGCTGTTAGCTACCTATATGCTGACAACTATTTTATTGAGTAATTGTAATGATTAGTAGGGTCACCTGTATAAAATGGTAAACACAGAGCCAGGCAAACGGTAAATGCTAAGTAAATGTTAGTGACATTATTACCACTTTATTTACCTATCTCCCACCTCTAACATCTTTTATTCCTCACTTTTCTGGTTCCAGAAGTGAACTAATTACTGTCTGTTCCCTGAGTCATTCCTTCAGTTGTATTCCCTAGCTGGTTTGTCTTAGGAAACTAAGTTTTGCCCTGGAAATGTTGTTGAAACTCATGGTTAGGATTCTATTGAATAAGGTTTTGGATTTTACAGTCCAACTTCTGACTTGAATGTGCATTTAATTGTTTCTGTAAGGAAGAAATAATTTTTTAAATTCTAAGTGATTGATTTTTTGAGTGTAATGGATTGCATATACTATATTCTGAAATTCAAAGCTAAAAAATGCTCAAGGTTTTTTAAAGAGTTTTTTTTTCTTTGTTTTTGTTGTTGACTGTGTAATACTTTACATGGTTTAAAAACCAAAGGTTATATAACAAATACCCTTTGCAAACAATATTTCCTCCTATCCTTGGCCCACAGTGCAACTATTTCTCCTTTCTAAAAACAACCAGTTTTACTGGTTTTGTTTAAATCTTTTGATTTTATAATGAGTGTATAAACATCTGCCTAATTTAATGGAGTGATTTAGTATTTTCTACTTTTGTTGGTTATCTATATATTTCACTGTATGACATTAGGTGCCTACTGTTTTAAAATATATGTAATATAGAACTTTCTAAAATGAAGTTAATGCTCCCAATAATTTAGACCATTTAGATACAAAGAGCAGAGAGAAAACTCTATGTATTCAGTTTTTCTTTTCTTTTTCTGGCCATTACTTAAAATTGCCAGTACTCTTTGGTTCTTTGAGGTTATTATCTGACTCCTCTTACCTCCAAGTCTTCTCATTTTTTTTCCTCTATTTTTGTTTTAATTTCACTTAATACTCTATTAATTAAAAATCACTTTAAAAGGTTAAGTGTCATTTACCATATTCTGTAAATATTAAAAAAGTTTTAAACACAGTTATGCTCACTTTGTTTTGCATTTTGATAGATTATTATAACTCTGTTATTCCAGAAGTTGTAAGGATTCTGTTTAAAGATAAACACATGTAATTTGAGAGAATATTGAATTCATAATCTTTTTTTAATTTAATATTAAGTTCATTAGCTTAAAAGGATTTTCAATATTTTTAATATTTCAACAAATCTAGGCATTTAAAATGTGCTTTTATATATTGTTTTCTCCTCTAGGAAATATTTAAAGAAAGAATTGGTTATACACACATGTTTGAAGTATTAAAATCTCTGGGTCAGCCTCCATTGGAACTACTTAAAGAACTTATGAACATGGTGAGTTTTTAACCTTTTTTTAAAAAGCTAATTTATCTCCATTTCAAAAATGGTAACTAACCTTTTATTTTTTATGTTGTTTTTTCAGGCTGTAGAGGGTGACCATACTTCAGTTGGGATTTTGGGCATTAGTAATGTCCATCCTCTCTTGCTTCTTATCCAGTGGCTTCCAGAGCTTGAATCCCATGACCTGCAAATCTTCATCTCTGATTGGCTGAAGAAAATTTGTTGTATTAATAGGCAGAGTCGAACTACATGTGTCAATGCAAACATGGGAATTAGGATAATTGAAACCCTTGATTCCCATTCTTCCCTTCATCGAATTTGTGCTGAGAACTTGATTGCAATCTATGGTTCCTTGGGGAGTCAGTCAGTGAGCTCAGAAGAAATCCGTAGCTTGCTGAGATTGCTCAGGGTGGATCAATCTGAGTTTATTCATCCTTATACCACTGCTGTGACTCGAGCGATACTGACAATGGCCCGAAAACTTAGTCTAGAAAGTGCACTGCAGTATTTTAATTTGTCACATAGTATGGCAGGAATTTCTGTGCCCCCCATACAGAAATGGCCAGGGTCTGCCTTTTCTTTCAGTGCTTGGTTTTGTTTAGATCAGGATCAGTTGACTCTTGGTGTTGCTAACAAAAGAGGAAAAAGAAAACAATTATACAGGTAATGGTATAGTTATGGAATTTACATAACTATTGTCATAGCAGTATATATCCTATGGTTCCCAAATAGGAAAAAGCCTCTGGAAATATCTTACTTTTAAATGTACAACAATTTATCTGAAGTTTCTTTGTCTTTTAGCTGCATGCAGTTTAATTATAAGTGCTTTATTATATATATTTTTAATAATAATTATATAACTCAGATATTTGCTACGTAAGTTCTGAGGTTAGTTTTGGACTATAAAAGTGGAGAAGAAAGGATTAATAAACTTCAATGATAATCTTTGTGACCCATTGAAGATACTATATGCTTCTTATATAAAGGACCAGAAAATTTATGTACATGTCTATCTAGTCTGCAGTACCTAATAATTTTTAATTCTTGTGATTTTTAAGACCTTTATGTTTGCTTTCTGAATTTTATTTGGAAGAATATTGAAGATCTTAAATTTTTTTTTAGTTTTATTGTAGTTTGCTAATGGAATTATAGTTATAATGCTGCCTTGTATGATTTGTTAACTCTTATACCAAAAAAAAAAAATTTAAAAAATGTCTTTGAAACAAAGTTGGACCGATGTGTGGCGTTAGAGTTTAAGCTACTGCATTGCTGATAAAGGTGTTCATGATGGCTTTATGATTCTGTGGGTTTCAGTGATGATGAAACTCATCAACTGACTTCAGGAGTTCTGATAATATATATTTATGTTAGCTTTTTTACAGGAAGTGGCATGGGTTTTGAAGCTTTTATTACCCATTCAGGTATGTTGGTTGTGGCAGTGTGCACCAGAAGAGAATATGCAACAGTTATGCTTCCTGACCACAGTTTCTGTGATTCCCTCTGGGTAAGGCTTTGAGACATCATATTTAACTTGTTGGTTCTTTTCTTGAAAAAACACAATTTGATGCACCTTCAAAGGAGTTTTTTTTCATTTGCTTTTTGAGAGTCAATTAATTTTTACTTTAAGGTTCTCATTTTGGAGTTTGTCTATTGGAAGGTTAATACTGCTTATGTTGTCATAAATATAATTTATGATAATAAAATTTCTGCTAAAACCTAAAATGAAATGTTATGATTTCTTTGAGGTCTTCTAAAAGCACATTTAATTTTGAATTTCAATTAAAATGACATGAGAAATCATTAAAAACAATGCATTTCTATTGTTTTTTTAAAAAAATATTTATTTTTTAGTTTTAGGTGGACACAATATCTTTATTTTATTTTTTGTGGTGTAGAAGATTGAACCCAGCGCCCCACGCATGCCAGGCGAGCACGCTACCACTTGAGCCACATTCCCAGCCCTCTTCTGCTTTTTTAAAAATATAAAATGTGTCTTTATTAGAAAGATTGATTTTAAAGAATATTCAAAGCTTTGGAAAATGAAGAAAAGACATTATGTTTTGATTTTTTAATATTTTTTAGAAAAGGTTTAAGTGTTTTATAGTACTACAGAAAAAATTATTCTCACTTTAAGAACATCATTTTAATCAGCAGTTAACTGTGTTTAATCTTAATATTCTGTTCACACAAACATATTATAGAGTAATACTTTGAAAACATTTGTCATTCCAAAGGCAGTATAATTTTAGCCTTTCACATGTATGTTTTACTTCACCAGCACAACATAACTATTGTTCACATGCCTGGAAAAAGACCCTTTGGTCAGAGTCTTGTTTATATCTATGACAATGGACAACAGAAGGTTTCTGCCCCTCTCAGATTTCCTGCCATGAATGAGGTAAGTATATTTAACCTACTCTTTTCTTTCAGGCTTACTTGATTGAGAACTCTTAAAGATTTCAGTTAATTTAGAAGATTTTGTTTGTTCAAAATATAGGGTTCTAAAATTTGGAAGTGTATTCTATATATTAAGATAGTAAATTAATTTGTCAGCTATCATTAGATTTTGTCAGACAAGTGTGTTGAAAAGGAAAACAATTCAAGGAAGAAACAAATGCAATTGAAGATTTAAGGGAAAAAAAAAGACTTAAAACAGGAAGCCAGAGAAATGATTAGATAATTTAATAAAACTCTCTTATGAAATATTATTATGAACTCTTCCATTCACATTAATTTGAAATAATGAAGAAACTTAAAACTTGCATGTTGGGGGCTGGGGTTGTGGCTCAGTGGTAGGGTACTTGTCTGGCATATATGAGGCACTGGGTTCTATCCTCAGCACTACATAAAAATAAATAAAGGTTTTGCGTCCATCTGCAATTTAAAAAATATTTTTAAAAAACCTTGCATGTTGTAGTTAGGTATAAGATAGACTTTATTTACAGAGGTGGTTCTCAGTGACTACTTATGTAAAAGTTCTTTGAGAATTTTGAGAAAGTCTTTTCTGAAGGTAATGGAATGGAGTAGATTATTTCTCAAGTCCTTCTAGGAGTTGAATAATTTCTTATTGTTTTTGATGACCATTTTAAGATAGCCTGTAATGAGCATTATACTGATACACAATTCTCTGTAAATTTTTAAGGGGGAAAGGTAGTTTTTTTCTATTTTAGATAACAGTAAAGCTGTTTAAAAATTTTTTCATAATATGCACTCATTAAAATATTTTTAAATTACAAGTATGTAAAGTGAGTCATAAAAATAATACATCTGAATTCTATTGGCCAAGGGGAACTTTGGTAATGATTTCTTGTGTATATACATGCATATATACATCTTGATCCAGTAAAAATAAAACATAATTTTCAGTCTGTTTATTTGCTTAGTTTTATATGCTATTTATATCTAATTTATTTTTTCCATCACTGGGGATTAAGCCTAGGGCCTTGCAAATACTAGGCAAGGGCTGTACCACTGAGCTATATCTCCGGCTCTCACTATGTAATTTTAAACATGAAATTTGATATTTATTTAAAATGGTGTAATAATTTGTTTGTTTCTTAGTCTTTTACTTCCTGTTGTATTGGTTCAGCTGGGCAAAGAACCACCACTCCTCCACCGTCTCAAATTCCAGATCCACCATTTTCTTCTCCCATTACCCCTCATCGGGCATCATTTGGTGGAATTCTATCATCAGCCTCCTGGGGAGGAGCAACTGAAAAATCAAAATTAGTTACCAAATTGATATCAGCTGGAACCCAAGACAGTGAATGGGGATGTCCCACATCCCTGGAGGGTCAGCTAGGGTCTGTTATTATCTTTTATGAAGCACTGCAGCCTCCTCAAGTGAAAGCATTGTATTTAGCAGGTAAGCATGTACATTATACTGTTTAATTAAATTTAAAATTTTCTAAAGAAACTATTTGGAGAGTGTATTTATTTTCATTGAAAATCAAAGGAGTGCTCCCTTCAGCATATAAAATTTAGCACATATACTAAAATTGGAACAATATAGAGAAGATTAGCATGACCCCTGCTCAAGGATGACACACAAATTCGTGAAGTGTTCCATATTTAAAAAAAAAAAAAATGAAGAAAGGAAAAGTCCCCATGTACTATATATTTTTTGTAAGCATAAATAAAACAAACCTTTGGAAAATATTTCAAGATATCATCCATAAACTGCCAGAATTATTCTCCTAGAGTTGCCATTGCAAAATACCACAGACTTGGTGGCTTTAACAAGAGAAATTTATCTTCTCACAGTTCTGGAAACTAGAAGTCCAAGAGCAGTGTGCATCAAGATTGTTTTCTAGTGAAGCTTCTCTTCATAGTTATGGGTAGCTGCCACATTGCAGTGTTATAGGGTTTTTCTTCTGTTTGCATGTGGACTGAATAAGAGACCTCTGCTGTCTCTTTTCTTGTAAGGAACCATATCAGATTAGGGATCCACTATTATGACTTTATATAACTTTATCTCCTTAAGACTCTATTTCCAAGTATAGTCATATTGGAGACTATGTCTTTAACATGAATTTTAGGGCCATCCATAACAATGCCAGTTCTTTTGTCAGATATTAGTGAATTGATAAAACAAAATATAAGCTTATCTCCATAAGAAATCATGAGTCTTGTTTTAAAACTTGTCATCTTTATAATTGGTGTATTAATATACCTGAAAAAAATAAGATTGTACAATTTTTTTGTTTTGGCCTTTACTTTTGACCAAGATTTTAAGCGTGCGCGCGCACACACACACACACACATTAATTATTTTTGAATCATAACTACTTACAAAATTATATTCTAGCAGGATGTTCAGATGTTAAGTCTCTGAAAGTCATATACATTAACTTGGCAGAATGGCTTTTTTTTGGGGGGGGGGGCGGTCAACATATTCTTTTTAGATTACTGGAGTTTTGACATGAATGGGACAATCCAGACTTTCAAAGTTTATGGTAAACCTTTGAACTCACCAGAATGTTTACAGGTAGTCCATAATCCAAATAAATTAAAACTAGTAATAAGTCATTTTGTTTAGTCATTATGGCTATGTAGTTTACATTTTGTTCTTATAATTTTCCTACTTATAATTCTCCTCTAACAAATAATTATTTTTAGTCTTCATAAGTGATCATTTTAGATGGTTGTATAATGTTTCTTTGAATTCATAATGTGTGATTTATTTAGGTTGTTTATAAAATTTTTAGTATTGGTATAAAAATTCAGTGTTTAAAGTTAATGAACTGTTGTACTTAGAGTTTTTCTTATTTTGTTGTATGTAATGATAAATTCTTAGGATAAATATTCAATGAATATATTAAAATCTCAGTACATGTTGCATAATCCATTTCCAAAAGGGATATAAGAATTCACAGTGCCCACCAGGAAAACAGAAACATACCAGTTTCACCATAGCATCAATAACATTTCCTTCATTATTCAATGTAAAATAGAATCTTATTTGAACTTGTTGTTCTTCGATTTTTTAGGTGGACTTTGTTATATTTGATAATAGCTTTTTTATGCTATATACAGTTTCCTTTATGGAGTGAAGGTTGATCCACTTCCTAATTTTTCTAGGTTTTGGATAACTTGGAGGTGATATAAAAACTAAAGTACAGCCAGACACTGTGACGCACATTTGTAATTCCAGCAGCTTGGGAGGTTGAGGCAGGAGGATTTCAAGTTCAAAGCCAGCCTCAGCAGCTTAGCAAAGCCCTAAGCAAATTAGTGAGACCCTGTCTCAAAATTAAAAATAAAAGGGGCAGGGGATGTCAGTTAGTTGTTAAGTGCCCCTGGGTTCAATCTCCAGTACCAAACCAAACCAAACAAAAACCTCGAAGAATATTTTAGCTAGTATGGTTTAGTGTATTATCTGTGTAGCTTAAAACACTTTAAATTTTGTTTTGATAACACAGAACCAAGGAGACTATAAATATTCAATGATATGTATGTATGTGTATAAATAATTTTCAGGTCCAAATTGTTTAAGCCCTTGGAAATGTCAAGAGAATGACATGGCCGACCTGCCTGGTAACATCCTTCTTCACTACACAGCAAAGGTTAGAGCAAATGCATGGACTGTCCATCTAGTTATAACTCTGTTGTGAACTAAGATTCTTTTTTATTCCTTTAGTCATTTCAATGGATAATTGAGATGGAGGGGCTTTAATTGTCAGTTTTTGAATTATGCATTTTTCAAAGAAAGATGAGAAGTAGCAAACATTAAGGACACTTCCAGTTAGAGTTCAAATGTTATCATAATGTCATTCCAGTAGTGTAAATGGAAATAGTTGTAGTTGGAATTTGTACTAATGAACTGAATTCAGTAAATGAACCAGATTTGAACATGTGTTCACCTAAACTTTCTGGAAGGAGAGATGAAACAGAAATGTGCTCAAACTTTGGTATTTTTTAAAAAAACGTGATTCAGCAAAAGAGGGAGAGAAGAATGAAGGGAAAAAAGAAATGTTTACTAAAGGAGAAAAAAGAAACTTACTATATGCCTGTCATCCTTTTTACTTCAAGGACTTATCTAATGAAAGTACTTGAAGTCAGCAAGGATAGAGGGACGGAAGATAAAAGTTAGAACTGGGAGGAGAGAAAAGGGAGAAGTATTATAAACATCAGTTGTGTTCATTATATTAAATATTATGTTGACTCAGAGATGCTTTGGTAGTGGGAGATTATATGTTATAGCAATCTGGCATATAATCATAATTATTATTTTTGAATGTGTATTTGTTATATCTGACCTAATAAAATGAAGTGATTAGTTTTATTTTCTCCCAACTTTTTTTTTTTTTTTTTAATTATTTAGTTAGTTCTCGGCAGACACAACTTTTTTTGTATGTGGTGCTGAGGATCAAACCCGGGCCGCACTCGCCAGGCGAGCGCGCTACCTACCGCTTGAGCCATATCCCCAGCCCTCTCCCAACTTTTTGTTTTCATTTTTTCTTTATTAAGTTATTTTTTTATTCTAATTTGTTATACATGATGGCAAAATGCAATTCATTTCATATTACACATATAGGGCACAATTTTTCAAGTCACTGTATGCAAAGTATTTTCACACCATTTGTGTCTTTTTTTTTTTTTAAACATCCATCTTTTAGTTGTAGTTGGACACAGTACCTTTATTTTATTTATTTTTATGTGGTGCTGAGGATCAAACCCAGATCCCTGCACGTGCTAGCACTGCTCAGCACTCCACCACTGAGCCACAACCCCAGCTCACCATTTGTGTCTTCATACATGTACTTAGGGTAGTTATGTCTAACTCATTTCACCATCAGTCCTACCCCCTACTCCTTCCCCCTTATTTCCCTCCCTCCCCTTTACCCTATCTAAATTTTCTCCATTCCTCCCATGTTCCTCCCCATCGCCATTATGAGTCAGCATCCTCATATCAAAGAAAACATTCAGCCTTTGGTTTTTTGGGATTGGCTTACTTCACTTAGCATTATATTCTCCAACTTCATTACCTGCAAATGCTATGATTTTATTTTCTTTTAATGCTGAGTAATATTCCATTGTGTATATATACCAAATTTTCCCTATCCATTCATTTACTGAAGGGCACCTGGGTTGGTTCCACAATTTAGGTATTGTGAATTGTGCTGCTATAAACACTGATATGACTGTATCCCTGTATTAGGCTGTTTTTAAGTCCTTCGGATATAAACCGAAGATTGGGATAGCCGGGTCAAATGGTGGTTCCATTCCAAGTTTTCCAAGGAATATCCATATTGCTTTCCAGATTGGCAGCATCAATTTGCAGTCCCATCAGCAATGTATGAGTGTTCTTTTCCCCCACATCCTTGCCAACACATGTTGTTGACTGTATTCTTGATAGCTGCCATTCTGACTGGTGTGAGATGAAATCTTAGAGTAGTTTTGATTTGATTTCTTTAATTGCTAGAGATGTTGAACATTTTTTCATATATTTGTTGATTGATTGTATATTCTGAGAAATGTCTGTTCAGTTCCTTGGCCCATTTATTGATTGGGTAATTTGTTTTCTTGGTGTTAAGGTTTTTGGGTGCTTTATATATCTTAGAGATTAGTGCTGTATCTGATGGGCTTGTGGTAAAATTTGGTCCCTTTCTGTAGGCTCTCTACTCACCTCACTGATTATTTATTTTGCTGAAAAGAAGCTTTTTAGCTTGAATCCATCTCATTTATTGATTGAGATTTGGGCCTACTTTTTCTTCCATTAGGTGCAAGGTCTCTGGTTTAATTCCTAGGTCCTTGATCTACTTTGAGTTGAGTTTTGTGCATGGTGAGAGAGAGAGATTTAATTTTATTTTGTTACATGTGGATTTCCAGTTTTCCCAGCACCATTTGTTGAAGTGGCTATCTTTTCTCCAATGTATGTTTTTGGTACCTTTGTTTAATATAAGATAACTGTAGTTATTAGGGTTAGTGTCTGTGTCCTCTATTCTGTACCATTGGTCTACAGGTCTATTTTGGTGCCAATACCATGCTGTTTCTGTTACTATTGCTCTGCAGTATAATTTAAGTTCTGGAATAGTAATGCCATAATAGGGTAGTTATGTCTAACTCATTCCACCATCAGTCCTACCCTCTACCCCCTTCCCCCTTATTCCCCATAGCTTCACTCTTCTTGCTATGGATTGCTTTAACTATTCTGGGTCTGTTATATTTTTCCAGATGGATTTCATGATTGCTTTTTCTATTTCTAAGAGGGATGTCATTGGGATTTTGATTGGGATTGCATTGAATCTGTATAGTGCTTTTGGTAATATGGTCATTTTGACAATATTATTTCTGCCTATCCAAGAACAAGGAGATCTTTCCATTTTCTAAGCTCGTCTTTAATTTCTTTCTTTAGTTCTGTAGTTTTCATTGTAGAGGTCTTTCACCTCTTTCATTCAGATGATTCCCAACTATTTTATTTATTTTTTTTGAGGCTATTATAAATAGGGTGGTTTTCCTAGTTTCTCTTTCTGAGGATTTGTCACTGATGTACAGAAATGCCTTTTATTTTGAAAAATTTCAAGCCTACAGAAAAGTCAAAATAATAGTAAAGTGATATGCAGTATTCTGTACATGTAAATTCACCAGTTATTAACATTTTGCCGTACTTTCTGGCTATCTCAAATCATTTGTGAAAGGAAATTAACATAGCTGTCAGGCTGGATGAGGTGGTGCTTGCCTGTAATCCCAGCAGCTCTAGAGGTTGAAATCGGAGGATTGTAAATTAAGGATCAGCCTCAGCAATTCATGGAGGCCCTTAGTGAGACCCTGTCTCAAAATAAAAAATAAAAATTATAAAAAATGGAGGCTAGGAATGTAGCTCAGTGGTAAAGTGCCTCTGGGTTAAATCTCCAGAACCTAAAATAACAATAACAAACATAGCTATCAAAACTTCATCCCTAATATTTCTATATAACCACTTACCAACATGAGAAACTGATCCATAATTTCATATATGACTCTATATTCAGTTTGTCCTAAAATATTTATTAGTATTTAAAAAATTACCTTGGACCCTTTCGAGGTCCTTGCATTGTGTTGTTTATAACATTTCTCGAGTTTTGTATCTTCTGTTTGCTTTTCATTTTACCAATGATATATATTTGTTTACCCAGCTACACTTTTAAAATACTTTTGAACTTAATAATTTAAGGTATTATGGAATTGTTGGAATTGTTCAGTAGTCAGCAGTGTTTTCATTTTTGTCCTCTTTTGCAGGGGTGTTTAGTCATTTATTTGTTCATAATTTTATACTATTCAAAGTTAAATTTTCAATTTTATATATTTTTAAAAATAGCTATTACCTTGTTTTTTCCCCAAGAAATGCAATATGACTTATATCATAATAAGTAAAACAGTATACTGAAGGAGTGTTTCTCCAAAACTGTGGTATATCATGATACAAGGATTCTATGGTTAAATAAATTTGTAGAGCTGTTGTATTCTTTATAGCCCTCTTAGAAAATTTGAGAAAGTTTAAAAATCCTACCTCCCCCCCAAAACCCCTTTCATTTAGTTTTATCTTTTATTTCCTAAGTCATTTGAGCATAAAACATTTTTTAAAATAACTCAGTTATTAACAAATGACAGTTTGCTAAAAGCGGCTGTATGGAATTGTTCAGTAGTCATCAGTGTTTTCATTTTTGCCCTCTTTTGCAGGGGGTGTTTAGTCATTTATTTGTTCACAATTGATTGTCTTTTCTTTGACACTCAATAAACTGACAAGAATTGTGAAAATTCTTAGGAAACAAAGAGGAATACCTTAAGACTTAAGTCTAGCTTTTACGAATCTTGCTATCTAAAGTGAGATAAATATGTAAAAAAGTGTAATATAATTTTTTGAATTTTTTAGCTATCATTCATTATGTGTTTATAATATATTAACTACTATACTGTTTGACTTAATCTTCACAAAAGCCCTGAGATGTATATAGTATTATCTGTATCTTTTCTAAGCTTTCTTTTTTGTTAGGCTCAGTAAAGATAAGTATATTGACTAGCTTTATAATTCTAGTGAACGATAATGCTAAATTCACAATCCAGTATGATCAGTGCATATCTTGAACCATTATACAGTATTTCTGTGTTGCAGTTCTGTACAAAATGTAGCGTGTATACAAGCAGGGAATGGTTGGTTCTTCTAGGGAGATTGGAGTTGTATCTTAAAAGGCAGGATTAAAGAGGAATTCACAGTGAGCAGCATCTACAAAGGCATAGACTATAAAACAGGGTTTTACATGTATGTATCTGAGCAGGGGAAGATATGTCAGGAAATGAGTTTAGAGAGGAAGTAGAGACCAGATTATAGCAAACCTTGTATGCCAGGTTAAGGAGTTTACACAGAAGAGTAGAATGTTAAGGTTTGCATTTTAGAAAAAAGTTCTTGAACTACAGTACAAAAGTTGGATTGGAAAGGTAAGAGACTGTAGGCAGTCATATCATTAGGAGATTACCGTGTTAAGAGAGGTCATATGTAAAGAGTGCTCAAAGAAGCAGCTGGAAGAAGACATTTCTGCTCTGAGATTGACATAGACTGCTAAATATTCTTTTTTAAATTAAATTTTCTCAGTTTCCCAAGAGGAAAGCAATAGCTATATCATGTATGTTCTTTTCTTTTGGAATGGGAATCAAATGCAAAGATGTTTCATTACTTGAAGATTCAGATTTTAGTGTGAAGTTACATGACTTCATGAAAGGAAGTTAAATGGTTTTTAATAACTTTTTGAATTACAGATTAAATTCTTACTCTGAATTAAATCAGAATTGTGTCTTTAATACACAGGTAAATAGTGTCTTATAGCCACAATTGGATTTTCATATAATCAAATAAAATATATTCTTTTGTGATTTCTCTCACTTTTTTTTTTTTCTTTTGCTACCAGAGATTGAACTCTGGGGCATTCAACCACTGAGCCACAACCCCAGCCTATTTTGTATTTTTTTTAGAGACAGGGTCTCACTGAGTTGCTAAGCGCCTCACCATTGCGGAGGCTGGCTTTGAACTTGAAATCCTCCTGTCTCAGCCTTCGTAGCTGCTGGGATTACAGGCATATGCCACCACACCCGGCTCTATCTCAGATTTGAATCATACATTTTTTATGTATTATGAAATTGTGCCTAGGAAAGTAGTAATGGGATTTAAATATTGATTTTTTTTTTAGTTCTGAAGACTGATCCCCAGCATGCTATACCATAGCTGAGCTACATCCCCAGCCCTTTTTATTTATTATTTTTGAGACAAGTTCTCACTAAATTGCCCAGGGTGGCCTTAAGCTGGCAGTCCTCCTGCCTCAGCCTCCCAAGCAGCTGAGATTACAGGCATGCACCACCATGTCCAGCTGATTTTTTTAAAAGTCATAAGTCTGTTTGCATATATTGATTTAAAAAAGAAAAAAATTTAAACTCAAGTGATTGAGGAGTTACAGTTAGTTCATTAATCATTTGATAAGACTCAGTGACCTGATTTTGATAAGTAAATGCTTTTTAAATTTTTTTTTTAAGTTGTTAATAGACATTCATTTTATTTATTTATTTTTATGTGGTGCTGAGGATCAAACCCAGTGCCTCACACATGCTAGGCAGGCATTCTACCACTGGGCCACAATCCTAGCCTTATAAGTAAGTGCTTTAAGATGTAGTCCCTGATTCTTTAAGAGACGTTCAGAGAACAGTAATATTAAAACTCAGATGGGCCAAGTGTGGTGGCATACACCTGTAATATAGGCTACTTAGGAGATGAAAGCAGGAGAATCAAAAATTCATGGCCACCCTGAGAATATAGCAAGATGTTATGTAAAGATTTTAAAGAAAGGTGGAGATGTAGCTCAGTGCTTGCCAAGCATGTATGAGACCCTGGGTTCAAAACCCTGGTCCTTGGAGGTAGGGGGATAAAGGGATAAAGGGATAAAGAAAGAAAATTAAATGGTAGGCACCTTCTCATTGTTTATCTTTTAAAATGGTGGTGTAATGTTTCTTATATGGTTAAAGTTAGGTTTTGTTCTAATTTTTGTTGTATATTTTCTTTTATTCTTAGGCTTGCAAAAATTCAATCTGCCTTGATTTATCCACTAATTGTTTGCATGGAAGATTAACAGGAAACAAAGTAGTGAACTGGGATATTAAGGTAAATTAATAATAAATGATGGGCAACATAGTATAATCTAAGTAAGTTTAAGTTTAATGATCCTTTTAAAGGCTTTTTTTGGGGGGTGGGGTACTGGGGATTTAACCCAAGCAATTTGCCAATGAACCATATCTGTGTCCCTTTTTTATTTTTGAGACAATCTCACTAAGTTGGTTAGGCCTTGCTCAGTTGCTGAGGCTGACATTGAATTTGCCATCCCCTGGGATTACAAGTGTGTGCCACCACCATGCCCTGCAAGATTTTATCTTATAAACATCTCCAGATTGATTTAAGTAATAGGTCTCACTTAAAATGTTATACAGATGTAAAGTTTGAAGGATAAATAAGTAGCTTAATGACTATAGCAGTGGAATATCTGATTCACAGGAAACATATTTACCTTTGTAAACTCTTCCATGAGTATAACAATCTCTGTAAGTATGCTATTTTAGTGTATTAAGATATTTAATACCTTGGGGCTGGGGTTGTGGCTCAGTGGTAGAGAGCTCGCCTAGGACATGTGAGGCCTTGGGTTCAATCCTCAGCACCACATAAAAATAAATAAATAAATAAAAATAAAATAAATGTATCATGTCCAACTTCAACTAAAAAAAAAAAACATATTTAATCCCTAAAATTGTATGGCATATAATCTTCCTAGAGATTTCATTGATTATCTCTTTTCTATTAGACACCTGCTCTCACCGGGGATCCCTCAATTTAGGCTATCCTATATATTAGTGACAAATTGTAACTTTATATATGCTATGTATATACCAAATGACACCTTTGTTCTTGTTTTATAAGACTAAGAAATTATGATTTTTCTTTTCAGGACATCATCAACTGCATAGGTGGATTAAATGTACTCTTTCCTTTATTGGAACAAATAAGCCACTTTAGTGAAGGACCAATTCCTGAAGGAATGGATGAAAGCATAGTTCCTGAATTGATAACACCTGTAGAGGGAGATTGTATGTTACTGACCTCCACAAAAGCATCAGGTATAAAGATGATGTTAACACAAAGTGGTCATTGAAAAATTTGAGAATTAATTGAAAAATAAATACCGGTATTAGAAAAAATTTAATCATTTATAAAAGTAGCAGCTGCCCTAACTTTACTAATAAAGTTCGGGAAATTTATAATACTTTGGTCAAACAGTTAAGGTGGTGGTTTTACTCTGACGATCCTTATATTATTCTCTTAGTATACTGTGAAAAATACTATATCATTAAATTTGTGGTAGAGAAAATATTTACATATACATGTAAGTATACAACATGCTATTGCTGCTTTTTTTATTTCATTGTACAAATCACCTTTGGAAACAAACTTTTTTTTGTTTTGTTTTGTTTTAATTTTCAATGGATCTTTTGTTTTATTTATTTATATGTGGTGCTGAGGATCGAACCCAGGGCTTCACTTATGCCAGGCAAGTGTTCTACCTCTGAGCACAACTCCAGCCTGGAAGCAAACTTTTGAACTAAATTTCTTTTTTGTTACAGTATGCATTATGATATGGAGAATAGAAAATGGAAATAAAAGTGATGAATTATGATAATTAATGACATGTTCTCATTTCCATAGAGTCAAGACTAGAGAAAAATCTGGTTGCAACATTTATCTTGATTATAAAGCACTTTATTCAGAGACATCCCATCAACCAGGATAATCTTATTCACTCCCATGGAGTTGCAACTCTTGGTGCCTTACTTCAGAAGGTAAGCCAATCTAACATGGGGTTGATACAGCTGATGACTATAATTAGCAGTTGGTGTTGGGATTCTGTACTTCCTACTAAATAAATACATTACTAAAGATTGTAGCCTTACATCTTCAAATTATACTAATGAGGAAGATTTGTTTCAGTGGCACCTTTTAAAAACTTTCATGGAATTGTATTATACAAGAGGTACTTATTTATATAACAGTATATAATCTTTGAAGTATATGGCTTTGTTATCTTTATTATTTGGAATGTTTGAGAAATATAAGACTATTTTAAGAATATGACATTAGAAAAATGTGTTCTAGAGTTACATCAGAAAAATTGAGTTGTTTATATTTTATATCCTAGGTTTAAAAATTTTTACATTTTAGTAGATATTCCAAATTATTGATTTAAAATTGTAATTTAATAGTAGCTATTTAAATTGAATTTTATGGAACCCTTTTCTGTTTGGTTTCAGGTACCAGGCACCTTAATGGATGTCAATGTATTGATGGCAATTCAATTACTAATTGAACAGGTATCATTAGAGAAAAATATGCCACTCCTGCAACAAATGTATCAGTATTTACTCTTTGACTTCCGTATTTGGAATCGAGGAGATTTTCCCTTTCGAATTGGTGAGAGCAGGCTATTTGATAAAATTTTGTAGAAATTTTAGAAATTTATAACTATGTCTGTGATTATTGTAGATAACATCATTTACAAGTGAATTTTCTATTTTAGGTCATATACAATATCTTTCAACCATCATTAAAGATAGCAGGAGAATTTTCCGAAAGAAATATGGTGTGCAGTTTCTCCTTGATACACTTAGGATTTATTATGGGTATGACAGTCTTGATCCTTCCTTAGGTTGTTATATTTTTATTCTGCTACTTGACTGGAATGGGTAGATTTTCTCACTACTAGTGATTCTAATATCCTTTAACTTCAGAGAAGCAGGATAGTTTGGAGGTTAAAAGGATGACTAATTGATCTACATATACCAGTTTTGAATATTGGTTTCACTAATTGTGTAGCTTTAAGCAGATTACCCAAATTTTCTGTGCTTGAGGTTTCTTCCCCTGTGAAAAGTAAAACCTCTGCCAGGCGTGGTGGTGCACACCTGTAATCTGGAGGCCGAGGCAGGAGGATCTCAATTTCAAAACCAGCCTCAGCAATTTAGTAAGACCGCAAGCAACTTAGCAAGACCCGGTCTCAAAATAAAACCCAAAAAGGGTTGGGGATGTGTCTCAGTGGTTAATCCCCGGTATCCCCTTCCCTCTAAAACAAAAAACAAACAAACTAAAACCTTCCTATGGTGATTTACATTAGTAACATAAGTTACTAATATAAAAAGCACATACAATTCTGTGTGCTACATAGTGTTGTATAAATGTAAGCTGTTTTAATATTTTTTTTGTCACTAAAACACTACAAAAGATTTTCCTTAAAAAGAAAAACAAGGGGCTGTGGTTGTGGCTCAGTGGTAGAGTGCTTGCCTGGCATGTGTGAGGCCCTGGGTTCAATCCTCAGTGCCACATATAAATAAACAAAGTAAAAAATCCACTGGCAACTAAAAAATATTAAAAAAAGAAAAACAAGCCAAAATTACCATGAATTATAATAATTATGTGGAAAGGTCTCTTTTTAAACTAAGAATTCTTTCATATGAAATGTACAAAAGTGTTACAAGTTAAATTTTCAATTATGCTTCTGTTTTTCTCTTTTAGGAGTAGTTATAAATGTAATGAGCTATCTCTTGATGACATTCGAACAATAAGGACATCTTTGTATGGACTAATTAAATATTTTCTATGCAAGGGTGGAACTCATGAAGAGATACAAAGCATAATGTGTTACATAGCTGCTACTAATGAAGAAGAACAGGTATTATGCCAGGGATCTAATCTAATCTTTCTTTTTAATATTTAAGTTGTTCTCTCATCTTGTTAACTTACATATTTCCTTAATTATTTCAAGAATAAGATTATGTAATGTCACATACAATATTACATAATTAAATAACTGAATTTTATTTACTGTCTGAAACTTTAATAAGTAGATGATATTATAATTTAGTGTTTTATTTAGCTCAAAAGTGTAAAAATGTGGAAATACAGGCTTTATCTGGCAATTCTGAAGTCTGTTTTCATGGCCTACATGGTGTATGTGTATCATCAAATTTACTGGGTGTTTTTTTTTTTTTTTTTGGTACCAGGGATTGAACCCAGGGGCACCTAACCACCGAGCCACATTCCCAGTCTTCTTTTATATGAGAGACAGGGTCTCACTGAGTTGCTCAGGGCCTCAATTAAGTTGCTGAGGCTGGGTTTGAATTCATCGTCCTCCTGCTTCAGCCTCCCGAGTCACTGGGATCACAGTGTGTGCCACCATGCCTGGCTGCTGGGTAGATTTTTTTTTTTCCCACGTAGATAACTTAAAAATTTTTTTTTAGTTACACATGACAGTGGAATGTATTTTGGCAGAATGTACATATGTGAAGTATAACTTATTCTATTAGACTGAGTAGATTTTTAACATGAATATAAAGATAAGTTCATAAACATGTTGCATAAGAAATAAATTGTAAATATTTATCTGTTTTCAAAATACTCTTACATATACTATCTTTTTTAATCCTCAGAACTATCCTTTAAAGTAGTAGTTCTTAGCTTCTAGTCCCTTACATACTTTAACCGGGAGGCTTGTTAGACATGTAGGTGCAAGCTAGATGTGGTTGTGTGGGCTTGTAGTCCCAGGTACTGCAAGGCTGAGATAGGAGGGTCTCTTGAACCTAGAAGTTCAAAACTAACCTGGGCAACATAGCGAGATCCATGTCTGAAAAACAAGTGAAAGACATGTAAATACTATCTACTACTGATTCAACTACAAAATTAAGCCCCTCCAGGTTCTTCTAGAGCATGTGGTAAAATTTGAGACCTACTGATGTAAAATGCACAAAGAATGACTCTTTTCATTTATACTTTTGAAAATGTATATTCAAAGAGATTGTATGACAATTTAAAAAGTCACACAGCTAATATACCTGGAACTGGAATCCAAATATTTTCTGAATTCCAGTGTTTATTTTTTAGTATATGACCAATACCTTAAATTTGAGTAACCTTAATTTATGTTCCCTAAAGTACTTTGCTTCTGAATGTAAGTTTATTGAGTCAGTGGTTACATGACTTCATAATTGGTATTATACAGATGTTTTCCTACAAGATTGGACTTCAAAATTTTTTCATTATTCAGAGTGATGAACAGTTACACTTCATGGTAGCTGTGTCTGATTCATGAACAGTGATAATTTTTTGGTCAATTCAGTCAAGAGTTATTTTGTCAAAACTTACTGTGTATACAGAATAATATTAGACATTGCAGTTAATTTAATGATGAATGAATTATTGTTCTTATTTTTAAGCCTCATGGGGGCAGGAGGCAGTAAAAGTTTACCAAATACCTATGAAGCAGAGACATATATGTTAATATCTAATACAGAGATCTGTGAGAAAGATAACATATATAAATCCTGGGAAGATTTCACAAAAAAGCTTTAAGGAAGAGATGCCTTTTCAAATGGACAACATGGGATATGTGATATATGGTTTTAAGAGGTGTTGAAAGGTTAAGGACTCACCATGCACTGGGAGTAGAAAAGCACAGAGGTCAAAGTGTGGTTAAATGAATGGCCAGAGAATTAAGAGAGGTGAAAGGCCAACTTGGTTGTGACCAGGAGGAAGGAGATGGAGCCACATCAAAAGATGACTTTGTTTTTGTTTATTTTTCATTGCCATAATAAAATATCTGATGGTTGGCATTTTATAAAGTTAAAAAAAAAAGGTGTCAGATATGTATAGCAAGAGGATGTGCAAGAGAAAATGGAATAAGCCAACAGCATGTCTGGAGTAAAGCAAGGCTGGTTCAGAACACATCAGACAGTGCAGTTGAGCTCAAGCATTAGGGTGTGTAGAATTGAATTAAACAACTATTCATGGTTTATGACTTCACTTGTTCTTGTATATACATAGAGGTGGTTCTCTTTTGTTGTTTTTTTACCTTCAAAAGCTCTTGGGAATTTTGGATGTACTCTTCAGTCTCCTGTGTACCAGCCCAACTAGAGGTCAGCTTTTCTTGCTGCTGTTTGAACCAGGAAATGCTGACATACTTTATGCCTTGCTGTTAAATCAGAAGTACTCTGACAGACTAAGAGAAATCATTTTTAAGGTACAAACATTTGTAAGCATCTTTTTATTTGGTAGTATTTGTGAGAATGGGGATTTGATTGCAACATAGCCATTCTATGACTGTAAGTTCTTTTTCATATCTCTTTCTAATTTTAAGTTTCTTTCATTTTAATAGATATATTTCATGTTACTTGTTTGCATATTTAAAAAACAATCATATTGGGAGGCTAAGGCAGGAGGATTTCGAGTTCAAAGCTAGCCTCAGCAATGGTGATACGCAAAGCAATTCAGTGAGACCTTGTCTCTAAAAAAAATACAAAATAGGGCTGGGGATGTGGCTTACTGGTCAAGTGCCTCTAAGTTCAATCCCTGGTATCCCTTGCCAAAAGAAAAAAAAATGTTTTGAACTGTGGATATAAATACATGGTAGAGTACTTGCTTAGCACATATGAGACCAGCAATTTGATCCCCTTAACCATAAGATCAAAGCAAAACAAAAACAAACAGAAACATACCTAAACTATTTAATAAATTATCTCAGTGGAGATAGTTGTCAGCCATCCTCAGTATAAAACTTCTCATGTCTTCTCTGAGTAGAGTGAGTCTGGGTAGGCCATTCAGAACATTTTAACAGTTTATAATACTAACTTCATATGGTACCCATGGTTGTGTCAGGCACTAAGCAGTTTTATTATATTAGCTTCCTTAATCCTTGCAACAATTTAGGAAGAGGGTATTATATGTATTTCCATTTTACTGGTGAAGAAACTGAAGTCAGAGAGGTTAGTAACTTATCAAAGGACATAGGATATATTTTATTAAGCTATCCACAATATCCCAAACTTTGAACTTTGGCCGAAACCATCTACTTCACCTTTTTGTTAACTAAAAGTACAGGGGTCAGTCATAAATACCACCACAATGCATTTTTTTTATTCTCTTGTTCATTATACTTAATTGCTTGGTGGCAGTTGTTTGTTCATATTTAGAGTTACATTATGAAGTCTACTTACAGGATTATGTTTGGATTACCTATGTCTGAAATCCTTAAATTTTAGTAGACAAGGGTACAGTAAAGGCAATCAGAAACAGCCTCTATTCAAGCTGCTTTTTTTAAAATTATTTTTTCTTTTAATTTTTTTTAGTTGTCAATAGACTTTTATTTATTTATATGCAGTGCTGAGAATCAAGCTCAAGGCCTCATGTGTGCTAGGTAAGCACTCTACCACTAAGCCACAACTCCAGGCCATGAAGCTGCTTTTTAAAGCATCTGCCCTCACTAGGGTTCCTGTATAGAGATTAAATGTTTTTTCTTTACTCCTCCATACACCCCAGTACTGAGGATTGAATTCAGAGGCACTCTTCTACTGAGGTACATCCACAGCCTATTTTATTTTGAGACAGGATCACTTTAGATTGCTGAGACTCGCCTCAAATTGGCAATCTGGCTAAATCATATTTTTCCAAAAACAATCTTACAGAGATTGTTCATGATATTCAGCCTGAATGATCCATTCATATAAGATGATAAACCTCTCTTGGAAAATGTTGACCTCCACTTAGAAATATGGTGCTAATTCAGTGCCCCATGTTAGCATATGGGTTTGTTTACTTCATAAATATTTTCTCATTTTTGAAAATTATTTTTATACCTGTTACATAGACTACTGGATTGATTCAGAGGTGTCTTGTTCCTTTTATTAGCTACATGTATACATGTTTTTCATTTGACATGTTTGAACTAAAATTTCAAACATAATAATCACTCATATGCAAATGTGTTTCAGTCCAGTTAATTCCTAAATTCATTTTTTAATAATAGCTTAATAAGGAAGTATCTCTCTTTTTTAGCACTCAGGTGTTTTCTTATACTTAATATTACAACACATTGGATTTTGATACTCCAAAATCCAATGTGTTGTAATATTTTATTCAGTATTAACTTGTGACAAATTGTTTAAGTTCTCTATACTGAGAAGAATATATTACTTGTTTTGACCAGGTTATGGAACAGATGTTGAAATGCACAAATGTTTATGAACGTAGTAAACAACGTATTCGACTTAGAGAAGTTGGATACTCAGGATTGGGACTCCTCCTTAATGAAGCATCAATTAATACTTCTCTCATTAAAAACCTTACCAATCAAATCATAAATACAGGTATGACTAAGGCTAATAATACTAATACATTTAAGAAATAGTGTTTCCTGAAAGACTTTTTTACTTCTTTTCTCAGATTGCTTTTTAAATTAACCTGTTGTTTGATTCGGCGGGGCCTTTCCTAGCTACTAAGTCTCTACAATTTTGTTGTTATGGACTCCCCAGGGCATATAGCATATTGCCTTACTTTGTAAATGTGTATTGACTGAGAGATCAAATTAATAACTGGGTCCTTATAAAAGAAAAGGACATTAGAGAAAAGTATATACAAAATATTCTTTTTCTTGCTGGTTGCAGTTGTGCATGCCTGTAATCCCAGTGACTGGGAGGCTGGAGGGTCACAAGTTCAAAGCCAGCCTCAGCAAAGCAGTAAAGCCCTAAGCAACTTAGTGAGACCCTGTCTCAAGATACAAAATAAAAAGGGAGGGGATGTAGCTCAGTGGTGAAATGCCCCTGGGTTCAATCCATAGTACTGCCCCCCCCCCACAAAAAAAAGGTTCTTAAAAGCAAAATGAAAATTAATTTCAGGTGTTCTTTTTTGTTGGTTTTCTTTTTAGGTATACATGACACTAGGGTTTTTTTTTTTGTTTGTTTTGTTTTGTTTTTAGTATTTTATAGACACTAGGGTTTTTTTTTTTTTTTTAGTATTTTATAGTTATTTTGTCCATTCTCACTACTTACTTACATTTTTCTTACATTTTGTTATGCATAAAATAAACATTTTTAAATTTTTTTATTAGTTCTAATCAGTTATACATGATAGCAGAAAGCTTTTTAATTCATTGTACATAAATGGAAAACAACTTTTCATTTCTCTGGTTGTACATTATGTAGAGTCTCCCCACATGTGCCATTTACGCATACCTAGGATAATGATGTTTGTAGTAGAAGATATTTTGACATATTAAACATACATGGTATAACTTATTCTAATTAGGATCCCCTTCTTGTGGTTTTACATGATGTAGAGTTTCACTGGTGCTGTATTCACATATGAATATAGTAAAGTTATGTCAAATTTATTCTACTGTTTTTCCTGTTCCCATCACCCCTCCCTTCCTTCATTCCCTTTCTCCAATCCAGTGAACTTCTGTTCTCCCCTCACCTCCCATTGTCCGCTAGCATCTGCATATCAGAACATTTGGCCTTTGGCGTTCATAATTGGCTTATTTCACTTAGCATGATCGTCTCCAGATCCATCCATTTACTGGCAAGTCATAAAGTCATTCTTTTTTAGGGCTGAGTAATAGTCCATTGTGTATTTATACTACATTTTCTTTATTCATTCATCTGTTGAAGTGCACCTAGGTTGGTTCCATAGCTTAGCTGTTGTGAATTGAGCTTCTATAAACATTGATGTGGCTATGTTGCTGTAGTATGCTAATTTTAAGTCCTTTGGGTATATGCTGAGCAGTGGGATAAGTGGATCAAACGGTGTTCCACTCCAGTTTTCTGAGGAATCTCCATACTGCTTTCCATAGGGGTTGCACCAAATTTGCAGTACCACCAGAAATGAGTAGTGTACCTTTTTTTGCTACATCCTAGCCAACACTTATTGTTACTTGTATTTTTAATAATTGCCATTTTGACTAGAGTGAGATGAAATCTTAGTAGTTTTAATGTAAATTTCTCTAAAAAGCCACATTCCCAGTCCTTGCTAGAAATGTTGAACGTTTTTTCATATACTTGTTAACCATTCGTTTTTCTTTTTCTATTAAGTGTCTATTGAGTTTCTTTGCCCACTTATTGATTGGATTATTTGTTTTTTGGTGTTAAGTTTTTTTTATTTCTTTATATATCCTGAAGATTTATGCTCTAGCTGAGGTGAGATTGTACTCCAGAGCTATAGTAACAAAAAACAGCATGATGTTAGCATGAAAGCGGACATGAAAACCAATGGAACCAGAATAGAAGATACAGAGACAAACCCACATAAATAGTTATCTCTATTAGACAAAGGCATTATAAGCATTGTCAAAAACATAAGCTCTTCAACAAATGTTGCTGGGACAACTGGAAATCCATATGTAGCAAAATGAAATTGAACCCCTATCTTTCATCCTTCAAAAAAATCCACTCAAAGTGGATCAAAGACTTAGACATTAGATTAGAAACCCTATATCTAATAGAAGATAGACCTAACACTCCATCATGTTGGCTTAAGAACTGACTTCCTCAATGAGACTCCTAAAGTGCAAGAAGTAAAATCAAGAGTCATTAAGTGGGATAGTATTAAGCTAAAAAGCAATCAAGAGGGGCTGGGGTTGTCACTTAGTAGTAGAGTGCTTGCCTGGTACAGGTGAGGCTCTGGGTTCAATCCTTAGCACCACATAAAAATAAAGGCATTGTTGCTTTTGGTACCAAGGATTGAACCCAGGGCCACTTAACCACTGAGCCACATCCCCAGTCCTTTTTTATATTTTATTTAGAAACAGGATCTCACTTTGAGTTGCTTATAGTCTTTCTAAGTTGCTCAGGCTGGCTTTGAACTTGAGATCCTCCTGCCTCAGCCTCCCCAGCCACTGGGATTACAGGCGTGTACCACTGCGCCAGGCCAGATATCTTTTTTATATTTTAATATTTTGTAATAAACTTTTTTCAGTACTTACTACAAACTAGAATTTATGCCCAGTGCTGGGGAAGGGAGTTGAGTACGAGATAAGTTTCTTTATCTTGTGATTTACAATTTCATTGATAAGACATAAGATAAAAATAGTATTACAGCCATTCAGTATGGACAGTGTTTTCATTTTCATGCAATTAAGAAAGGAACAGTAATTAAAGGTTGACTCAGGAGGGTGTCAAACAGTCTAAAACTTGGTTTTTTATTTGTTGTTATTTTCTGGTAAAATTTGACTGTCTATAATTCTTTTTTGAAAATGAGACTATTACTTTAATATTTGTACAAATAATACCTACAGTTTTTTCTTTGACTGTCCAAGAAACTTAATTTTAACTTTTTGGTTTTTTTCCCCACCATAGATCCTGTTACTAATTTCAAAGATCTGTTATCTGTGGTTTATATATCTCACAGGACATATGTAAATGTCAGAGTGGTCCTCTGCAGAAAGGTTCGTAAACTTTCAAGATCTGGTTTAACAGTAACATCACCATACTGTGAAAAACTTTGGCATTGTGCATTTTGCAATAGATGAGAATTTTAATTTCACTAATTTTACAAATGATATTATTTTGTAAATATACAATTTCCTTCTTAAAGTGTATTAACTTCATGTGATCATAAGTAATCAGTATGAAAATTTGTTTTTTTAGTTATACAGGACTTCTGGAAATATTTCCTTTTCAGAGTCGAAAATTCATTATCAGAGAAGAGATTTAACAAGAACCTTCAATGATTTTGATGATTTTTAATTGATATACCATATTTTAGGATTTCTAAATCTTATCAACATTGCAGAAGTTTTTGTTGTTGTTGTTTATAAGTGTTTTAACAATGATTTGTCTTGAGTACACATTTAACCTTTAGAGGTAGATATTGGGGGCTGGGGTTGTGGCTCAGTGGTAGAGTACTTGCCTAGCATGTGTGAGGCACTTGAGTTTGATTCTCAGCACCACATATAAATAAATAAAATAAAGGTCCATTGACAACTAAAAAATTTAAAAAGAGGTAGTTATCTTGTTCACCTCTTTCTGATCATAATCTTTTCTCCCCTCCACTGGTAACCCCTAACCAGTCTACTATTTGCTTTCTAATTATTATCTCCCAATTATGTGATAGTACTTTTTCTGTAGTTTTAACAAATGTATATATAGAAATGGATATCTTGTCTTTTTGTTTTGTTTTGTTTTACTTATTTATTTTTAATGTGGTACTGAGGATCAAACTCAGTGCCTCATGTATGCAAGGCAAGCACTCTGCCACTGAGCCACAACAGTAGCCCAAAATTTTGTCTTTTTTTAAAAAAATATTTCATTTAGTTGTAGGTAGATGCAATACCTTTATTTTGTTTATTTATTTTTATGTGGTGCTGAGGATTGAACCCAGTGTCTCACATGTGCTAGGCAAGCACTCTACTACTGAGCTACAGCCCTAGCCCTGGATATCTTTTCTTTAATAACTGTGTAGTTTTTCATTGTATGGTTCTTCTATAGACTATCATCTCTTTCCTTATTGATATTTAAGGTGTTTCTTGTTTTTCCATGTTATAAACTGATGTGAAGAACATCTTTTTTATGTCTCTTTGCTTATTTGTAATAATACATCTTAGGACAGTCTCCGTGGAACAGAATTGTTGTGTCGTAGGGTATTCATATTTTACATTTTGATGGATTTCTACCCTATTGTCCTTCAAAACAACCTTACCACTTCCATTTCTACAGTGTGTGATGGTGACTCTTTCCCTTTATGCTCAATCCTAAGAATTTGAAATGTTTCATGTAAATTGGTTATTTTCTTTCAGGATGTGATTAGATAAAAACAACTCTCAGTATAGCTTGGCTTATATCTATTATGGATATGAAAAATAGAAGTCATATTTTATGAAGTCTTTGAAGTTATAAAATCATGAAAAGTTTTTTTGCTAAGCAAAGCTTAATCTTAAAACAGTTGTATTCTGCAGTAGAATAATGGTAACTTGCTGACTGATGATATTAGTGAAGAGAGAAACTTCCCATGTAATGTGACTCATTGCTTTCTCTATCAACATATATTGGAACTTTTTTTTTTTTTTTGGTGGCACTATGGGTGAACCCAGGGGCACTTTACTGCTAAGCTGTACTCCCAGCCTTCTTAATTTTTACTTTAAGTCAGGGTCTTGCTAAGTTGCTCAGACTAACCTTCAATTTGTGATTCCCCTCACTGAGCCTTCTGAGATGCTGGAATGTCAAGAGTATGTCACCACACCAAGATATTACTATTAATATTAAAATTCCTTTCAACATTATTCATATCCTACTGTGAGACTTGTCAAAATTAGAACTTCTGTTAAGAAAGATACTCAATCCTCTGGGAGCCAAAGTTCTTTTCATCTGTATAGAAGTTTATTGACTTTGTGATAAAAATGCCTTAAAGATCTTCACTGAATTTCTGGCTGTTTTTTTTTTTTTTTTTTTTTTTTTAAGAACTTATTTTCTACAGGGAGATAGAGGTTATAAAAAACAAGCAATCAGAAATCCTAGAAATGCAGGAAGCAATAAACCAACTTAGAACTTATTTTCATTCAAAAAAATTAAAATCAGTTAGATGGTAGAGATTATGCATATTGCTGTGCCAGTGTCTACTGTTTAATCTCAACTAATGTCAGCTAACACATCCGTCTTGTTGGAATTAAGTTTTTGGAATTAATGTTTAGTTTTTGTTTCATTTGTGTAATGTACTAACTGGAAAAAAAAATTTTCTCAGAAAAAAAATAAAGTGAGATGAGAAAACATCATTCTTGGTATACAAGAATGTATACCAAGGTTCTGTCGCAGAACCTGTGTGTCCTATTCACTCCCATAAACCCTAGGCCTAAAAGTGTACTGTACCATTGTAGTAGTCAATAATATTTGCTGAATATATGTAGTAGGCTCATGGAAAATATTTTGTTGAGAATATCAGTTTATTTTTATATTTTACTTATACCATCATCCTATTTATATTTTGTCTCTGAACAAGTCAGACTAGTAACAGGTATATTTTGGCATGTGGAGAATCATTTTAGTTTTCCTTTTTTATCTTTCACAAATGTTTTAGTACATCCCTACTTTGTACATGATTAATTGGATCTACAATGTCAGTTCTCCAAACAGTTTACAATCTGATTAAAAACATAATCTTTGAAAGTATATCCTTCTGCATTTTCCCATTAAATTACAATGGCATTAAAATAACTGAAAAGAGACTTTTTGATAAAAAGTACTGTGTTCTTTTTGAAGAATTTTGTTTCTTAATTTCTTTGCAGATTTTACAGATTTTGCAGTCCCAGCCAGATGCAGCACATCAGATATCACAACAAGTGGGTTGGCAAGACACCCTAGTTAGACTTCTTTTAAAAGAAAATTTTGAAAATGAAAATTCTCTTCATAAACACAGCAGGGCTGTTTTAATGAAAGAAAATAAAAATATGTCAACTGATGATATTAAGAGGAACTTCGATGAAAAGACAGATGAGGAAAAACTCAACTCTTTTGCTTCAGCTAGTGTGTCTTCAGATCAGTGGAGTTTGGAGGATAGACACTCTCTAGATTCAAATGCACCATTGTTTCAAGAAGATAGTTCTGTGGGAGAATTGTCTTTCAAGTCAGAGAATCAGAAAGAATTCTGGCATGGTAACCCTTCACATTTGAGTTTAGATCTCACTGGAGTTGATTCATATGAACTGAGTGATAGTGGAAATCAAATGCCGGATAGCCTACCTAGCACGCCATCCCCAATAGAGTCTACTAAATCATTTTCTGTTCAGTCTGACAAAGAGAGTAGCATCACAAGTGATAATGGCTTTAATGACGACTTCTCTTTACTTGAAAGCCAAGAGGTAAAATTCCTTATTTTTCCAAATGGTGTTTTTATTTTCATATGTCATTTATATACTTGTAATTCTTAGCAATGTGTGATCAATTATTAACAATTTCATATTATATTCATTTTCTAAGTCTCATGATTTAAGGTTTAGAAGTCTGGAAGTCACTAGATTGTATATTTCTTTTTGTGGTGCTGGGAATCATACTCAGGGCCTCCTGCATGCTAAGCAAGCACTCTACCACTGAGCTGCATCCCCAACCCTATGTCTTAAGAACAAAGCTGTGTCTATACAACTTGAATCTCCAGGGACTACTGAAGTTCCAGGTTCAAGGCATTTTAAAAACATGTTACACAATTTGTCAGTATATGTAATGATGATTATGAAGTGCTGTAACACTTCCCTTTCTTCAATAATTTAATATTACTTTATCATTTTTATAGAGATGTGAGGAGGAGCTTCTTCAGTTGGTGACAGATATTTTAAGTTATGTATTGTGTAAGGGACTAGAAAAGTCTGATGATGATACTTGGACTGAACGGGGACAAGTATTTTCAGCACTAACTAAACCAGGAATATCCAATGAGCTACTTCGACCATCAGATGAAATAAAACTAATGTAAGCATTCAGTTAGTGTTTTTTTTTTTATTTTAACCCTCCTTTAGTAGTAGATATGAGTCTAAAATAACATCAGTTATTAAACACTCAGTATTCATTATTCAGTATTCATAGGGGGGAAAGGAAGAAACCATATTCAATTTCCTTTCCTATCTTTTACCATTCTTGTAGAATCTAGAGAGAAATACAAAACTAACTAATGTGAGAATACTTAAATCTTTTGTAGATTGAGTTTTAAATGATTTTACTTTTTTTATTTAAATTGTTTTCTGTAGAATCTCAGGACTTGATGCATTTAAAATGGGCTTGTCCAAATTTAAATGTTTGCATGCTAAAGAACGAAGTACTGTTTTCATAAATATTTCTCTGAAATATTTAGTGTTCCTTGTAGATGACAGGACTTTGTAGCAATAGCACACTAGGAAGAGTTACCTCTTTGATTTTCTTAGATCCTCTCTAAGACATAATAAAGCTTTCTTCCCTAACTTTCCCAATATCTAGTTGTTATAGAAACTATTTTAAATATCTTATAGAGACTAGAATGTGAAATTATTTTGTTGGCCTTTCTATAGACAAGCAAAATAGGTAACTGACTTTTAATATTAAGTGTATTAAAGGCAGATACTCCAGACATTAAAAAGTTCCTTCTTTATTGTTAAATTAGATCTACAGGAATATCCAGTGAATTACTTTGATCATCAGATGAAATAAAATGAACGTAATGTTACAATGTTTTCTTTAAAAATATTTTTAATTGTAGATGGACACATTACGTTTATTTTATATATTTATTTTTATGTGGTACTGAGGATCTAACCCAGTGCCTCACCCATGCAAGGCAAGTGCTCCACCACTCAGCTACAACCCCAGCCCCTTACAATGGTTTTAAGAGGACTTTGTTTTACATTTAGTTTACTACAGAAGATGTTAGAGTGGGCGGTCACAGAAAACAGAGAAACAAAAGCTAATTCAGTAACTGCTGAAAATGCCTTCCGACTCATGATGATCATACAGGACTTTCTGCAGTCAGAGGGACTAGTTAACTCAAGCATGTGGACTGAGAAGGTCGGTAATAGCTCTTTGAAATTATATTTTGGGTAGTTAAGGATTATTCAAAGAAATAAATTTTTCATCTCCTCTTTTTAGAGCATTAAATGCAGTAAGCAGGGATTAGATATGATGAACTGTCACAGATTTTGTTAAATATTACTAGTATGATTATTTTGGCTTTTGCCAGATGTATATTGGACTAGTTTTCAAATATTTATGATTTGTGTTAGTGTTTGGAAAAACACACTATCAGTAAATTAAAAACTGAATGCTTTTATTTCTCAAATTTTCTTTTATGATAGCTTTTAGAGGATATCATGCTGCTCTTTGATTCTCTGTCAGTCTGGTATTCTCAGAATCCAGCGTGGGTAAAGCTCTCTCAAATTCAGATTCAGATGCTTCTGGGATTCATTGGAAGGGGCAGTTTGCAGGTTTGTCAATTCTTTTATATTATTTTCTATACTTGGATGTGGTATAGTTATTTCTGTAATAACTAAATGATAATGCCTTTTCAGTACTCTGTTTTATTAGTTCAAAAAATATTCATAAGTTCACTTGAAATTTCAATTTTGTGAGATCGGAAAGGAGCTTGAAATGTAGTTAATTGACTATTTCTTCCTCATATTTATGACTCCATGTAATTTTAAGGTTTCCTTTTATAGGATTTACTCATAGCTTATATTAAAAGCATTGTTCATATCATCTACATTTAGTGTAGCTTGCAAGGTCCTAGACAGTCTGCATAGATTATGTTTACATATATATGTATATATTACACACACAGTTTAGCGCTTACATTTTAAAAATTTTTGTTTGTTTTTAGTTGTAGATGGACACAATATTATTTATTTATTTATTTATTTTTATGTGGTGCTAAGGATTGAACCCCATGCCTCACACATTCGAGACAAGCACTCAGCCACTGAGCTACATCCCCAACCCTAGGGCTTGCATTTTTAAGAACATTATTTTTTATATTGGTCCTTTCATGCTATTTTACTAATCCACAATTTTACATTGTATTTCATATTTTTTACACTCACCAAACACCAAATACCTAACAGGATAATCAACGTGGTAGATTTTAGAAGTAAACAGAAGCTAAATATATTCATAAAGAATATTTAAAGTTTACAAGGTTGGAAAAGTTCTATGTGAATTTTAGTCTGTCATGTTTCTGTTTACATTGGGTGCTTATGAGACATGAGTTGGATTCATCATAAGTATCCCATAGCTTTTTGTATTTGTGTTCAGGGTGGGTCTGGTTTCTAATGCTGTTGATAAACTAGGTATAATATTGCTAAAAACAGAGAAAAGTTACAATTCTGACTTAAGGTTGCCCTATTTTTACCATAATCTGCCTGGTGTAGTGGTGCACACCTGTAATCCAATCAACTAGTGAGTTAGATCTTAAGTTTGAGGCCAGCTTCAGCAACTTAACAAAACCCTGTCTCAAAATAAAATAAAATGGATAGAAGGCCTCTGGTTTTGATCCCAATACCAAGGAAAAAGAGACCACAATCTGATAATTATATTTTTTAGTGAATACTTCCTTCTGATCATAAGTATAACACATGCTTATTGGAGAATAAACACAACAGCATAAAGAGGTAAAAAGTAAGTTATTCAACATTCCATACCTTAAGAGAAAACACTATTAATGTTATAGTATATATTTCCTTCCTATTGTATAGTTTTCTATGAATATCTTTTTTATATTATCAAAATTGTCATTTATTTGGATATTTTGAGTTCTTTTTCTTTCTCTTACTGTTATATAAACTAATATTCCTCTGTTACTTTATTAAATAGTTTATACCCCCTCTTCTTCATGAAAGTATCATATTCACTATAGAATTTCATTGTTTGGCAGAAAAACTAAACAGGAAAATGGGTATTAAGACACATGATGGTGGGGCTGGGGTTGTGGTTCAGTGGTAGTGTGCTTGCCTAGCATGTGTGAGGCCCTGGGTTTGATCCTCAGCACCACATTAAAATACATAAAAAAAATAAAGATATTGTGACCAACTACAACTAAAAAATAAATATTTAAAAAAAAGACACATGATGGTAAAAGTTTGAATTGTACAGTTTTAAAGTACTATTTGAAAGTACACAAACTAAGAACATTAAAAAATAATTTGTTCTTTGTCTATTAATCCTACTCATACTATATCCTATGATAATCTAACTACTACAATCCTTATACACTTTTATGTTCATCATAGTATCTTTTTTTTTCTTCCACCAGAAATAGAACAAGGATAGCTTTTTTGGCCTTTTTATTAATATTAGCCTAATGATTGTCCAAGCAGTTGCAGCTAACATGCAAGGTACTTATTTATTTTAGATGTTAGAACTATTTTTTTTGTTTGTTTTACATGTAGTTACCCTTGGTGTTTTTTTATTTGATGGCATTACCCTGGGCAAAATGTCTGTTTCTGTAGTTCACCATTAAATATCCAGTGCCTTCTCTTCCTAGGAGCTCTATAAATACTTGCTCAATAAGCAAACAAGTATAGCACTTACGGATGAGGCTAATCCTATCTACCAGTAGTTAGTTATCTCAAATATTTCTCAATAGCCTGCTGCTTAATTTTACTCTTTCAGATATAAAAGTGCAATTATGTGAGGCTGTGCATTTTAAAGAATAGGACCAAAATATAAGTGTTATGAGATTTTTTTGTATAAAAACCAAGATATCCCAGCTTATCTCCAAAGTAGGATTATGTGGCTATTCATTTAGATACAGAATATAATCTCTAGTTAGATTCCCTGTTTTTCCAGGGTTTTGTTTTTGTTTTTGTTTTTTTAAGCTCAGTGATTCTCACCCCTGACTGCACATGAAATCACCTAGAGAAGCTTTTTAAAAATACCTATGTAAGGCATCACCCATAGTAATTTATTCACTATTTTTTGTAATTTCTCAGGTGACACTAATGTGCTTTATAATGTGGGCCAGAGGAACATGTATTATGTGGTATGTGTATATCCAAAATTAAGGCCAAGGAAATTATCTGGTACTTATTCAAAGTACCTTAATACTTTTAAATAAATGTATAAATGTAGAGCTGTTGAGTGCCATGATATTCATTTAAAAGCAAAGCACTTGATATTCAACTTTTTATGTGTACAGTATTTTTAAAAGCACTTGATAAAAAAGTTATTGCTAATACCAAATATTAATATCCAGCAAATACTGATCTAATACTGAATATTAACATTTGTTTCCGGGATGTAGGGATTTTATCACTTATTTTATATTCTTTTATGTATTTTTTATATTTTTATATATATGTATATATAAATTAAGTTTCTTTAGATTCAAAGACTAAATTGGGGATGGGGGATATGAGGAGGGTAGTGGAGCTTCACTTTTGTAGTAGAGAAGTTAAAGCTTTGAACTGTCTTAGAAATTATTTCTTCCAGTGCTATTTGCTTTGTTAATATTTGCATGGAAATACTGCCTGTAGTCTCTTATTACCTTGACCTGCAAAGATCTGTTGGTACTAATAAGACTAGCTTTTGGCACAAAAACAATCTTGAAGTGCTGTCTGATTCTCAAAATTTCTTATTTTCTTTTGCTCTTCTTTACATTGGAGATAATAATTGAAAATAAGGTTATGGAGTTAAGGGAAAAGGAGGCACAGTTATGTAATTTTTCCTGCTTTGAAGTCTTAGATATTAGAATTAAGAATTCCGTAGTTTAGATGAGTTTAAGCCTTCAGTCAGAACTCTGGTTCCACGTGTTTGCCATTCTTACCGCACTGCTCTTGGTCATGTGTCAGCTTGTCTTAAGCTGGCTTCCCTTTTGAACACAAAATGGCTGTCAATAACAATTGGGCATGTATGCTACCTCATTCATAACCTGAGAAAGACAGTACTTCCTGCAGTCTTTGTTGGTAAGAGAGTTCTCCATGAGTGTCTTGTGTTTCAGCATATCATGTGAGTAGAGGCTCTGGCTGTCCATATAAACTTCTTTTTGAGAATGTTTGCATAGTGAACAACTGTGGAAGTTTGAGGTCATGTTTCTTTGTAGAGCAAAAGGCAGGTTTGTTTACTTCCTGATATAATACAGGTAATCTCTCTCTCCATAGCAAAGATCAGATAAGCTGACAGCCCAGTTTAAGATTCAGATTCCTTGAGCTTGATGCTCCTCTCCAAACTACCACTACTCTATGTGCAGTTATCATCTAGTCTTTTTTGTGTCTCATGGTGGGGATTGTGATTTCAGGAACCGTCCAAATGCTGATACTATCCTTATTACTATTGCTGTAGATCTTTGTCCGTAAATAAGAATCTTCATTTTGTATGTTAACATCTATGAAAATGTAGCAGGACTAGTTGTTAGCTTAGAAGTAAGATAATATCTTAGATCTCGCAATTCTTTGACAGTTATTATATAAAAGTTCTTCACTTGCAGAGTGAGGTAGAAACTTTACTCTCATTAAATGTCTACTTTAGTCTGTCCTTTCTTATCTAACCTGTTTTCTTCCAGGTTTGTGCAATGGCATCAGCTAAGCTAAATACCCTTCTTCAAACCAAAGTGATTGAAAATCAGGATGAAGCATGTTACATTTTAGGGAAGCTGGAAAATGTTCTCAGTCAGTCAATCAAGGAACAGACTGAAATCTACTCATTTCTGATTCCCCTTGTCCGAACTCTGGTTTCCAAAATTTATGACCTTCTCTTCATGAATTTGCACCTGCCTTCTTTACCTTTTACCAATGGTAGTTCCTCATTTTTTGAAGATTTTCAAGAATATTGCAGTTCAAATGAATGGCAAGTTTACATTGAAAAATATGTAAGTTTTCTCTTTTTTGAAGAAGATTGCTTTATTGATTTATTAGTTTTACAGAATGTATACAAATTCTGTACGTTCTTTTTTTAAATAAGATTATACCTTATATGAAGCAGTATGAAGCTCATACATTTTATGATGGTCATGAGAACATGGCACTTTACTGGAAGAATTGTTATGAAGCCCTAATGGTAAATATGCATAAACGAGACCGGGAAGGAGGAGAAAGCAAGCTCAAGTTTCAGGTAAAATTTATTAAATATTTGTTATGGATTGGATATGAAGTGTCCCTGAAAAGCTCCTGTTAATGCAGGAATGCTCTGAGGTAAATGATTATATTATGAGAGCTGTGACCTAATCAGTCCATCCCAGTTTGAATGGACTGATGGGATGGTGACTAAGCAGGTGGGGCCTGACTGGTTTAATTGGGTCATTATGGGTGTGCCCTGGAAATGTGCCTCTGCACTCACTGCAGCTCTTCTCCCTCCCTTCTCTGTTTCCTGACCCTGTCATGAGCTGAGCAGCTTTCTTCCACTGGGCCCTTCCCTTGTGATGTGCTACCTCACCTCAGGCCCAGAGTAACAAAGGCTATCTGTGAACTGAGACCTCTAAAACCATGAGCCCCAAATAAACTTTTCCTCCTCTCAGAGATTCTTGTTGGGTGTTTTTGTCACAGTGACCATAAAGCTAAAACAATGTTTTAATGTTTAGTTTTCTGTGTTTATTCTAAGCATTTAATATGTACATGAGAGTAATATCAAATCTGAAATTTGAAAACAAGTAATAGCCTGTTTGTCTTTACCAGTAAAACTGATAAAATTTCTAGCCAGAAGCAAAAAAAAAAAAAAAAATTATTTCAGAATTGGAAGAAAAACAGCTAGTCAATAATAATTGAAATAATAGTGAAGCATTCTGTATATAATGATCTTGTAGAAAATCTTTTAAATTGAAGTCCTCAGTAGATACTAGAGGAGGCAGGGTGCACATCAGGGCTTAGTGGGATATTTAAAGCACTGTGTATTTATATTAAAAAATTAAGTTTGTACCTTAAGAAACTAGAAAAAGAAAGTATTTAAAACCTGTAACAAGCAGAGATAAGAAACTAACAAAGAATATAAATCAATGAAATTTAAAAGAGAAAAGCAATAGAGAAAAACAATGAAACCAAAATCTAACTTTTAAAATTAATAGTAAAGCCAGGTGCAGTGGCTCACAAATGTAATCCCAGAGATTCAAAAGTCTGAGGCAGGCAGATCACAAGTTTGAAGCCAGCCTCAGCAATGCAACTTAGGCTCTGTTTCAAAATAAAAATTTAAAACACCTAGAGATATAGTTCAGTGGTGGTGTACCCCAAGGTTAAATACCCAGCATCACAAAACAAAACAATACCCCCTATGAAAAGAACCAGTAAAACTGATAAAAATTTCTAGCCAGAAGCAAAAAAAAAGAAAAAAGAAAAATTACTTATATCAGGAATAAAAAATGCATTATTATCACTGATTCCACTGATGTTAATATGTTAAAATAGGACTGCTGCAAACTGCTCTATGTCCATAAGTTTGACAACTTGGATTAATGAATTTCTTGACAGATACAGAATTTAGAACTTATTTAAAAATAAATAGAGAGTTTGCATAGTTAGAGAAATATAGTTAAATCTTTCACAAGGGAAAATACTGTGCCATTTGTCTCAATGGCAAATTCTTTTTTCTTTTTAATTTTATTTAGTTTTTGACCTAATTAGTTATACATGACAGTAGAATGCATTTTGACATAATGCATATCATACATAAATGGAGTATAACTTCTCATTCTTGCACATGATGTAGAGTTGCACAGGTTATGTAATCATATATGTACATAGGGTAATAATGTCTAATGGCAATTTTTTAAATTAATGGAAATATTATACAAATTCCTTATAGTCTCTTCTGCAAATTGAAGAGCAAGAATACTTGCTAACTCATTTTATGAGGACAATGTTGCTGTTATTTTGAAAACATGCAAAAACAGGACAAGAAAATTACAGACCAGTAACCCTCGGGAGCATAAGTGTAAACCAAATCCAGCTGTACACATAACATCACAACAAAGTGGAGATTATTCTGGGAATGTAAGGCTGGTTCAATATTTGTAAATCAATCAATATAGGTGACCACATTAATAGACATGTCAAGAAAAACTAAATTATATCAGTTGCAGAAAAAGCTCAACAAAATTTAACATCCGCTTATGATCAAAACTAGGAATAGGGGTTGGGGTTGTGGCTCAGTGGTAGAGCGCTTGCCTAGCACATGTGAGGCACTGGGTTCTATCCTTAGCACCACATAAAAAATAAATAAACAAATAAAATAAAGGTATTTTGTCTATTATAACTAAAATAATTATTTTAAAAAGCCAGAAATAGTGAAGAACTATCTCAATCTCTACAAAAATTCTACAGTTAGCTTCATATTTAGAGATGAAAAATTGAGGGCTTTCCCTTCACATAGGGAACCTAGGTAGTAATAATGTCCACTCTTCTTACATGTAGTCACTATTTTAGAAAAGATTATAAAAGGCACTCACATAAAACTGTTTACCAAAACAACTATTTGCAGATAGCATGGTTCTCTATGTAGAAAATCCCAAGGTATCTGTTTTTTTTAACAACCTGTTATGAGTTTAGCAAGATTATAGGATATAAAATCAGAATATGAAACTTACTCATATTTCCATTTATGAGAAATGAACAATTAGAAACAGAATTTTTTTAAAGAATACTATTTACAATAGCTTTGAAAGAATAAAATACTTAGGCATCAATGTAAGAAACTAGATTTAATGCAGTACTTTTTAAAATGTTAGGAAGTTTCTCTGTGCTTAAAGACAGTTTCTAAAATTTGAAAAGACATAGGAATTTTGGAAAAGAAGAAAAAATTAGGGGACTGATGCTACTATTTTAAGATGTATTTTAAGTTCACTGATCAAAACAGTGTGATATTGACACAAGAATACACACATAAACCCATAGAATAAATAGAAAAATATAGAAATCGAGACATATATAGGTTTATGTAAAATTTGACAAAGTTGTAACAGCAATCCAGTGGAGAATGAACATTCTTTTCAACAAATGATCCTGGAACAATTGGATATCGTAGTTTTTATTGTGTTATTTTTTTCATATTTCACTTCATATTATAACTCCAATGGATTATACAGTTAAATGTGAAATCAATAAGATCATACCTGGCAAGCTTCATAAATTATTGTAGAAGGAGCCACAGAAAAAAAATAAGTGTGACCTAGAGTTATAGAGTTCCTATATAAAACACCAAAGACATAACATATAAGAGACAAATATTTATGAACTGAACTTAATCAAAATTAAAAACTTTTGTTGTTGTAAGATGCTATTAAAGTGTAAGTAAACAGTCCATGTACTAGGAGAAAATATTTGCAAATAAATTATGGACAAAGGATTTATGTCCAGAGTAAAAATAAAGAATCCACAAAATTACCTATAAAAATACAATTAATAAATTGACAAAATAATTTAAAATTACTCTTCAACAAAGAAGAAATATAAATGTCAAACCCATGAAAAGATGTTTAAATCAATATGTGTTGCAATAGCTACAATTAAACATACAAATAACACCAAGTATAAAAACCTATGTAACTCATTTTTCAAGAGTAATTATGAGCTGGCTGATATGTTACATTCCTGTACTCTTAGTGACTTGGGAGGCTGAGGCAGGAGGATTGCAAGTTTAAGGCCAGCCTGGGCAATTTAGTAAGACCCTGTCTTGAAATTTAAAAAATTATTTAAATTTAAAAAGGGCTGGGTATGTAGTTCATTGGTAGAGTATCCTTGGGTTCAATCCCCACTACCTCAAACAAATAAATAAAAAGATTAATTATGAAAAAGACAAGGGAATGGTATCAGTTAATTTCTGAAATGAAAAAAAGAGCATTTGTATGATATTTTTGCTAGGTTGTCAGCTTTATTTTCCTTTCAGTACTATTTGTTTTAATCAGTTGTCTGTTACTGTGACAGAACACCTGAGATAAAGATGAAAGGTTTATTTTGGCTCATTGTTTTAGTAGTTTCAGTCCATGATCTCTTAACACTGTTACTTTGCCTGTAGGGACATGGAGGAGGACATTTGTTCACCTCCTAGCAGCCAGGAAGCAAAAAAGAAGAAAGGGCTGAGACTCTGGCATTCCCTTCAAGAGCACTCACCCAGTGGCCTAAGTTCCTTCTACTAGGCACCACATCTTAAAGGTCCCATCACCTTCCCAATAGTGCCACCACCTGGCAACCATGCCTTTATCACATGACCTTTGAGGGCCTTTAGGATCCCAACCATAGTATTTTTTTGACACTATGTATTTCAAGTGCCTCAAGTGTGTCGTAGCCAATAATTATAACTGAATGTAGCTTTAGAAGGTATAAGAAAAAGAATTGTTTACTGATATTGGGATATCCCTGGTACATTTCATTCATTCATACATACAAATTCTTTTTTATTTTTAAATATTTTTAGTTGTAGATGGACACAATACCTTTATTTTATTTATTTATTTATATGTGGTGCTGAGGATCAAACCCAGTGCCTCACACATGCTAGGCAAGTACTCTACCACTGAGCTACAACCCGTCCCCTACAAATTATTTCTTTAAATGTTAAGGGCTGGGGTTGTGGCTCAATGGGAGAGTACTTGCCTAGCATGTGTGAGGTACTGGGTTCGATTCTCAGCACTACATATAAATATATGAATAAAATAAAGATCCATCAACGTCTAAAAAAAATTTAAAAAAAAAAAAGTTAAGGTCTTTCCCACTGATGATTTTCATGCCAATAGCTGTAACACGTATGCTATGGGTTGACCTTTGCTCCAAAGCTCCCTCTGCGCTGTTGCTACCTGCTGCCCAAGTAGCTGGGTGTAGCCTTGGGGGCACTTGCTAGTTCAGATGCACAGTGGATTCTGAGTCATAGCTGTGGCTGCTTGGAAGGCCGCAGTATCTAGAGCAAACTGAACACATCGTCTACTACAGGTACAAAGATGGGGATCCAGCCAACAACAGCACTCTATGTTAAGCATAAAAGCTTGGTTTGAGAATAGTTGGTTGGTTAAGGTAGCATAGGATGAATTGAAAAATAAAGAAATGTATAATCAAAAACTTGATGATATAAATAAATGGGAAAATTTTTGCATTGTTTTTACTGCCTTGAAAAGAGTAATATTTTCCAATCCATTTTTCTTTCTTTCTCACCCATCATCTTTTTAAGGGGGTAGAGTTTGAATATCTGACTTATGGTACCAGCTTTCATACATAATAGCTGGATAATCATGGAAGCAAAACTCGTAATCTCTCTAGCTCCAGTTTCCATATCTATAAAACAAGGAGTTTGGACCAGATTAATGCCCCATTTTTTTCTGGTTATAAAAGTAAAATATATTGATAAGAAATGTTGAGAATTTTAAAAAGAAAATGAAAGAATTCCTAATATAACTTAGTTGCTATCTTTTTAATATTTTGGAGTACTATCTTGTGATCTTTTTTCCCCTTTTGTGGCTGGTATGTGTGTTTAAACAGAGAAGTGACCTTGTTCTATATGAGATCTTTTATCCTTCTTAACTCATTATTACCATTTCCTTATATCATAATATTATTCCTAATTTTCTTATTACCAAATGAAAATTATCATTCCATAAAATAAGTATAAAATATTTGTAATTTCACTACTGTTAACATTTTGGTTTGTATCTTTCCTGTATTTTTATGTATGTATCTTATGTTTGCACATCCTCCTCTGTACTTTGTCATCTCTAGGTTACTTATAATACCTAATACAATGTAAATGTTATTTCAGCGGTTGTTATACTTTTGTGTTGTTTAGGGGGTAATGACAAGAAGAAATCTGTACATGTTTGATATAGATGCATTTGTTTTCCTAAATATTTTTAATCCACGTTTGGTTGAATCTATGGAAACAGAACCTATAGAAAAAAAGGACTGTATTTATCTTCCTGTATCATTATATGACTACATAGTATTCTATTGTATGAGATATTTATTTCCTATTGTTGAACCTTATTTTCCCTTTTTACATTATTATTATATAGTATTGAACTTTTGTATAGTTATGTTTTTGTGTTTTCCCTAAGATAGGTAGAAATAATAGTATGTAGTACTTATCATAAATAATGTTAAATTGCCCTGACAGATGTTCTACCATTTTATATTCTCATCAACATTTCCCCTATAATTTTACCTTTAGTTTTCTACAACACCTATTAGGAATATCCATATGTGCTTTAACTTTAAAACTCTGATGAAATTGATGTGTGATTTTCATGGAGCTATCCTGACTTCCTCAATTTTCTCAGAAATGATCTGTTTTAAATTTGATAGTGTTATAGCCCAGATTATTGATTTTCTACATATCAAGTAACAGTTACATTAACAATATATTAATAATAGCTGCAATTTATTGAGGAAGATTTATTTTTCTGGCATTTATTAAGCACTTTAGATCTTCATCTTTCTCATGATAGTTATGGTCAACCTCCTTTAACAGATTAGGACATTTTCCCCCAGAAAATTAATTAGGACAAAATAAAGATTGAGATAAGAAAATTTGGGACTGGGGTTGTGGCTCAGAGGAAAAGCACTGACCTAGCATGCATGAGGCTTTGGATTCAATCCTCAGCACCACATAAAAATAAAATAAAGATATTGTGTCCACCTACAAGTAAAAATAAATGTTTTTTTTTTTTTAAAGAAAAGAGAATGAGCTTAGAGTAGTAGCTAAAATTTATACTCAGATCTAACTCTAGGGCTTATATTTTTAACTGTGTACTGCTATACTGCCTAAATGTTTGTTCTTTAACTGTTCGTTTTAATGTAATTCAGTATTGATTTGCTTCAAACAAATTAATGCTGTATTATAGATCCTAATAGATGAGTGTCATCTTGAGATAAACTGTTTTACCACTTATCTCTTAGAAAACTATAAAATTTTTAAATTCAGGGATTAAAGATACGTTTTAGTAGAAATTATTATCAGTCTTTTTTACCCTGAAAACTGGAATAAGTATATGAATTCATTTGCTAGCAAGGATGCTGTCCAGAGAGTTGCTAACAAATGACTTTTCTCATTATGAAAGACTTACCTATTGTCTTTGGGATTGACTTTTGGGCCATTGGAATGTGATTATTATTCTTGCATCTCGTTCCTTATAAATAAAAAGATATCAAAGGAAAACTATTTCACCTGATAGTAGAAAGTTAATTAACCCAATTTTAAAAATCCCTTGTTGACACACTTTCCATGTTTGAAGTTCTTTACATGTTTATTGCTAGGGGTTGTTTTTTAAGTTAAAAAAATAAATGTATGATAGCTAGAATTATCATATTTCATCAAAGAATATTATTATAATGGAATAATAAAAACATGTTGGTCACCAACTTCTTTTCATATTATGTGATTTCTTTTTAAAATATTTTTAGTTGTTTTATGTACCTTTATTTTTTATTTATTTATATGTGGTGCTGAGGATCGAACCCAGTGCCTCACACATGCTAGGAAAGTGCTCTGCCACTTAGCCACAACCCCACCCATATTATGTGATTTTATTGGTCAAGTTGACAATATTGTAAATTGTGATTCAAAGCGCTTTTTTATTGCCATTCTTCTAGGAGTTTTTCGTGGAACCATTTAATCGAAAAACACGCCAGGAGAACTTGCGGTATAATAATATGCTTAAACAACTAAGCAGTCAACAGTTAGCCTGTCTTAGACACTGGAAGGCAGTGCGACTCTATCTTACATGTGAAAGGGGACCTTGGGCTGAAAGGTAGGATTTAAAATGTATTAATTTTCATTCCAATTTGTATGTTTTTTAAAAAAACTTATTTTTGTGAATTAGGTTTGGAATGATTAGAGGTTTCTGTATGTTTTTTTTTTGTTTGTTTGTTGTTGTTGTTATGCAGTTATTTCTCTTCCTTTATCCTGTGATAAAAGCTGTATTATAGAACATTCAATTCAGTGTTGAGCCAGTTTACTTCTGTCTTTCTGACTACCTTTTTGAGCTAGGGTTAATGGTGCTATGTATTTGAATAGTTTACAGTTTATTTTGTTGATGTAAGTCACTTCTGTTTTACTGTGTTATCATTTTTGCAGTGCTTTTTTAAATGTGGTAAAATACATTTAAAATAAATTTACCATTTGAAAATATACAATTTGGTGGCATTAAATTCACTTATAATGTTGAGCAATCATCATCACTGTCTTGCTTTAGAATGTTTTCATCACTCTAAAAAGGAAACTTGATACCTATCCTTGACAACTACCAGCCTTCTTTTTATCTTTATTTGCTTCTTCCAAAAATTTCATGTAAATGGAATTATACACTATGTGGTCTTTTGTGTCCTGCTTTTTTCACTTAGCATAATATCTTTCTTTATATTACAGCATATATCAGTACTTTTTTTCTTTTATGGCCAAATAATATTTCATTATATGGATATACCACCCTTTATTTATCTATTCATTGGTCAATGGGCATTTGGCTGTTTCCCACTTTGGAGGTATTATAATTAGTGCTACCAGAATAATTGTTTAAAAGTGTTTTTAATCCTTTTGGGTATATACCCTAAAAGGGGAATTTCTGGATCATACAATTCTGTGATTAAATTACTAAGAAATTGCCAAATAGTTTTCCACATCAGCTGTATCATTTTATGTTCTTACTGGCAATGTATGAGGGTCCCAGTTTCTCCACATCCTAATCAATACTTGTCATTTTCTGATATTTTTCATGGCTCTCCTAGTGGGTGTGAAATGTTATGATTTTGCTTTCCCTTTTGCTAGTGATCTTGAGCATCTTTCTTGTACTTTTTGGCCAATTATATATATTCTTTGGAGAAATTCTACTAGATTGTTAAGCTCATTTTTAAAATTAGGTTATTTGATTTTTTTGGTGATTTGTCAGAACTTCTTTCATTTATATATTCATTTACATTTTTATTTACATATATATTTTTGCAAGAACTGGGGATTGAACCCTCAGGGATGTTCTAACATGAAGCAACATCCCAGTTCCCCTGCTCCTGTTATTTTTTTACTTTAAGACAAAGTCTCGTTAAGTTGCCCAGGCTATCCTCAAACTTGCGGTCCTTCTTCCTCAGCCTTCTTTGTATCTAGGATTATAGGTGTGTACCACCATGCCCAGCTCTGTATACATAGACTTAATAACAGATTCTTTTTTTTTTTTTTAGTTGTATATGGACCTTTATTTTATTTTTTTTGTATGTGTTGCTGAGAATCAAACCTAGTGCCTCATACATGCTAGGCAAGTACTCTTCCACTCAGTTATAATCTCAACCCTTAATAACAGATTTTTATCAGATAGATTATTCATAAATATGTAGATTATCTTTTCACATTTTTGATAGTGATCTTTGTTTAAAAAAATATGTTTTAGTAGTTGTAAATGGACAGCATGCCTTTATTTTATTTGTTTATTTTGATGTGGTGTTGAGGTTCGAACCCAGTGCCTCAGACATGCAAGGCAAGCAAGCACTCTGCCACTGAGCTACAGCCCCAGCCCCTTGATAGTGGTCTTTGATGTACAAAAATTAATTTTGTTGAAGTCCAAATTATCTAATTTTTCCTTTTGTTGCATGTTTTTGGTGTCATCTAAGAAACCATTCCTAAGTCCAAGGTCATGAAAATTTATCCCTGTTTTCTTTGATAGTTTTAGCTCTTGTATTCAGATCTTTTATCCATTTGTAATTTTACTATTTTTATTTGTAGTAAAATTATTTTATTTTTAAAATGGTATTTGGAAATATAAACCCTTTTATAGTCAATTAAGAACTTTCACTCAACAGAGAAATTAAGGTATCAGGCTGTCATTCTGAAAGTCCCTGTTCCTCTTATTTCTGCTACTGGTAAACCTCATGGCATCTTAGGCAAATAGTTGAGCCTCTTAGGTTCTTCTTGTATTAAGTATAGATAAACAAATTTAATTCTCTCATGGTTGGTTGGATTAAATTAGATACACATTTTTATAAAATGGTACTAAGCCAAATGTAAAGTATTTGATGTTTTCTTATACTGCTTTAGTCAACCAATCTTAGTAAATCAAAGCAAAATACTTTTACTTATTTGCTTATGAATATTTTTAGGAAACAGAATCCAATTCACTGGAAACTAGCTAATGTGGAAAATTATTCCCGAATGAGACTTAAACTGGTGCCAAATTACAATTTCAAAACCCATGAGGAAGCTAGTGCCTTGAGAGATAATTTAGGTAAGTTCCAGTGACTGTTAATTTTTTGTTGAATGCAGGGTGTTGGTGGGCTGGTTATTATTGCTTTATTCATTATTTTTTAAATATTTACTTATGAAAGAAGGATGGTATTTTATAATCGATATATAAATGTTTATATGAATTCAATACAGCTATATTTGGCCTAAATCTAAGTTAACATCATATTTCCATTTATTGTAATTTCTCAAAGAAAAAACAGTTATAAATATAAAATTATACTTCAAATCAATTGGTATGTGTCTTATAATGAAACAATGTCCTTTTCCCTTAGAGAACTTAATGTTAATTATGATTAGAATTCTTAGCAATCATTTAGGCCTTTCCATTATAAACTTTGTTTATAAAAACAAAGTATTTTTAAAGAACTCTAGACTCTTCACATCTTAGATGAGCCAATGCCTTCTTCTAGAGCAAAGTATATTAACATATTTAACCTAGCAGTATTTCAAAACAGAGTTTAAGAGGTTTCTACTACTTTTTAGGAAGCCCTCCCTTTCCAACCATCTCACTTGTCATTTCTCTTCTTTTTGGGAATAGATCTGTGAAATACCCCAGAATATTGTTTGTGAAGTCATTCAGAGTCATATGTATACTAAATTGTGGTTATTTTACCATAGCCACCTCTGCAGCTTGTATTCAATGAATAGGTTATAGATGAAATTAGTGCCAACTTTTAGATCTTATTTTTTTAAGTATTTATTTTTTAGGTATAGTTGGACACAATGCCTTTATTTTATTTACTTATTTTTATGTGATGCTGAGGATCGAACCCAGGGCCTCGCATGTGCTTGGTGAGCACTCTACCGCTGAGCTACAACCCCATCCCCAAGATCTTATTTTTTTTATTTAACATATTAGCCAATACATTTGATACCTTAAATTAATCAAGGAAGTCATGATGCCCATCATTGTCTTACATTCTCAAATAAGGCAGCTATGATGATTTTCCTTAATGCAAAATATTATCCCTATCCATAATACGAACACTGACTTCCATTACATCTTACATAGCAGCAATTATTTGTTGCTTATCTCTCTCACTATCCTGAGTCTAATGTACTTTATCTAGTTCTTGAAATTTAAATATCTTTCTCATATAGCAGACATTTTTTGGTGAATAATTTCAATCTAGAAATTGTTTAAATAGTGGTATTTAATTCTCTCTTTCCTTCTCCCCTTCTCTTTTGTACATATATACAGATATAATTTTATGTCCCTTCTTCTTGGTCTCAGTTGTTTTATCTATTTGTCTGTCTGTCTTTCTGTCTGTCTATCTATCTCTCTGGTGGGAGTTGAATACAGGGCCTCAAGCATACCAGGAAAGCATACTGCTGAGCTACATACCCAACCCTCTCAGTTGTTTTAAGTCCAGGAAAACAAATTTATTTTTCCATCTCAGTTTTTCTCAATACCTATTTAAAAAATTTACTCCAGGTATAATAAATCTGTACTGAAGAAAATAATTTGCATATCTCATTGTGAAACTGGAAATAGTAGATCAAACACAACAATAAAAAAATAGCAGTATCGGTCTCTGTAAAGTTCCCTCACGTACATATATTTCAGAATTAACTATAAATGTTTCGCTTACCTTTTTGTCTATGTAAGTATTTTGATTACTTATATATTTGATTCATACTGTTCTTTTTAAAAAATAACTTTTCTTATTTTGTTTCACTTAACCTCAGTACTGCTTTGTAAGCAACTCATTGCAGTTATACAAAATAGTGATTACAGTATGGATTTTTCTACTAAATTAACCAATATTTACATATTTTTTGATGGAAAATCCATTATGAATTGCAAATAGATGATTTGTGAAGTGTGTTTTGAAACATAGACACTTGTAAACTATGGAATTTGAGTATTCAAAAAGAAAATATATTATTAAGTTATCATTAAAAATAATTTGGTTTAAGGGGTTGGGGGTGTGGCTCAGTGGTAGAGCACCTGCCTAGCATGCGTGAGGCCCTGGGTTTGATTCTAAGCACCACATATAAGTAAATAAAATAAAGGTATTTTGTCCATCTACAACTAAAGAAAAAATTAAAAAAAATAATTTGGTTTAAGAAAAACAATTTTTTTTGTTCCTACTTCTTCATTAGACTTGCCCTTTTTACAAAAAATTTATTTATTTTAATTAGGTATATGAGACAGCAGAATGCATTTTGATTCATTGTATACAATTGCAGCACAACTTTACATTTCTATGGTTGTAAACGATGTAGTGTCACTGTCACACCATATGTGCAGTCATACATGTACCTAGGGTAGTGATGTCCATCTCATTCCACCATCTTTCCTACCTCCGTGCTCCTTCCTTCACCTCCCTCCCCTTTGCCAAATCAAAGTTCCTCCATTTTCCCATGCCTCCCCTTTCCTCGTTATGGATCAGTATCCACTTATCAGAGAGAACATTCGGCATTTGGTGTTTTGGGATTGGCTTACTTCACTTATGATGATATTCTCCAACTCTATCCATTTACCTGCAAATGCCGTAATTTTATTCTCTTTTATTGCTGAGTAATATTCCATTGTGTATGTATACCACAGTTTCTTTATCCATTCATCTATTGAAGGGCATCTTAGTTGCTTCCAGTTTGGCTATTATGAATTGAGATGCTATGAATATTGATGTGGCTGCATTACTATAGTATACTGAGTTTAAGTCCTTTGGGTATAGACAGAGGAGTGGGATAGCTGGGTCAAATGGTGGTTCCATTCCAAATCTTCTAAGGAATCTTCATATTGCTTTCCATATTGGTTGCATCAATTTGCAGTTCCACCAATAATGTATGAGTGTGCCTTTTCCCCCACATCCTTGCCAACACTTATTGTTGACTGTATTCTTGATAGCTGCCATTCTGACTGGTGTGAGATGAAATCTTAGAGTAGTTTTGATTTGCATTTCTCTATTTGCTAGAGATGTTGAACATTTTTTCATATATTTGTTGGTCGAATGTATATCTTCTGAGAAGTGTATGCTCAGCTCCTTATCCCATTTATTGATTGGGTTGTTTGCTTTTTTGGTATTATGTTTTTTGTATTTTTGAGTTCTTTACATATCCTGGAGGTTAGTGCTCTATCTGACATGTGTGTGGCAAAAATTTCCTCCCAAAGTGTAGGCTCTCTGTTTACCTCATTGATTGTTTTTTTTGCTGAGAAGAAGCTTTTTAGTTTGAGTCCATCCCATTTATTAATTCTTGATTTTATTTCTTGTGCTTTAGGAGTCTTGTTAAGGAAGTCGGGGCCTAATCCGACAAGATGAAGATTTGGGCCTACTTTTAGATTTGCCCTTTTCTGATTGCCAAGTTCACATTTTTAGTCCTTACATTGATTCTATTTTCTCTGAAATATTTAGTAGTTATCCTCCTCTGTAAGTATATTCCCTTCTTAGCTGTGCTGCTTACCCTTTACTTTTCATCTTTTTTTTTAGTTGTAGATGAACACAATAACTTTATTTTAGTTATTTATTTTTATATGCATTTTGATTCATTGTACACAATTGCAGCACAACTTTTTATTTCTATGGTTGTACACAATGTAGTGTCATATCATCTGTGCAGTATAGATCAGTGTTTCTAAATGCCTATGAAGATACCTCTTCCACAGCTTCCATATGACATCTAAAACCAAATTTTCTTTATTCATTTGTATATTCCTTCTCCTAGAGCTTGTTTCTCTTCTGTCTTGTAACAAGTTATCAATGTCTCCATATATTAGTTATTCAAATTAAAATAATTAATGTTCTCTGTGAATCTATTTGCATCTGTCTTAATCCCCTGCATATAATAGCTCTTTAGGTACCTTGTTCATAGATTATAGCTCTTATATATCTTTGAATGTTTTTCCTAGTTTCATTCCCTTTTGTATAAGTTTCCCAACTGGCCTCCTTGCTGTACTTCCTCTACCAGTATTTCGTCAGATTTTCAATTTATGCTCCTAATGAAATAGTGTCATTTATCTACATAAGATCAGTTCTCTGTTTGTATCAGACTGTCTCGACATTGTGTTTGTTTTGTTTTTATTGGAAATTTTGACATATATTACATTACATGAAAAAATGTATACAGTAGAAATAGTTATAAACTTATTCTAGGAAGATTATGTACCATGTAGTAAAAGGTGTGATCAAAGCAGATTTTCCCAGAAAAATGCAACTCCACATTAGGTTGATGCATTTTGTCTCTCTGAGCAATAATACCACTTGAGAAGAGGGAATTTATCATCCTTTATAGTGTTTTATTATTTGTTATTTGCAATGTTATGTTAGTATGAATTATTTTAATTTTACATAAATAGAATATCTTTATTTATACTTAAATACATAATTTTTTCACTCCTACCTTTAAATTATATATGTATATAATTATATATATTTATATAATGTATGTATGTATATAATTTGTTATTACTGTTCTCTTCATGCCAATCAAATTGTTAATAGATAAATGTAATAATAGCTATCTTATTTTATATTTAATGCGTACCAGGTATTTTATATGTACTACCTTTCATATTTATAACAACCCTATGATGCATTCTTCATTTCACATTTAAGAAAACACAGAGTCAGAGGAGTCATAAGGCTATAAATGGCAGATCAGAATTTGAATGTAGATGTACCACCTCACGGCTCATGTTCTTACGGTATACTAGCCCTGCCCTCCTACAAAATGTTTAGTTTATAAAATATGTTATACTTACTGTGTGTGTAAAAGGACAAGACTGGTGCTTCTTAATGGTCACTGCAAGTCTGAAGGAAAATGAATATTCCTTCGGGATAACTCCCAGGATTTATTTAAAAAGGATAAGATGGTCAACAGTGATATAACTTTCCTATATATGTATGAGTGTGTGTGTGTGTGAGAGAGAGAGAGAGAGAGAGAGAGAGAGAAAGAGAGAGAGAGAGAGAGAGAGAGAGAGAGAGAGATTTATCTGTTAAATCCCATGTGCTCCAGAAAGTAACACTTAAGGTTTTAATAATTTCTTAGTATTTCTTTAGTGTAAATGTATAATAAAATAGTTCTATTACATTAATATAGTAAGAGTGATTGTTTTTTTACTTAATCATTGACGTGCTTTAGAATTAAGGTATAGTTAATGAAGTAGTGTCAGTCATCTACATAAAATTGGTTCTTTGTACATATTAGAGTACTTGACCTATTTGTGAATCAAATCATAATAGCTACTGTATTTTTAAAACATTTATTCCTTTTGCCACTTGTTTAATAATAATAATTTTATAATCGTCATCAAATATCATATTCTAAATCAAAGTACTTTCCTATAACACATATTATTGGATTAACAGACTATAGAAGGACTAGGGCTGGAGTTGTGGCCCAGCGGTAGTATGCAAGGCACTGGGTTTAATCCTCAGCACTATATAAAAATAAATAAATAAAATGAAAGTATTGTGAAAAGAAAAAAATTATAGAAGGACCAAAATACTATTTTTTATTTCATGTTTAATAAATATTTTGTGTTTCGGGGTTGGGGATGTGGCTCAAGTGGTAGCACGCTCACCTAGCATGCGTGAGGCATTGGGTTTGATTCTCGGCACCACATAAAAATAAAATAAAGATATTATGTCCACCTAAAACTAAAAAATAAATATTTAATAAACAAACAAATAAATAAATAAATAAATATTTTGTGTTTAAACAGGTGTCCAACACTCACAGCCTTCCAGCGATTCATTGCTTTTGGAAGTAGTGAAACAAGTTAAGGTTAGTGATATGGAAGAAGATAAATTAGAACTTCTTGAAGAGGACATAACAGCAAGAATAAATATGTATGTATAAGTACTTGAAAGAATTTGAAATGATTTTATTCTAAGAAATGGGATTGCAAAACTGAATTTGCTTGAAATTCTAATCATGTATTTCTTTTTTTTTTTTTTTTTAAAGAGAGAGAGAGAGAATTTTTAATTTTTTTTTTTTTTTTTTTTTTTTTTTAGTTTTCTGCAGACACAACATCTTTGTTTGTTTGTGGTGCTGAGGACCGAACCCGGGCCAAATGCACGCCAGGCGCATTCACCACCGCTTGAGCCACATCCCCAGTCCTCTAATCATGTATTTCTACCGTCCAATAGTTAACACTATTTTAACTGTTATTATCTGAGCTTACTGAGATTATGGAGTTAGGTTTCTTAGAATTGGATCACTTGGAACTCAACCTAAAATATTTTTGAACTGGGGCTGGGGTTGTGGTTCAACAGTAAAGCACTTGACTAGCACGTGCGAGGTGCTGGGTTCTATCGTCAGCACCACATAAAAATAAATAAATAAAGGTATTAAAAAAATTTTTTGAACCAAAAGGAAATGAAAACAATGTATGAAATGTGTGAGATGTAGCTAAAACTGTGTTTTGGTAGAAATATGCAGCAGAGGGGCTGAGGATGTAGTTCAGTGGCAGAGTGCTTGATTAGCATGCATGGAGCTCTGGGTTTGATCCCCAGCACTGCCAAAAGAAATAAGAAATATGCAACACAAAATGTAAGTGCAGAAGAAAAAATATAGATAAAAGAAATTGGTGGAAGAGAAAACAAAAAAAGATTTTTTAAAAAAGAAACACCTGTTTATTTAAAAATAAGCTTAGAGGGCTGGGTTGTGCTCAATGGTAGAGCACTTGCCTAGCATGTATGAGACACTGGATTCGATCCTCAGCATCACATAAAAAAATAAATAAATAAAATAAAGGTATTGTATCCATTAAAAAAATAAATAAATACATCTAGAGCAGAAAAACATAAACCTCTAGCCAGGTTGATTAGGAATAAGGGGAACACAGCATAAATTACCAGTATCAAAATGAAAGAAGAGATACTGCTACAAATATAAAAGTAATTAAAAAGAATAATAATGCAACTTTATGCCAGTAAACTTGGCAATTTAAATGTACAGATTTAATATACATTTAATAGAGCACCTTAAAGAAGAAATTGATGACCTAAATACTTTAAGTCATATTTCAAAAATTTTAATATATAAATATAAAATATATTAATTTCTCCTTCATGTTACTATTGTTATATATTTTAGACTTATATTTTCCATGTAATCACCAGTCTTGTGTCCTTGGGTTGTATGTATTTCGTTACCATCTGACGTCATTTATTTTCTTTCAGCCTGAAGGTCTTCCTTTAGTATTTCTTTTTTTTTTTTTTTTAAGAGGGGGGGGGAGAGAGAGAGAATTTTTTTTAATATTTATTTTTTAGTTCTCGGCGGACACAACATCTTTATTTGTATGTGGTGCTGAGGATCGAACCCGGGCCGCACGCATGCCAGGCGAGCGCGCTACCGCTTGAGCCACATCCCCAGCCCCCCTTTAGTATTTTTTAAAGAAAGGTCTGATAGCCACAAATTCTCTTAGTTTTTGTAACCTATGGAAGTCATTGCGTTCACTTTTTGGCTTTTTTTGTTGTTATTTTTCGTTTGTTGTTTTTTCCCTTCAAGGCAGGGTCTCACTGTGTTGCCCAGGCTGGTCTCAAACTTGGGATCCTTTGCCTCATTCTCCTGAGTAGCTGGGATTACACACCTATCTTGACTCCTTTTTAAAATCAATTTATACTTCATCTAACCTAAAATTTACTATTGTGGGCTGGGGATGTGGCTCAAGCGGTAGCACGCTCGCCTGGCATGCGTGCGGCCCGGGTTCGATCCTCAGCACCACATACAAACAAAGATGTTGTGTCCACTGAAAACTAAAAAACTAAATAAATATTTAAAAAAAAAAAAAAAAAAAAAAAATTTACTATTGTGAAATATATGTTTCACTGATTTCTTAATATTCACTAGGTTGTGCAGCCATCTCTGCAATCTAATTACAGAACATTTTTATCATCCCAAAAGGAAATCTTGTACCTTTTCATAGTATAGCCATCCAGGTGGTTTGAAATAGTATCTCATTTGCATTTCCCTAATGCCTAATGTTGGTGAACATTTTTTCATGTGTTTATTGTATGCTAATATGTCTTCTTTGGTGAAATGTCTATGCAAATCTTTTGCCAATTTTTAAATTGTATTATTTTGTCTTTTTATTATTGAGTTCTAAGGGTTGTTTATTTATGCTAGATACAAGCCCCTTATCAGATGTATGATTTGCAAATATTTTCTTCCATTGGATGGTTGTCTTTCACTTTATTTTTTTAAGTATACATGCATATATATTACACACACACACACACATACACACACACACATACCCCTTTCAGATAGGGTATTGTCATGGTACACAAACTGGTCTCAAACCACTCCTGGCCTAAAGCCATCTTCCTGCCTCATCCTCCCAATTAGTTAGGAGAACTATAAGCACACACCACTGTACTAGGCTGTCGGTTTCTTAATAATGTCCTTTGTAGAGAGTCTAATTTTTTGTTTTGTTTTGTTTTCATAATTACTTTACTGACACACTGAATAGAAAATACAAAGAAGAAATACATGCCAGGTTAAACAGAAATGGTAGTCATCCTGGCTGATAATTAAATGAATTTGTTTTAATACATAATAGTAAGTTTGAGAAGTCTAATTTTGATGAAGTGATTTATTGTTTTCTTACGCTTTTAGTGACATATGTAGTAAACCCTTGCCTAAAATCATTCAGGTTTAGTCGTGTGGTTTAAGAGCTTTGTTCTTTTATTCTTACATACATAGATTGTGAGTTTCATAGATTTTGAGTTTACTTGTATATAATGTGATTTCAGGGTCCAAATTCACATTTTTGCATGTGATTATCTAGGTGTCCCAGAACCATTGCCTTCATTAATTATGAATGCTTTTACTAGATATGAAATTCTTGTAAGATTTTTTTCTCAGCAGTTTGAATACCTCACTTCTGGCATGAATTTACTAGATGTCAGACTCATTAATTTTAAACTGAAGAACCAAAACATTCTCTGTTGTTGAGTATAAATAACCTTCATTCTATTTTTTTTCTTTTAAGTTACTCACTATTTCATTTATTACTGTAAATATTAAAATTTCACTGTTTAAGAAAACATTCTTTCCAGCAATTTTTTTAATGCTCTAGCTTTAAATAAAGGGTTGTAATATTACCAGGTAAGTTGGTGATACTGGTAGAGTATTCTCATGAAAATCTATTGGAAACAAAATTAGACTTAGCCATTGTTATCCTAGGCACAATACGTATGTGAAGTATCTTTTATGTATAATCAGTGTCTACCAATTAAAAAAAAAAAATCTAGGCCTAAAGAACAGCTGGATTAGGCCAATAATGTAGCTCAGTGGTAGAGCAGTTGCCTGTCATGTGCAAGCCCCTGGTTCAATCCCCAGTACCACCAAAACAAAAACACACACTTGGCTTGGCTTGAGAGATTTTCCTGAATAACATTCTCCTGTGAAGGAGGGCTTCCCATTTTTTTTTTTTTTTTTACCTACCCAGCAATTAAAGTCACCTAGGGAACTGGAAGAAACTCCCTTTCTAGTTACTCCTTCTAACAAATATAAATGATAACATTCCTTTAATACAAGGGTATGCAACAATAACTCTTTGTATTATTTCTACATCCTTTGTCAGGAGGATGCTCTAATGGTGATGCTCTAGTTTTAATTAGTCTCACAATCTCTTTTACAGTTTAAAAATCGTAATTAGATGCTGAGCACAGTAGTACATTCCTGTAATCCCAACTAGTTCAAGGTCAACCTCAGCAACATAGCAAGACCCATCTCAAGGCTGAAGATGTAGCTCAAATGAAGAGCACTAGCTTTGCATGCTCAAAGTCCCTTGTTCAATCCTTAGTACCCGGGAGCGGGGGGCAAATGTCAAAGTAAAATAAAGGTATTGTGTCCGTCTACAACTAAAATATATTTTTAAAAAGTACTTAAAATTATCTAAAAAACGCCACTGAATGGGCTGGGGCTGGCCCAGTGGCAGAGTGCATGCCTAGCATGTGTAAGGCACTGGATTCGATCCTTAGCACCCCATGAAAATAAACGAATAAAATAAAGGCATCTGTCCATCTATAGCTACAAAAATAATTTTTAAAAAAACCACTAATAATATGCTCTTTTATTCACAGATTTATATATTCCCTGGGTCAATTCATGTGCTCCAGAACACAGAAATATTATCTCCAGTAAAACTAAAATGACATGACCAATGTTGCTGCATTGTTAAAACTTTATTTCATTTGTTTATTTATTTTTATATGGTGCTGAGGATCTTACCCAGTGCCTCAAACATGTTAGGCAAATGCTCTACCAGTTTGCCACATCCAAGCCCTATTCCTACATTTTTAACTGTCTTCTGCCTGTTGTGTTATTTACTGTTTTGCCTAAATGGGTCATATAAAATTAAAATGTGAAGCATATTGTTCATGAAATTGAATCATTGGACAATAAAATTAATATTTAAGTAATTTAATATGAACTAGAGTGTTTCTTATAGGTATTTCACTATGTTTATATACATAAGGTTTATTTTTTTCCATTTAAGCAGGATAAATTGATGGGTGGAGTTTTTATTTATTTATTTTTTTAAATATGTTTAGTGATGAGAAAGAAGAGCAGGATCAAAAAGAAAAATTGGTGTTGACAGAAGACTGTGAATTGATTACAATAATTGATGTAATTCCTGGCAGATTAGAAATCACTACGCAACACATTTACTTCCATGATGGCAGCATTGAAAAAGAAGATGGTAAGGAGTTCTGGGGAAATAATTTATATTCAATAATTAAATAAGAAGAATATAATAAGATGGGACAGTGAAAGTCTGTTGTGTAAAATTAAAAATGGTAACTCATTATGGGTTTAAATTTATTCAATGTTAAAGGGGGAATGCTTTTATGTTTTATTTACTTTGAAAGACTCAGCTTGAGGGGATTTTAATAAACTTAAGCTGTAAAAGACAATCTTAATTTATCATACCTTTGAAAGTATACTTTTATAAAAATTTCTTACCTAATCCTTCATGTAATACTAAAAGGCTGATTATATCTTTACAATACCAACATAGAAGTCTGGGTTTATAGCTCAGAAGTAGAGCACTTGCCTAGCATGTTTGAGGCACTGGGTTTGATTCTTAGCACTGTGTATAAATAAATAAATAAAACAAAGGTCCATTGATAACTAAAAACTTTTTTAAATGAATAAAATGTCAACATTAAAAAGGTTTCTAAGATAGAATATATTTTCTATTTTCGTGGGTAGGCAGTAGAAGAACTATAGAACTTTTAAAATAGTTTTAAAAGAAATAGTTTAAACATCCTTTAAATTTAATAAATGGTTTTATAATCGACAATCCCTTTTCCCTAAGTGTTACCTTGACAGGAACAAGAAGATACTTTCTGCGTATGAGTAATTAAAAAGATTTTTTTTCTATTTTCAGGAGTAGGTTTTGATTTCAAGTGGCCTCATTCTCAAATTCGTGAGATTCACTTACGGCGCTACAACTTAAGGAGATCAGCTCTTGAGATTTTTCATGTTGATCAATCCAACTATTTTCTAAATTTCAAGAAGGAGGTATGCTACCTTTCTGACAATCCCAAAGTATTAGCTTGAAGTGATTTTCCAGCTAGTAAGCTCTAATGGGACTTTGGTCCAACTAAAGTTCAAAAGTGAATTTTATTACTTTACATTTATATAGCTTTGAATAATTCACAACACAGTAAGGGTAGAAATTATGTTTATTACAAATAAAAGTTACTAAATTGTTCTATTTTCCAAAATGATAGGAAATAACAAAGCTAATTTTTTTATTATTGTTTTAGTTGTAGTTGGACACAACACTTTATTTTATTTATTTATTTTTATGTGGTGCTGAGTGAGGATCGAACCCAGGGCCTTGCACATGACCTACCGCTCAACCACAACCCCAGCCCACAGAACTAAATTTCAGCCAGACTTGAGCAAGTTTTCTACTTCAAATCTAATGCTTTTTCCATTATACAGTACAATTTTTGCAAAAGCTAGATGGTGTAACTTTACCAACTGCCATTTTATGTTGCTATATCAAAATCTCTGAGACCAAGTAATTTAAAAGAATAGAAGTTAATTTGGCTTGTAATTTTGTAGGCTAGGAAGTTCGAGTAGAGAAGTTAAAACCATAATCCACTGTTTATATGACATGTCTAGAATAAGCAAACCCGTAAAGATAGAAAGTAGAGGATAGGAAAGGCAGCAGAATACAACAGACACTAGTATGGCAGTAGGTAAAAACGTGGATGTGTAACCGATGTGATTTTGCAATCTGTATATGGGGTAAAAATGGGAGTTCATAACCCAGTTGGATCAAATGTATGAAATATGATATGTCAAGAGCTTTGTAATGTTTTGAACAACTAATTAAAAAAAAGAAAGTAGACTTGTGGTGTTAAGGAGATAAGGAGGCAGAACTGGGAATAACTACTAATAAATAAGGGTTTTCTGTTGGTGGGGGAGTGATGAAAATTTTCTAAAGCTAGATAATGGTGATAGTTGCATTGCTCTGATTATACTAAAAGGGTGAATTGTATCTCAATAAAGCTGTTACAAAGACTATAACCCAAGTTTGTTGAGCAGTTTTTAAACTACATAATGGTATATTTTGTAGGTTAGAAACAAAGTGTATAGTAGGCTGTTGTCACTTCATTCTCCAAATAGTTATGGAACAAGATCACCACAGGAATTATTCAAAGCATCAGGATTGACCCAGGTAGGGAATTTTTGAGTCACTGTTCATTTTATATCAGAAATTTTTCTTAAAAGTAAAACTTGATTCTTGCAATTATTTTCTTTTGATTATTACAACTATTATTCTTTCATTACGTCTGATCTTTTGAATTCTTTAAATCTTCTTTTGTTTCCTTCACATATACCAATTTCTTACCCCTTCAGCTGCCATATCATTCATTTTATGGGTACACCCTTTAGTAACTTTGTCTTTTTAAACAAATAATATGGACTTTTAGTTTTTAAATAAAAATAGTACATGAGTGAAGAAGAAAAAAAAAGAAAAATAGGAAAAGTGCCCTGGAAAAGGTAAACAAAAAATTGCCCTTTTACCAGCTAACGCTAATTAATGCTCTCTTGAATTATGTTCCCACTTATAATCTCAATATGTTTTGAATTTGTACTTCTAGAACCCAAAGGAAAGCTGTTAGTTTTTGCTTTCTAGGATTGTTAGTAGTTTCTTAATCAGTATAGCTCTTTTTTCCTGACAGATATTCATCTTTCTTAAGTTTTTGTCTCATTCTAGAGTTATCAGCAGTTCTTTCTCTTTTTTCTTTATTTTTGGTGCTGGAGATTGAACCCAGGGCCTCATGTGTGCTAAACCTTACCGTGAGCTATATACAATACCAGTCATGTTACTATTGCCGGTGAAATAAGCTTTACTTAATAAAGTACATTCTCTTTTGCCTATATAATATACTTGGTTAAGTATTGATTCTTCAACCTGGCATTTAAAACAGTTGGGCATTCTTTAAGTGTAAATATATATAATTGCAAGTGTGTGTGTGTGTGTGTGTGTGTGTGTTCTATTTCTCACTGTTCACTATATGTTTTGCTTAAGGCACATGGTAAAGTTAATACTAATCTGTCAGCAAAACTCAAGCATGCTCCCACTGTGTATAGTAATTAGAAGGCTAGGTATAGGGAGGCAATTCATCAGAAACAATGATTATCTCTTTCCTTAGAAAATTTTCTACCTAATAGGTAAAATCTCATCCATAATTGCTTTATAATGGTAGTTTTCTTTGGATAGCTAATATACTGTTGAAGTAATACTAGCTTATGGTATATTAAGTTTTACCATATTAAGGGTAGTTTTAGTATATCACAATAATATTTTTTAATACATATGTAAATTTTCAAGTAGGATGGTCCTTTGAAAATTTAAAATTTTAAGATATTCAAATAAAGCATTTAAAGACTTAATTCTTATCAAAGACTCCTTAGACTATATTATAAAATTTATGTTCAGTTTTTGTTTCCTAGAGATATATTTTAAAAGGAAACAAAAAGTGAGGAAAAGTGATTTATTTCCATTTTAAGCTTCTTTTTATCCATTTATCAAGTAGGTAGAGATAATGTTCACAAAAGATTGCGTTGGTCTTGTTGGTAATACTTGTCAGTTTCTAAGAGATATAGATTATATAATTCTGCTATTGCTCTTTTTCATACTGTCTAGAAATGGGTGAACAGAGAGATATCAAATTTTGACTACCTCATTCAAATAAATACAATAGCAGGACGAACCTATAATGACCTTGCACAATATCCTGTGGTAAGTTTTGTAAAAATGTCATAAATATTAAATTACCTTTCAGTTTTATAATATAGAAAACTATATGCATGATCCTTTTTTATTTTTTAATATACGTATCTGGAGACTGGGGGCATAACTCAGTGATAGAATGCTTGCCTTGTATGTTTGAGCGCCTGAGTTTGATTCCTAGTGCAGCGTACACAAGCACACACACACTCACACACAGGTATAAACACACCCTTGTTACCTTTATGTATATTTTCTCCCCTGATATTTTCAAGAAATATATAAATATGAAGAATAATGAAAAAGTAAAAGCCATTTTCTTTTACTTCATTGAAAATGTTCCAGTGGAATTATAGAAAATACTCTGTTGAACTAAAGATGAATATTTTCTTTATTCCCAGCAGCGCAAAAAAAAAAAAAAGATGAATATTTAAAATATTTAAAGTATTTGCAATGAGGAAAGGTGTTTTTAGAGACTATATCTTTCTGTCTTTATGTAAGCATTTGATATTGAATATGGGGATATTAGCTTCTCTAGTAAGGAATGTCTAAGTTGTAAATTGTGACTTTTTTTAGTTTCCTTGGATTTTACAAGATTATACTTCAGAAGAGTTGGATCTTAATAACCCCACTGTATTTCGAGATCTTTCCAAACCAATTGGAGTAGTTAATGATAAAAATGCCAAAGCTATGAGAGAAAAGTAAGTGTTTTATAACCCTTTTTAGGAAAACTCTGTTTATTTGAATTTGTATTGATTTCTTCCAAGATCAACCAAATGTTATCTGTTTTTAATGTATGACTAATTTTGATAATCAGTCTGATAATTGCTTCACTAAATTTTCTTAAGTATTTTGGTAGCTCTTCAAGTAATTATATTTCTGTTGATTTTCTTTCTTCACCAAAGTTAAATTGCTATTGCCCCAAAATGCTTTTCATCTTCAAGTAAATATACGCTAATGTGTAGTAGGTTTTTGAAATTTTTTTATCTCAGATAGTTATTTTAGATTTCATAACTTACCAGTACAATATGTATACATATTCATCTGATATATTTTGAAAAAATACAAAATTAATACTAATCTATTATTCAAAATAACATCAATGAAGAATAATAAAATGAGTAAAAATTTAGAAAATAATTTTATTAAGAAAAGCAAAATTTTATGGTAGTTCTATTTATTCATGATCTACCCCAGGAGCTCAGATTATCCTTTATTAGCAGCTTATAGAAGATGACAGGGTAGATCATGAAGAAATGTTCATCATTGCTAGCAATTAGAGAAATGCAAATCAAAACTACTCTTAAGATTTCATCTCACTCCAGTCAGAATGGCAGCTATTATGAATACAAACAACAATAAGTGTTGGTGACGATGTGGGGGAAAAGATGCACTCATACACTGCTAGTGGGACTGCTAGTTGGTGCAGCCAGTATGGAAAGCAGTATATGGATTCCTTGGAAAATTGGGAATGGAACTACCATTTGACTCATCTATCCCTGTCCTTGGTCTATACCCAAAGGATTTAAAAAACAGCATACTACAGGGGCACAGCCACATCAATGTTTGTAGCAGTACAATTCACAATAGCTAAACTGTGGAACCAACCCAGATGCCCTTCAATAGATGAATGGATTAAAAAAAAAATGTGGCATATATACACAATGGAATATTACTCAGCAATAAAAGAGAATAAAATCATAGCATTTGCAGGTAAATGGATGGAGTTAGAGAATATCACACTAAGTGAAGTTAGCCAATCCCCAAAAAACAAATGTTGAATGTTTTCTCTGATATAAGGAGGCTGATTCATAGTGGGGTAGGGAAGGGGAGCATGGGAGGAATAGACAAACTCTAGATAGGGTAGAGAGGTGGGAGAGGAAGGGAGGGGCATGGGGTTAGCAAGGATGGTGAAATGTGATGGACATCATTATCCAAAGTACATGTATGAAGACACGAATTGGTGTGAATACTCTTTGTATACAACCAGAGATATAAAAAATTTGTGCTCTGTATATGTAGTAAAAATTGTATTGCATTCCGCTGTCATATATAAATTTTAAATAATTAATAAGAAAAAGAATAATTTGATATTAATGTCCCTTCTTTTCCCTGTAAATTTGTGAATGACTTCAGATTTCTACTAATGAGGGCAATGAACTCTCTTATAGATTAATTCGAAAGTAGACTATGAATTTTTCTTTTCACTTTTTCTTTGCCATCTTTCCCAGTATTTTCTTCATTATGTTTAATGTTTTTATTTGATTTACCAAGGGAGCTTTGTTGTATATTTGTGTATTCTGTCACTGTAACTAGTCAGACTTTTTTTTTTTTTTCCTGACAATAACCAAAAGTTTTGTTTTCAACCAACATCCCACAGGGAATACTTAATATAAATAGCTTATTTTATTGGTATTCAAGGCTGCAACTTGTTCTAAAGTTTGATGGTCTTATTTTTGCATGTGAACAAATGACTTTGACAAATTATTTTTTATTCCACTAAATAGTAAGTTGACCTAAACTTGATGAACTGATTACAGTTATCCCTTGGTATCCATGGCGATTGGTTCCAGGACCCCAGCAAATACTAAATTCTGTAAATGCTTGTTTCTTATATAAAATGGCTTAGAATTTGCATATACTCTTCTTGCACATCTTCCTATATAGTTTACCTCATCTCTAGATTACTTATAATATCTCATACACTGTAAATAGTTGCTATATTATATTGTTTAAGGAATGACAAGGAAAAATGTCTGTACATGTTCAGTACAGACAAAATTTTTTCCTTAATATTTTCAATCTGCAGTTGGTTGAATCTGAAGATACAGAACCTGTGGATTCAAATAACTGACTATACTGCTTTGGTTTAAAAAATTCATGGTTTATTTCTTCCAAAACACAGTTTATTCCTTTTTTTTTTTTAAAGATGTTGATGGACCTTTATTTTATTCATTTATTTATATGTGGTGCTGATATAAGGAGGCTGATTCATAGTGGGGTAGGGAAGGGGAGCATGGTGCTAGCAACCCAGTGCCTCACACCTGCTAGGCAAGCACTCTACCACCAAACCACAACCCCAGCCCACTATTCATTCTTATTCATATTTTATACACACTAATTCACATGTCGTCATTCAGATCAGTCATACATGTATTAATGATAAGCTTGCAGAATCACTGTATATCCATTGATAATAATCTTGTTTAGCCTTTTTTCCTATATATCATCTCCTGTTTCTTTTACATTTGGATTACTAAGCTTTTATTTTCTACCATTTTTTTATTAGTATTCCATATATTTGTCCATTAACTTGGCCACAGAAGGATATCTTATTATCACATTGCTTATAACAGAAAAAATGGAACTAATCTAAATGTCTAAAAGTAAGAAATAGTTGATCTGTGGCACATTTTTACAGTCCAATTCCACCTATCCATTAAAAACATCATTTTGGGGGCTGGGGATGTGGCTCAATGGTAGAGTGCTTGGCTAGCATGTGTGAGGCACTGGGTTAAATTCTCAGCACCACATAAAAATGAATACATAAAATAAAGGTATTGTGTCCATCTACAACTAAAAAACTAAAAATAATCATTTGGAAAGATGTTAATAGATTCAGATTATTAAAATATAAGATTTATGTATTAAATATTATGTACATATTTTTCCCCCAGTACTAAGGATCAAAACCAGGAGCTGTGCCCTTTCTAGGCAGGGCTGTACCACTGAGCTACATCCCTAGCCCTTTTTTAAAAATTTATTTTGAGACAGGATTTCATTTAATTGCCCTAACCTGGCCTTGAACCTGTGATCCTCCTTCCTTAGACTTCTGAATACTGGGATTATAGGTATGCATCACTGTTTCTAACTATGTATAACACTTTTATGTTGAAAAATATTTGCATGGCTAGAAGTGTAGCTCAGTGGTAGAACATTTTCCTAGTGTGTGCAAGAATCTGAATTTGATCCCCTATGCTAACAGAAAGAAAAACTGTGTATTAACTTATACATTAGAAGAGACAAATATTCATCAAGTTAATGGTAATTATCTCTTAAGAGTAGAATTATAGTTGAAGTTTTTTTCTATTTTAATTCTGCTTTATAATTTTCCACAGTGAACGTATAGTATTATTATATAATACAAATTTTTTTCAGAATCCCATGTTGGTGATGTTGTTTGGAAAAAGTATTAAGGAATAGAACTTTTCCCATATGTTTATATGACATGATGATACAAATACATAGTTTGATAATGAAGCATATAAACAATGACTTTTAAAAAAACCTGTTTTCATCCCATTAACTTAGATCCTCTTGTGTAATTTTGCTATTATGGTTATAAAACTGTAGTTTCTTTTTTTAGATATGAAAATTTTGAGGATCCTATGGGAACAATTGATAAATTTCATTATGGAACTCACTATTCAAACTCTGCAGGGGTCATGCACTATCTCATTCGTGTAGAACCATTCACCACCCTCCACATCCAGCTTCAGAGTGGAAGGTATGCTTGGGGTAAATAAGCTATTTTCTTACAAATGTGTCAGTGTCAAACTGTTTGCCTTGAAATCATGTGCTCTGTAACAGGGTCGTATCATTTTAATTCTTCATTAGGCTTTGATTCAAATAAAATGACCAAACAGTTTGAAAATGATTCACTCAAACTGACTAATAGAAATGACTTTTCAGGAGAATTCTTTTTTTGCTATTATCCCAGTTTATTTTGGGGGTTCCTACTGTTTTGAAGAATTCATCATAGATTTAGAATTAGAATTGATTTAGAGATAAATCTAAGCTACCTAAAGAGTCAAAGCTCACCAATGCTCATGTAATCATCTTTAGAATATTTATCAAAGAAACAGAAAGAAGTAGCAATGTGGGACTTTTATAGCAACTGTCTTTGATACCACAGTATTCACATGTTATCTGTGAATATTACAACTTACCTTTATTTCATGTTTTCCTATAAACTAACTTCTCTGTGAATCCTTTTTACTTAATGCATCCTCCAATAGCTCCTACTTATGTGTATTTTGTCTCTGTGTTGCTTTATTCCTTACAGGTTTGTCTTCCTCACCTATTCAGAAACTATATATATACACTGCCCATACTGTTTTCTTTCCTGTGTAGTTTGTTTCTCATACAATTATCCTGTAGCTTCTATCCCTGTCTTAAACTTTGGTTTTCAAGAAGAGGCTGTGTCCCAAGATCATTTAACGTCACTAAAGTGTTAACATTTACCATGATAGTGGCTAATTTTTCCTACATAAGATGTAATGAAGTTTAAATGGGATTTCAGCCTTTTTATGATTTTATGAATGATTTTTTACAGAGCTTAAATCAATTCTATTTTAACTTCAGAGGATACCATCAAGAAAGTGAAAATCTAATAAGGGACTTATATCTAAAATTTAGCTCTAAAATACATAAATAAGCCTTAAAACTAAATAATAGACAATTCAATTTAAAATGGACAAAGAGGCCAGGTGCAGTGGTGAATGTCTGTAATACCAGCAATTCAGGAGGCTGAGGCAGGAGGATCACAAGGATATCCTTGGCAATTTGGCAAGATGCTGTTGGGTCCACAAAATACATATACGATGGTGTGAGAGGGAAGGGAAGAAAAAAAAGAGAGAGATAAGTGTCACAGTAGAATGGGTAGAGAATAGTGATGGGAGGGGAGGAAAGGGGAGGTGGGGATAGGGAGGGAAGCAGAATACAACTGACACTAGGATTGCTGTATGTACACACATGGATGTATAACTAATGTGATCCTGCAATTTGTACATGTAGAAAAATGAGAATTCATACCCTATATGAATCGAATGTATGATATGTCAAGATCATTGTCTTGAGCAACTAATAAAAAAAATAAAATGTAAAAAGAGCTACACAATGGGCCACATATTTCATAATTTATGTGAACTGTACAAAATGGACAAATCTGTGGAGTCAGAAAGTAGATTTGTAGGTGCCAAAGTTGGGAATAAGGTGAATGGGAAAAGATGCTAATATATACTGTTTTAGTCAGCTTTTCTGCCACCATGACCAAAACACCTGACAAGAACAACAATGAGGAGGAAAAGTTTATTTGGGGCTCATAGTTCTAGAGGTCTGGGTCCACATTTGGCTGCCTCTGTTATTCTGGCCCCAAGGTGAGGCAGAACAGCATAGTAGAAGGGTATGGTGGAAGAAAGCAGCTCAAAATGTGGCACCAGGAAACAGAGCTCTGCTCACCCAGGTCAAAATATAAACCCCAAAGGCACCACTTCAGTGACCCACCTCCTCCAGCCACACCCTACAAGCCTACAGTTCCCCTGACCCCCTGTTAATCCATGTCACTGGATTAATGTACTGATTATGTTAGGGTTCTTACAACCTAGTTATTTCACCTCTAACTTTTTGAATTGTCTCAAACATGAGCTTTTTTGGGGGGTGGGGTGGGGGTACAGTGATGGAGATTGAACCCAGGGACTTGTGCATGCAAGGCAAACACTCTGCCAACTGAGCTACATCCCCAGCACTCACACATGAGCTTTTGGGGGACACTTCATATCTGTACCATAGTAGGTACACTGTTTCTTCTTGGAGCAAAGAGAATGTTCTAAAATTAATTGTGCTTTTGGTTGCCCAACTAGGATTATACTAAATTAAATCATCAAATTGTCCACTTAAAATGAATGAATCACATGCTAGTTCTATCTCAATTAACTTTATACCTCTTCTTAAATGTGGGTAGGCCAGTGTTAGACTTTATAAGCTAATTTCTGTTATTAGATTCAAAGTTCTCGTAAGATCAATTCTTCTCAAACTTATATTAATAGGGATTTAAAAAACAGAAGGAGAGCCAAGTTAGTCATTGTGTCACTTTTTTTCTTTTATCAGGGACTTAACTTTTTAGACTCAGGTCATTATTACTAAAGTACAACCCAGGTATATAATATCAAAGGAAATAAAGCAGAAGGGTTTATGTTTTTTGTGATTAAGGAAAGCATAGTACAGTTGCAGCATTACTACTTGAACTTCTTCCAGCTACCATAGGCTCTATCTACCCGTGATGAAACTTAAAGTAAAATTAATTAAAAGTGAAATAAAATTAAGCTAATAGTATATGCAAGTAATATATAAAAGCTTCAGCCACAGAGGTGTGTCCCTAATTTACCCTTTAGTTTTGAGAAGAGTTTCTATTGAGGATTCATACATCAAGGATTAAATTAGCATTCCTATAAATCCGTTAACCAAACATATTAATATTGTAGTGTTTAAATTACATTTAAACTGTGATTTTCAAATATCTAAATAATGTTCACTTTAGGGCTTGTGTTGTGGCTCAGTGGTAGAGTGCTCGCCTGGCATGTTTGAGATCCTGAGTTCAATCCTCAGCACCACATAAAAATAAATAAATAAGTAAAATAAAAGTATTGTGTCCAACTACAACTAAAAAATAAATATTTTTTTAAAAAGTTCACTTTATGCAATACATTTTATTCAGCAAAATTTATGCCTTTTTAAAAATATTTTTTATTTTTTAGTGTAGTTGGACACAGTACCTTTATTTCACTTATGTTTTTTTGTTTTTTTGAGAGAGAGAGAGAATTTTTTAATATTTATTTTTTAGTTTTCGGTGGACACAACATCTTTATTTTATTTTGATTTGGTGCTGAGGATCGAATCCAGCGCCCCATGCATGCCTGGCGAGCGCGTTACCGCTTGAGCCACAACCCCAGCCCCAAATTTATGCCTTTTTAAAAAGCATCTTAAAATTATGTTTCATTTACTTGAAATTTTTCTTCAGTGTGATTTTTTAACTACTTTTACTAAGGTTATAGTAGTAGTTAAAATTATAGTACTTAGCTCTTGACAACAAAATATAAAAGATTAAATTGTAATAGAGAAAATTACATTTTTAGATATGAAAGAAAAAGATGAAGAAAAGAGCAGCTCTAATCATTCAGAAACCTACAGGGAGTTTAAAGGTTTTGTTTCATGTCTTATTGTTGTTTTGATCCAGTATTTACTGTTCGTTTTTAATTTCTCCTTGCAGGTTCGACTGTGCAGATCGACAGTTTCATTCCATCCCTGCTACCTGGCAAGCTCTCATGGATAATCCATATGATGTGAAAGAACTTATTCCTGAATTCTTCTATTTTCCAGAGTTTTTGGAAAATCAAAATCGTAAGAAATAGAGGATTAAAAAATTACCTTAGCAGATCCAGTGGTGGAACCTGAAAAATAACTTTCAGGACCTGTCTGCAATGTCATATATCTTATTTAAGGTTCATTCTATCCATAGATTACTTAGTGACAGGGTTTAACTGATGCCCAGGTATTAGTCTTCCCTTCTAGGGTTGTTCTATAGGGAACTAAGATTAATGAGTCAAATCTGAACTGATAAGAAAATCTGTACAGTGTAACTAGAGAAGCAAAACTGGCCATATGCTGTCACTAAGAGTCTTTTGAGTTAGATAAGATCAGGATTTAGACTAGGGATCAGCAAACTACAGGTCCATGGACCAAATAAGCAAACTCGTATTTTTACAAATAAAGTTTTATTGGTACACAGCCAATTGTTTTATATATCATCTATGTATGACTGCTTTCAGAGATTAATAGTAGACTTGAGTAGTTGCAGCAGAGACTATATCACAAGACCAAAAATATTTATATTTGACCCCTTATTGAAAAAGTTTACAGACTCCTTAATTAGAACATAGGAGAGGAGTCAAATTGGGAATAATGACTTAAGTTTATCACACTGTTTGAAAATTTATATTTTTAAAGTAGACAAGCATAGAGCTAAACCCAGTCTTTTAAAATACCTGGACACTTTCACAGTAGTTTTACATATACTTTTTAGTACAAATAAAGAACATGACAAACCTACTGGTGTTCTTTAGGGCAATTCCACAGTGTTAAAGGGTCATTACCAGTTACTCTTTTTTTCTCTGTTTGACCCTTGCTCAGAAGAGTTTGTTAAGCTGGGAAGAGGGCTTAATGTCATTTTGATCATGCATTCTGGAACAGGTTTTAGAGGCAGGACATCTTATTCTGAGAGTAATACAGTCTGAATTAGTGACTTTCAGAAAATCAGGTGATCTGTTGACTGAGTCTGATCCCAAGGTCAATCAGCCATTACACTGGAGTCTCCTAAAGCCAGAGTATCTGGGATAGGAGGATGAACACACTAAATTTGGTTCAAAAATTTAAGGCACTTTTAACCCAACAACTCATGATATTTATCAGATTCAGTTGTGGTCTTTAGCACTGTGTCCTGATGGCCTCTATTTCTAACTGTACATTACTTTGTTGTTTGAAATGAGCTGGGTAGGAGAAAGCAAATATATCAGGTAATCTGCCATCAGGAGCAAATATTAATAAAACCAACTCAATTATACAAACAAGGAAATTTTAGTATTTTCTATAATAGAAACCCAAAGGTATAGTAGTTCCAGATAGCTTAATATCATCAAGGCCAGTTTTCTTTCTGTATTTCACTCTGCCATTCTGAGTGTTTCAACTTTGTCTATGTCTAGTTCCTCTCACAAGTTAAAATCACTGAAGCAGTGTTAAGTGTCATAGGTAGATACAATGGTATCTTAGAAAGAAATGAGCCTGTTAATCTCTTGAATCCTTTCTTTTTTCTTTTTTTTTTCCTGTGTGTGTGTGTGTGTGTGTGTGTGTGTGTGTGTATGTATTTGTGTGATTCCAGAGATTAAACCTAGGGGCACTTAATGACTGAGCCACACCCCCAGTCTTTTTTTATTTTTTATTTTGAGACAGAGCCTCCCTAAGTTGCTTAGGGCTTTGCTAAGTTTCTGAGGTGGACTTTGAACTGCAGTCCTCCTGCATCAGCCTCCCTAGCTGTAGGGATTACAGTCATGCACCACTGTACCTGGCCCATTGTGTTCTTTCTTAAGAATGAGAAATCCTTTCTTATAACCTCTCCTTGTTCTCCAGAGCTAGGTCATACACCAACCCCTAAAACACACCAGGAATGGGTGTGTAATGTAGATAAGAAATGAAAAATGAATACACAAATGAATAAATGTTCTGCTAGCAGATAAAAGGAGGAATAACCATAAATTTGGACAATGAAAAATATTTGCTACACAGTGACTGACTTAACATAAAGCCAAAGATCCTGTGCATCCTGTTATTCTATGACATTTAAACCTCACTCCAACTTTGGACACATGGTATTTTAAGGCAGCACAATGTTATTTTAAGACTGGTATTTTAAGAGCCTTTTTTCTGAAGGTCTCTTACGTTAACACTTTTCCTCCTACAAGAAAACCTCATATTTAGGAAAATTCTATGTTCTAACTATAAGAGCAAAATTCTGTTATGCAAATATCTATTTAGAATAGTAGTATATAAATATATTATTCTTCCATAAAACAAAATAGAGCTCTTCCAATGAATGATTTTAAGGTATATGTTTTACCAAAAAGCTCAAAGTAGCTATATTTTGTAAATTAACCATTAGAGGATTTGATTTTAGTGTAAAAAGAATACTTAATACTGCATTTTTGTTCAGATTAACATGAGTGTTGTAACTACTCTTCTCAACAAAGGAATTAATTCTTATTCTGATTTCCCCTGTAAAAACTAATTTAAAACTTTTTAAATTAATGGGATAGTGTATATGCCAATAGATAAAAACTAACGAGGAAAAAGCCACTATTTTGCTTAGTAGCATGCCCTCATTTATATTTGATTTACTTCATATATTTAAATCTAAAGTGATATAATGTTTTTATCTTTTATGTCTTAGAATTTAACTTGGGTCGTCTACAAGTTTCCAGAGAACTAGTAAATAATGTCATCCTTCCCAAGTGGGCTAAGTCAGCTGAAGATTTCATCTGTAAACATAGGAAAGCTCTGGTAAGATTTTTGTTTAGTTATTAGACAGATTAATAAGGTACAGATGTGTTTTCCAAAGGATGAAATAAAATATACCTAATTTTTATTTTTTCAGATTAATTTGTTATGTATGCTGTGTTTAGAAAGTATGATATAGTAATTTATTTTTAAGAATCTTCTGATACAGTAGCAATATGTTATAATCCATGAATATAACAAAATAGAGGTTGAACCTCCTTAAACTTAACTTTAAGTAAGCTTTGAATTTTAGAGCATTTGGGAGTTTGGACTTATGCTAAACAGGTCAAGTCTTTGCAAATATTACAAAATGGGAAAAATCCAAAATCCAAGGCAGGCCTGGTGGTACTCAACATGTATTTCTAGCTACTTGGGAGGTTGAGGCGGGTGGGGGGAATCCCTTGAGCCAAGGAATTTGAGGCCAGCCTGAGCAACATAGCAAGATGCTGTCTCAAGAAATAGGATTGGGGGGACAAAAATAGAATCTGAAACACTTCTGGTCCCAAGCACTTTGCAGAAGGACTATTCAAACCTGTATTTAATACTCCAGTTCTTTATCTCCCTATTGTATGTATAACCATTCCATTTACCAAACTGGTGTAGTTTGATATTTTGCACTTGTTTCAAATCTCAGGAAGAATGAATACATTTTAAGTTTCTTATAACAAAAGCAGCTAAATCCTAAATGACACTTTTTAAAGCTCACTAATTTTCAGTTAAATTTCCACTTTGGAATTGAAGAACTAATGAGGGTTAGTTAAATATTGATAATTATGTTACTGTTTTGCAGATGATATAATTGGTTCTCTCTTTCCCCCCATAGTAGCCCACCTGGTTCTGTACTTAAATGAAATGTTGCAGACTCTGAAACTAATTAGAGCACTAATTAGGCTAATACTTGGAAGCATTTTTTTTGTCATTAAAATATAGTTGTCAGGGGTTGGGGTTGTGGTTAAGTGGTAGAGTGCTTGCCTAGCATGCATGAGGTACTGGGGTTTGATCCTCAGCACCACATAAATGTAAAATAAAGATATTGTGTTCACCTAAAACTTAAGAATAAATATTTTTTTTAAATAATATAGTTGTCAATTTTACAAAAATCAAAATTAGATTATATTTGTAAGCAATAACTTTATCAACAAATAAGGGGGGCTGGGATTGTGGCTCAGCATAGTATGTGCGAGGCGCTGGGGTTCGATCCTCAGCACCACATAAAAATAAATAAGTGAAATAAAGGTATTGTGTCCAACTACAACTAAAAAATAAATATTAAAAAAAAACAAATAAGGAATTGGAAAAAAGAAAATAAAGCAATCTTGAAAGATAACCTGTTTCTCTCTGCTCACTGTTTTCGTAACTCTGTTCTTCCCAACCCCACCCCCAACACACACTGTTTCTTATTAGCTAGCAGAAACTTCTCAAGTCCATTTACTTAGTTCGTTCCTTCCTTCCTTCCTTCCTTCCTTCCTTTTTTTCTTTCTTTTTTGAGAGAGAGAGAATTTTTTTTAATATTTATTTTTTAGTTTTTGGTAGTCACAAGTTACTTTCTTATTTATTTTTTGTGGTATGAGGGATTGAACCCAGGACCTCACACATGCTAGGCAAGTGCTTTACCACTGAGTATACCTCCAGCCTTTTAAATCCTTTTTGCTAATAGTATCTAAGATCTAAGGTAGAAGTCGGGATTTTGGGAAGACATGCACTTTAATGTTAGAAAATTTGTTCCAGTTATGTGTTGTTCTATAACAAACTATACCAAAATTCAGTGGCTTAAAATTATAGCCATTTTATCATCTCTCAGTGGTCAGTGTGTTAGCTGGTCTCAGTTGGGAGATTTGACTGGTCTTGCCTGAGGTCCTCATGTAGTTGCAGTTACATGATATCTGTGGTTAGAATCATCTGAAGGGTACATTAAGATACTGGGATATTAAATAATAGATAGAATTATCTTTATATATAATTTTTGAAGATTTACTGGTTTTTCCAAAATTGTCTCTTTCTCTCTCTGCATTATAGTCTGAGGATGTCTTCTTTCCAATTGGTAGCCAGGCTTTTTTGTTTCACATGGCAGCTCAGGTCTCCCCAAAAGTATAAAAATGAAATCTTCCTTGCTCTCTTATAATTTAAGACTTTGAATTTTCATAGCATCATTTCTGCCATCTTATGCTGTTTGAAGAATCAGTGCCAATTCAACAGGAGGGAAAGTAAACCCTATCTCTCAATAGTGAGAGGAAGAAAGAATTTACAGCTATTTTTCATTCATCATACACTTTGGCCTTCTGACCACAAGTCATTTACATACCCTACCCTTTTTCAAAAACTTTTTTAGTTGTAGATAAGACACAGTATCTTTTTCATTTTATCTATTTATTTTTATGTGGTGCTCATAATCGAACCTAGTGCCTCACATATGCGAGGCAAAATAAACTCACTTAAGACACCTATGGTCTGCCCTCCTCCATTAAAGTATTAAGACAGGAATTGTCAAATTTTTTGTAACTGTTTGTCAACAGTAAGGTTCTGTGTCATAGCTCATTTCTGCCTTTTTTGTGTTGAAGCAAATGGATGTTGCTGAGTTCAACTACTAATCTATTAAAGTGACAGCAGATCAGGATTTGACCCCCAGGCAGTAGTTAATTTATCCCTGCATTAAGACTTGAATGCTGGGGATACAGTTCAGTTGGTAGAGTGCTTGCCTCAAATGCACAAGGCCCTGTGTTCCATCCCCAGCACCATTCATACCCCCCCCCCAAAAAAAAAGACTTGAGTCCTAAAGTCTATTATCTTGATATCTAAATCAAGTCTATAAGTAGCTGAAATCACTTAGGTGTTGCCTCTTTCTGATCTCAATACACCAAGTAAAGAAAGTTATCTGCTTCCATATAACAGTAGTGACATGACAAAACAGAAAAACTTCAGTAGAATTCCTGCTTTAAAAAAAGGAGCTGGGGAAAACAGAGAAGAACAGGAGGCTCCCAGCAATCACTGGTTCATTGCACTTTAAAATTCTAATAGGAACATGTTTTTAAATTTTTTTTTCCATTAGGGCGGAGTCATGGTCCCTGAGTGTGATCCTACATTCAGTCTTTGGTTCTCCCCTCCTTCCTTCCTTTCTTTTTTAAAATATAATTTTAGTTGTAGATGGACATTTTATTTATTTATTTTTATGAGGTGCTAAGGACCACATGCCTCACACCTGCTAGTCTGTTTACATGAGTATCTTTGTCAAATTCTTTGAAGTTGAAAGCCAAGGTCTCTCTTTTTTTTCTTTTTTCAATCTCTTCTTTTTTGAACAAATTTTCTCTCTTTTAGTGTTAACTAGTATAATCCCTTTAAAACTTTATGAGTTTCTTAACTCTATTGGACAAAAGCTATTCTGCAGTACTTTACAGATTGGTCCCTTTTCTACTTTGGGCCAAATGGGCAACTACTGCAGAAAAATCTGTTAAGATTCTTAGACTCTTAAAATTTCTAGTTGAATGGTCTAAGAGATACAACCTTGAATCTTTCTGAGGTCTTAAGATTGTTTTACAGGGGCTGGGGATGTGGCTCAAGCGGTAGCGTGCTCTCCTGGCATGCGTGCGATCCGGGTTCGATCCTCAGCACCACATACAAAGATGTTGTGTCCGCCGAAAACTAAAAAATAAATATTAAAATTCTCTCTCTCTCTCAAAAAAAAAAAAATACTCTCATATGTATTCATGTTATCTGTCTCACTTTAAAAAAAAAAAAAAAAAAAAAGATTGTTTTACAGTCAAATCCCTGAAAACTTTTACCCGATGCTATAGTTTAATGGTAATGATCTGATTTGATCATTGTCTCAGACTATTTCTCATTTTGAGAATATTTGCTCTCTTGAGTTCTCAGGATGAAATTGTTTTATTTTCAAATCTGGAAAATACCCACAGACAGATCCGTTTCTATATCTGATGTATCTAATATAGGAATCCCCTTTTCTCCTGTCTCTAGTAACAATGTCCTCGCTGTCTCATCACTAATAATCTCCATAAAGTCTCTGTCTGCTACCCAACTTGGTTTACCTCTTGGTGTGTGGATTCAGGTGGGAAGTGATTTGCAGCCACTTTTTCAACCCCAAGGTGGTTTTGTTGTTTCCTTGAATTGATTTTTTTCTTTATTCTTGAATTGAAAAGTTCTAAAAACTATTTCAATGGAAACTTTAACACAAAGATGCATTTCATAGCTCTCATTAATTCCTTTAGATATTTGGGCTTATTTATGTTATTTTCTTCCCCTAGTAGTTAGAATATACACATATCAAGATAAAAAAAAATCATCTACTTTATAGTACATATGAATAGTCAATATACATAGTAGATACTGAATAAATGTTTAACATTATTTTGAGAGAATTTTATGTACAAATGAAAAGATTTATGAGTAGAAATGTTTCATTTGCTCTTTAAAAAAAAAATATTTCTTTAGGGGTGGGGGTATAGCTCAGTTGTTAGAGTGCTTGTCTAGCATGCATAAGGCCCTGGGTTCAATCCTCAGCACCACACACACAAAAAAACCCATATATATATATTTCTTTAGTTGTAGATGAAAATAGTACCTTTATTTATTTATTTTTATGTGGTGCTGAGGATCGAACCAAGTGCCTCATGCTTACTAGGCAAGCACTCTACCACTGAGCTACAACCCCAGCCCCTCATTTGCTCTTTTAAAGAATACAAATTATATTATAGTTGGAAGATATCTTAATTATTAAACTTGTTCTTTTTCTAGGAATCGGAGTATGTTTCAGCTCATCTTCATGAATGGATAGATCTCATTTTTGGTTATAAACAGAGGGGACCAGCTGCAGTGGAGGCACTCAATGTTTTTTATTACTGTAGTTATGAAGGTATAAACTTATATATACTTTTTCTGCTGCATTATTGTGATAGAAATTATTGTTCAATATATGGTCACCTGTGGCATTTTGAACCTGCTTAATATAGGAAAGACCTCCTTAGCAAAACAGCTTTTTGATTGAAAAATGAAGATGCTGCTTTTTGGGGTAGGAGGATAGTAACTAAGTATATATATAGGCAAATCTAATTATAAATGTCATTATTGGTGTTAAAAGAGAGTTTTGGGTTTGGTTCAGTTAGGTACTGTTAATTGAACTTAGGGGTGCCTTACCACTGAGCTACATCCCCAGTCCTTTTTATTCTTTACTTTGAGACTCACTAGGTGCTTGAGGCTGGCAGTTCTACCTCCTGAGTTGCTGGAATTACAGGTGTGCACCACCATGCCTAGCTGTCTAAAGAGTTTTTGATATCTGACATGTATGTCCTAGTTAGTTCTACATTAAATATTACATATTAAATTGCTAGTAAACTTTGAAAGAAAGCTTTAGAATTATCAATATCAAACTCTTCAAATGACATTATTTAGCTCAGGATCAAGAATGTTTTCTGCATTCTACTGACATGTATAACTAGAACAAAAATAATAACAATAATGTTTTCTGATTGCTTTAAAAGACTGAAAAATCACCTGACATAGTGATGCACATTTGTATTCCCAGCCACTTGGGAGGCTGAGGCAGGAGTATCATAAATTCAAGTCCAGCCTGGACAAACTTAGTGAAACCTTGTCTTAAAATAAAAAATACACAGGGGTAGGGATTAGCTCAGTTGTAGTGTCTCTGTGTTTGATCACCCAGGGACAGTCCCCAGTAGTGTAAAAAATTTTTTAAAAATTACACACGTGCACACACACATATGCTAATTTCGTTTCTGATGTTTGTGATGTGGCATGCTGTTTTGTTTTCACACTATAGTGAGCTTATAAGTATACTTCTGGTTTTAGGAGCTGTGGATCTGGACGCCTTAACAGACGAAAAAGAAAGAAAAGCCTTAGAAGGAATGATTAACAACTTTGGGCAAACACCTTGCCAATTGTTAAAGGTAAATTATATAAGCTATTGTCAACTAAAGATATCTAGAAATGAATTTCTAAGGAATAGTATTACCATTATTTTTAAGAATTTTAATAATTTAAAACATTATGTCAGAGTTATTGTCCAGAATTTGGAAAAAATAACATTACATTTAATTGATTATTCCTATTTTGAAATAATAAAATATTGCATTTAAAATTCATTTATGAAGACAGGTATTATGATGGATGCCTATAGTCCCAGCTACTTTGGAGGCTGAGGTGGGAGAATCTTGAGTTCAAGACTAGCCAGGACAATGTAACGAAATCTTGTCATCCCCACTTCCCACAACACACACACACACACACACACACACACAAAATCCACTTAGGAGAACACTTGCTGACCATATTACTTGGGTTCTATTCTTGGCACCGGGGGTGAGGCAAAGGGATGAAAATCCATTTCAATAGCCAAGTGCTTATAAGTGACAGGAAGGATTTATTTTTTTATATATATATTTACCCAGAAAGCCAATCACTTCATATTATTAAGTAGATGCTTTCTTATTCAATCACTGTGTTAGATACTTTCCTAAACCCTCACAGTGACTATCCAATTATCCTCATACTTTTAAATGATAAAACCAAGCCTAACAGAAAGTAATACCTAACCACAATACCTTACTTATTGAATACTTTTAAATACTTTATAAAAATACTTATTAAATACTTTTTCTACATTTACACAACTAAAAAGTGACTAGGGTAAGATTTATATGCATGACTAACTCCAAAGTCTTTGTACCATGCCATGTTTTCTCTCAATTAGTAGCTGTAAGCCCCTTGTTAAACTATATCTCTTTTTGATGTTTTTATAGGCCTTTCTTAAAAGTTAATTATGACACTCTCTGCCTTAGCGATTTATCTCTATTCCTCACTAAATTATAAATATGTTAAAGTCAGCAGCCATCTCTTAATAATCTTTATATATTTTGTGCATATAATATGTATAAAGTAAATATTTGTTGAATTGAAATCTCCACAGCTAATATAGCAACAGGGCATCTAAAGCTCAAGTCTATAGTTTTACTTCTGTCAACTCAATTTTCAGACTAACTTGATATTTGTTACTGTTCTTTAATGACAGTTGGGCCTCCAACATTGGTTTTTACAGAATAATCATATGAAGTCAGTGTTTCATCCCTTACCTTCTGGTACAGTCAGAAGGCAAAAGTAAAGGAATAAAACAGAACTATTCTTAGGACTCTGAAATGGATCTTATAATATTTTTGCACCACCTTTACTTTTTATTTTATAAGAGTACTGCTACCTTTTATTGTCATAAAAAAATGATTTAGGGACCAGTTGCATGTGCATCTATAATCCTAGCTACTCTGGAGGGTGAGGCTGGAGGATCTCAAGTTCAAGGCCAGTCTGGACAATATACTGAAACCCTTTCTCAGAATAAAAGAGTGGGGGTTGTAGCTCAGTGGAAGAGTGTGTTGTTTAGCACATGCAAGCAAGGCCCCAGGCTCAATCCTCAGCACTAAAACCAAAAAAATAAAAAATAAAAAAATAAAAAATTGAGCCTTGGTTAGGGCATCAGCTGTGGTTTTAGAAAACTAAATAATATTATTAAGAGCTACATATTGTGTGACTCTACTTTGTGTACAACCAGAGACTGAAAAATTGTGCTCTGTATGTGTAATATGAATTGAATTGCTTTCTGCCGTCATATAGAACAAATTAAAACAAATAAATAATTTTTTTAAAAAGAGCTACATATTTTAATACTTGTAGCTAACTCACCTATTGCCTTTAATCTAATATTTTGAGATAGAGATGAAAGAATCCCATTTAGTTAAAATTCTGTTCTTCATTTAACTGTGCCTTTATTTTGTTGTTTTCTGCTTATTAATATGTGATTCTGTCCTGTATCTCTGACACGGAAGTTAAGAGAATAATAATAATTTATTTGGTAGTTATGCAGCAATGTTTATAATTTGATTTTGATAGTGTTTACATTTTGATATTATTTCAGGAACTAAAAATTCACCCCATTATAGATCTTAAATAGTACATTTGATTTTGCCAAACATTTATTAAGCATTTGTCATGTTTAAGATTTTGTTGTAGGTATTGAAAAATCCGAAATTGAATACAACTTATGTCTGATTCTAAGATACCCATAGTATAGGTAGAGAAGACAGACCATAAATAAGCATATGTAATTCAAAATAAAAATAAATGAGTACTAAATAAATAATTTGTCAAGGAAAATAATAAAAGAAAATAATTCTGACCTAGAGATTCAATAAAGATGTCATTAAGGATGATCGGTTGTGGCTCAGTGGTAAAGTGCTCACCTAGCATTTGTGAGGCCCTGGGTTCAATCCTCAGCACCACATATAAATAAAATGGAGGTATTGTGTCCAACAACAACTAATAGAGCCCATTGTGTGTGAAGGAATACAGTGAGAGATGTTTTAATGTAATTATGGAATTTTTTCTTAAAATTATTTTGAAGGAGCCACATCCTCCTAGATTATCAGCAGAGGAAGCAATACAGAAGCAGACCAAAACAGATGCTTCAACCCTAAACCTATTTCAACACCTCCCTGAACTCAAGTCATTTTTTATAGAGGTAATATACAAGCTTGGTAATATCAAACAATTTTCTTTGTGAATTCTGTATACCTCAAAGTTTATTTCATTCTTTAATGGAGCAGAATATTATAATATTTAATATTAAATAGTATTACTGTAATAATCTATTCTTGGATTTTTAAAACGTTTTTATTGAAAGCTTTTGTTTGTGCTGAATGCTTGTCTCAACTATTTGTTTTGACTTTCTTTCTTCTACTTCACATTTTCCTGACAAGGAAGGACAAATAATTGTGTTTAAAATACTTTATTGTGGGCCAGACACAGTGGTGCCCACCTGTAATTCCAGCAACTTGGGAGACTGAGACAGGAGGGTCACAAGTTCAAGGTCATCCTCAGCAATTTAGCAAGACCCTGTCTCAAAATAAAAAATAAAAAGGACTTGGGATATACCTTAGTGGTAAGGTGCCCCTGGGTTCAATCCCCAGTACCAAAATCAAACAGAAACAAACTTTTGTGACAATCGAGATGACATGTAGAGAGCTTATATAGTGTCTGCTTATCAATAAAATGTGGCCCAATATAAATTGTTATTGATAGTATAAGAAAGAATAGGCAACAGGCTGGGGTCATGGCTCAGTGGTAGAGCACTTGCCTGTCATGAGTAAGGCACAGGGTTTGATTCTCAGCACTGTATATAAATAAATAAAAATCCATTGACAACTAAAAAAAATAATAAAGAAAAAGAAGGAATAGGCAAGCAAAACAGCAATAGTTAATGCTATAATTGAAAAAGTACCTTCAAGGGCTGGGGTTGTGACTCAGTGGTAGAGCCCTTGCCTAGGACATGTGAGGCGCTGGGTTTGATTCTCAGAACCATATATGAATAAATAAATAAAATAACAGTTTATCAGCAACTAAAAAAAAATTTTAAAAAAGAGTACCTTAAAATTTAAAAATTCAAATGTTTATACATTTGAAATATTTAAGATAGTCTAGAAAGTAATAATGAAATACATTTATACTTATGAATTTGTTTATGACAGATAATATTAGCTCTTGGCAAAAAGAAAAATGAAGGGCTGGGGTTGTAGCTCAGTGGTAGAGCGCTTGCCTTGCATGTTTGAGACCCTGGGTTCGATCCCCAGTACCACATAAAAATAAACAAATAAAAATACAGATATTGTGTCCATCTACAACTAAAAAAAAAAGTGAAAGAAAAATGAAGATTAAAATTTACTAAGTTAGGGCTAGGGCTGTGGTTCCAGTGGTAGAGCGTTTTCTAGCATGCATGAGGCACTGGGTTCCATCCTTAGCACCACATAAATAAATAAAATAAAGGTATTGTGCCCATGTACAACTTTTTAAAAAAAGTTACTAAGTTAATAAAAATAGTTTGGAGATATACATAGAACAAGCAATCTCAGACTACAGCAGAGGTTGGCAAACTTTTTTTTTTTACGGATCGGAGAGTATATTGGGCTTTCTAAGCCATGAGGTAAAATAAAGGGTACATATATAACCCACTCAAAATGTAACCATCTAAAAACATAAAAAGCTTTCTTAGCTTACTCACCGCCCACATAACAGGTGGTGTACTAGATTTGTCCTACAGGCTGTAGTTTGTAAAATCCTGCATATATAGCATCACTGTAGAATGTTTCTTAGGTTCATTACCATGAGAAAATGTAAAGAGGTTTTTGATAATTTAATGTAAAATGAGATTTATAATAGTTTATAGCTTGATGAGTTTTACCCAAATGAACTATGTTGTAGTAAGCACCATTATATTTTAGTATAGATTTGCTTTCACATCTTTGTGAGAGTACTTGGAAAATAATCTTTCACTCTTTACCTAGATTCACATAGACAGTTATTTCAACTTTTCAGTGCTGGTAGTTTTCCAAAAGTATCTTAAGTTAGTTCCCTAGAACTCAGAACAATATAGAAATGGTGCTGAGAAGTGATGACTAGTTCCTGGGATGTGTTGGTTGTCTTCCAGATTGGGATTTGCAAGAACTCACAGGAGTCAACATGTATCAGTTGTGCTAAGATTTATTTCAGTGAAAGGATACAAAGCAACATAAGCAAAGACAAAATACAAATGGGGGGAATCCAGGGGAAATCCCGCACAAGCATCCAAGAGTCATCTCCCAGTGGAGTCACACAGGATATGCTTAATTATTCCAGTAATGAAATGTGAAAACATCTTCTTACATATTAGGGCAGTTCACTGGAGACTCGGTGTCCAAGACTATTATTGGAGGCTAGTTACATACCTAGCACATACTAACATTCCAAGTTCCAGAAGAAAAGCAGGTGTTTAGCATAAACCCTACTAAGCACAGTGTAGGTATAAAGAACCACCCTTATCACCGAAGGAAAAGTTTTATGACAGTGTAAGGAACCGTTTGCCTGTCAAGTCCCAGAAGGCAGCCAAGGGTCAGCCTTGCAAATACGCCTTTCTAAGGATAGCATTCTCAGGCCTGTTGTGTTCTTTTTACTGCCCGTAAAGCAATCTGTAAAACTCTATTTGAACCATAATCTGATGGATATACATTATTATATTTGTTATATAATGCTGGTAGGCTGGGCGTTGTGGTGCACACCTGTAATCCCAGTGACTTGGGAGACTGAGACCAGAGAGTTGCGAGTTCAAAGCCAGCCTCAGCAATGGCGAGGCAACTCAGTGAGGCCCTGTCTCTAAATAAAATACAAAATAGGGTTGAGGATGTAGCTCAGTGGCCGAGTGCCCCTGAGTTCAATCCTCAGTACCAAAAAAATAAATAATAATAATGCTGATAGAACTATTTTCATTATATCTAATCATCATCAAAAGAGAAAAAGCACATAAGGAGACATGTTTGTGACAGGTTTTTATATGATAATACATTCTTTTTTTTTTTAGAGAGAGAGAATTTTTAATATTTATTTTTTAGTTTTCGGCGGACACAACATCTTTGTTTGTATGTGGTGCTGAGGATGGAACCAGGGCCTCACGCATGCCAGGCGAGCACACTACCACTTGAGCCACATCCCCAGCCCAATAATACATTCTTATATATAAATGGACAGTGACGTATTTATCCTTTTCTGTGTGCACCATATCACATGGTAGCTTTTCCCCAAGAACAGAAAAGATATCCTTGGGTACTAATAACTTATTAGTCTCTTTTCATCATCAAAAGAGATGTTTCTCTTTACATTCCTGTGAAAAGAGAGATCCCTCTGTAGGTCAGCACTTCTTACTTGGTACATAGTAGGTATCAAATAATGTTGTTACCCTAATGTTAGGTATCATTTATGAACTATTATCCTATTGGGGAACAAAATTAAAATTCTTGTTGTCTTTCATATTGTAATAAAATAACAATAGATGTTTTCTGAGAATGGTATTTTTAAATAGTAACATTGAGGCTTTCAGGAAAAGTACCTCAGTTAACAAAAGAGGTCTGTTTTGGGGAAGTTAAACCTAAAAGACTTTTTCTATGAATTATAATCAGTTTTCCCATTTGACTTATTGACAAATGTATTTTTACATGATCTGTATTTTCTACTTTATATTCATGTCAGCATAGCAAGGGAAAAGAAAAGGTCATAAATCACTGGTTGTTTTAAATGATTGCTGCTCCTTGAAATCTACATCTCTGTTTAACAGCAGAGTAGTGGAATAGAAGAAGGTGATGGTTTCAGAAGTTTCAAGTATGCCATCCAGGGCTGGGGCTGGGGCTCAGTAGTAGCGTACTTGCCTGCCATGTGTGAGGCACTGGGTTCAATTCTCAGCACCACATGTATATAAATAAAATAAATAAAGGTCAACAACTAAAAAAATTTGAAAGAAAAAAGTATACCATCCAAACTTGGTATAAATTCCTTTCCTACATTTTAAATTAAATGATTATATGATTGATAGAGTAAAGTGCCATATCATAGGGTTCATTCTTCTTTAAAGAAACAAATCTTTTTGTAATCTGTGCCTAATAAATATGAACAGAGCCAACCACTGAACCTCTTTTATTTTACAGGGAATTAGTGATGGTATTCCACTATTAAAAGCCATTGTCCCCAAAAATCAGTCTCGTTCTTTCATGTCTCAAGGCAGTCCTGAGTTACTGGTAAGTTGACTTATACCTTGGTCACACTACAGTTCCTATATCCATTCTAACTTACCAAAAAAAAAAAAAAAAAAGGAAATAACATTTTTTAAAAGCCATTTGTGTCCTGGGGTTGTGGCTCAGGGGTAGGAATACTTGTCCAACATGTGTGAGGCAATGGATTTGATCCTCAACACCAAATTTAAAAAAATAAACAATTAAAATAAAGTTATGTATATAAAAAAGCCACTTTTAAGAATAATAGAGGGCTGGAAATGGGAGCTGGCTTGTAATCCCAGTTATGCCAAACACTGAGGCAGGAGGATTGCCAAGTTGAAGGCTACCATGAATAAGACTCTGTCTCAAAAGTTATAAAAGGCTGAGAGGTAACAGCTCAGTAATAGAGCATTTGCCTAGCATGCTCAAGGCTTTGGGTTCAATCCCTAGTACCAAAAGTAACAATAATGATAACAATAGAGAACATTTTTATAAAACTAATTTGATGGAATTCTGTCTTCAGTTTATGTGGCTTTTAAGTAGTTACTGTAATTCTAATCTGGAAAAATAAATATATGGAAATTTCTAGAAAAATAAATATGTGAGGCTGGGGCTATAGCTCAGTGGCAGAGCACTTGCCTAGCACATGTGAGGCACTGGTTTCAATCCTTAGCACCACATAAAAAGAAAAATAAATGAAATAAAGGCATTCTGTCCATCTACAAATACAAAAAAAAAAAAAATTTAAAAAGGGCTGGAGATACAGCTCAGTTGGTAAAATGCTTGTCTCATTTGCACAAGGCCCCGGGTTCAATCTCCAGCATCAAAAAAATAAAAGAATAAATATGTGAAAAGAACCAGGAAATTTTATGCAGGGAAAACAAGAGGATAGCATCTTATGTTAAAATTTATTATAAAGCTATAATAATAATAATGAGAAATAATGCAGAATATGTTAACATATATATTCAGGGCACTTTGGTCAATGTTTTACATGAATTTTTCATTTAATTCACCTAATCCTATGTGATAGGCACTACTGTTACTTCCCTTCTACAGATAAGAAATTAAAACTCAGAGAAGTAACTTGCCCGGAGTCACAGATCTAGCAAGTAAGAGATCTGGGACTTTGGCTCATGGACAAAACCTTGGTCTGTTTTATTCTAATTTTGTCACTTAGAATTAGACCTATTTTTATAATTATGCATATTGTTTGCTTAGAAAAAATTCTAGAAAGATGAATTCTTGTGATTTTCAATTTTAATACCTTTTTTTTAAAGTTATGTGAATTGAGAGGTAGGGGTAGTTTGTTACTTTTCTAATCAAGGGGGTAAAAAGCTTTGCATTTTCAAAAGGAAGTATTCACTGTATCAATTCAGGGAGTCCTAACAGTTCATTATAAGTTCTAGTTCTCAGTCCCCAGTACCACAAAATAAATAGTGCTGAAGTAGATAAATTCTTCTGATTTATGTTCTAAATGATGTGTGTATCATATTTTTATGATGAGACTTAATCTTGAATTTTCCCTGACTGCCAGTAGTTGCTAATAAACTTTGAGAAATTATGAGGAAGAAAATAAGGGCCTGGGGATATAGCTCAGTTGATAGAGTGCTTGCCTTGCATGTACAAGTCCCTACGTTCAATCCCCAGCACCACACATTAAAAAAAAAAAGAAAAAAAAAAAAATATATATATATATATTTTGACAACTTTTCTTACAGTAAGGTAGAGCTTTGTCCACTTTAACTATTTGAAGACTTAATGAGTTTCATATGTTAAATACACAGTCCCACAGTATTCCCCAAATGATAAGTGGCCATCTGATTGTTCTTCGCTGCTTTCTTTAATCTTTCATTTGAATCTTCATTTATTTTTTTAGATAACAGTAAGCATGAATTATGTTATTGGAACTCATGGATGGCTGCCTTACGATAGAAGCATTTCTAATTACTTTACATTCATCAAGGATCAAACTGTGACAAATCCAAAGTAAGTAAATGAACATTTAAGGCAGAACAGCTACAGTCAGTACCTTATTGCTGGGAAAAAATTGATTCTGCTCTTTTTTTTTAATCTTTAAAAAATATTGGTTTAATTATACATTTCAATGGAGTTTGTTATACTTTACTTCTGTTCATTTTGAAAATACTGTCTTGAGACCCAGATTTTGTCTTCTTTTTTTAAGTTAATATTTATTTTTTAGTTGTAGTTGTACACAATATCTTTATTTATTTGTTTTTATGTGGTGCTGAGGATTGAACCCAGGGCCTCACACGTGCTAGGTGAGCACTTTGCCGCTGAGCTATAGCCCGAGCCTCTTTTGTCTTCTTTTTTACACCACTCCTATTCCCTTCCTTTTTTTTTTCTTTTATTTTTTAGTTATAGGTGGACACAATGTCTTTATTTTACTTTATGTGATGCTGAGGATTGAACTCAGGGCCTCACACATGCTAGGCGAGCGCTCTACCTATGAGCCCCAGCCCCAGCCCAAATTCCCTTCCTTTTTTTGAAGTTATATTCTGACTTGAAAGGATCCTGACTTGGTTTAAAGACAAGATTGAATTTCTGTAACTGCAGCTATGAAAGCAAAAATTACAGTACAAATAGTGTACTTAATTTTAATTATATTCTATTTTATAACTTCTGAATAAATTCTATGTGTTTAAGTAGTAAGAATTAACTTAGTTATTTTTTTAAATTTCCAAAAGTTATATTCTAATTCAATGTGATGTTTCTCTTACTCTGGGTTGTCTCAGCTATATATTAATTGTATTTTTTTCTAACTAAATTATATTCAGTGTTTTGGGGATCAATTGCATCATATATGAAAACTATTTAAAATGACGTACTTGTTATCATTGTATCTCTCTTGTCTTCCTCAACTAGAATAAAATTCCATGAGATTAGGGGATAATATCTTTTTTCCTTCTTACTCCACATAGAACATAGTAATATTGTCTTTTGTACAAAGATTATTCTCAGCAAATTAATGTGGAATAATAGTTGTAGAACTGAACTAGAATTAGCTCCTCATTTTTTATGTACACACTGCAATCAATTGTGTCTTTCTGCAAACTCTAAAAAATTTGCTACACTCACAGGTATTTTACTTAGAAGCAGATAATACCCATAAGCTTGCTTTGCTTGCAATGGAAGAGCAGGTCATCATGAGCATTGTTAGCTATGCATTTACCTCAAATATATCACCTTGTGAAGGAGATCCCTGGTTTTAATTTATTACTGATTTTCTTTGTCCTGGCATATCCTATCTTGTCTTTATACTTTGAGGCTGCCATTAATAGAATTGTCAATTTTATTAAGTTGGCCTTAAAAGCCCAGATTTAAACTTTTTTCACACCTTCACCAGTCTCAACTTCTTTATGCTTAACCTTTGAGACTATTTGTTATGTATATCTTAATGTTATGAAGACTATGAAGAAAGTAAGAATAATGTGTTTTCTAAACGTTTATCACTTTTTAATAGACATTTCAAATAGAACTTCAGGGATTTATTTTTTATTTCTCTTTTAGAGAAATTTTTAAATAGTTGATACCAAAAAAGTAATCTTTCAAGAAAAAGTGTAATGTTTAATTAATTGTGTTTACAGAACTCAGCGTAGTATGAATGGTCCTTTTGCTCCCGGGCTGGAGATCACTTCTAAGCTATTTGTAGTATCACATGATGCAAAGTTGCTCTTCAGTGCTGGACACTGGGATAACAGCATTCAAGTGATGTCACTTGCAAAAGGCAAAGTTATCTCCCACAACATCAGACATATGGGTAAGCATTAACTTTTTTTTCAAAAAAAAAATAAAATAAAATTTTTAACTTTTTGAACTATTTGAAAGTAGTACATGTTCCCTATAAAAAGCATTAAATTTTTACCTTTTTGGGGGCAGAGGGTACTGGCAATTGAACTAAGGGGCACTCAACCATTGAGCCACATCCCTTGCCCTATTTTTGTGTTTTATTTAGAGACAGGGTCTTTCTGAGTTGCTTAGTGCCTTGCTTTTGCTGAGGCTGGCTTTGAACCCAAGATCCTCCTGCCTCAGTCTCCTGAGCTGCTGGGATTACAGGTGTGCATCATCATGCCTGCCAAATTTTACCTTTTTGGTGGTGTGTGAAGGATTGAACCCAAGGCCTCATGATGGTAGGCATGCATTCTGCCACTGAACTGTATCCCTATCCCCTAATTTTTACCTTTGAGGCTGAGTGAACTTTTTGATAGTGAAATATTCTAAATATTATATGCTTTTTATATTAAATTCAGATGTATTAGAGGAATATTAAAGCATAATACAAATTAAATACACCTTCATCAGGTATAAAAGATGTTAGAATAAGTTTAATTGGCTGATAGAAATAAGGATTTTAAGACAAATTTATAACAAAATGTGTCATCATTAAATAAAATATCAACTTCCCTATTACTGTATTAACAATAAAGCATGAAATAGATGAAATTGTTGAATATAGTTTAACCTGATGTGTCTTTGATATAATAATGAAAACACTGAGCAGGTTTATTTATTTTTTTTTAAATAAAGCTATTAGGGAGGGAAAATGGAATCTGCTGCTAATTTTGTACTAGTGATTCTTCCCATATCACATAGATAGCTCAACTGTTTATGGTTCAGGAATTTTTTTTATATATATTTGTGAATTTACAGCATGATAATATGTCCTGTTTTTTGTGTTTTGTTTTTAAGGATACATATTCTGTAGGATTTTAATGCCCAATTGAAGGAGAAAATGATTGAGATGAGAGGGGAGAAAAGTATAACAAAAATTAACTGGGGTTCATTTGAAGCTATCTGACCTCCTCCTCAGATTCTAATAGACTTTGCACATACCCAACATCTATACCTCACACTAACAAAAAGAAATAAAAAAGGATAATGTCAAAGAAAGCTCTCCGTGATTTTTGATATTGCTTCTTTCATGCGTAACATGTTGCCAGTAGTTTTTAATGCCATTTCTACATTCCTTCCTCTTATAGAATAACAGCTTTAGCAATAGTTTGAGCATTAACTAAAATTGCTCTTAAAGTTCTCTTTCAGCAAAACAAAGATTTCATTTTGTTATATACCTTTTCTTACAGATATTGTGACTTGCTTAGCTACAGATTACTGTGGAATACATTTGATTTCTGGTTCCAGAGATACCACTTGTATGATATGGCAAATAATACAACAGGTAGTCACACATTTAAATATTCTTCGATTAGATTAGAGATTCACTTTGAGAAAACTAACAAGATGTTCTAATAGGATAATGAACTTTTCTCTTGCAGTAGATGACTTTTTGAACTCCTTTGCATTCTTTTACCTGGATTTTGTCCTGTACCGATCATTGTGTTTTTTTTTTCTAGGTTTAAATTTTTTTATTCATTGCCTAATCCCCTATACTTTCCAAAAGTTTCTCCTTGTTAACCTTTCCTAGGAAAATAGTGATTATTATTATTGTCTAGATAGCATAATACTTTTACTGCCCTTTCTATTGGAATCTCTGGAAATTATAGATTTATAATCTTCATGAACCTTTTATATTCTCAATAGTATTCAGGAAGAGTGTCTGTCTGTCTGTCTCTCTCTCTCTCTCTCTCTCTCTCTCTCAAGTTTTCTTGGTTTTCTACCTTTCTCTAATAGGTTTAAACCATTCTTGAATTCCTATAATAAACCTATGTAATTTGTGGTATATTGCTATTACATTTTACTGCCATATTTTATTTGCTAATACTTTAATTCTTTATCTACTCTTAAGTGAAATGTATCAGTTTTTATTCTGTCTTTGTTATGTTTATCAGTTTTTGTTCTGTCTTTATTGGGATATAGAACCTTTTTTAAATGAATTTGGGGAGTATCTGTTTTTTCGTAACTACTTGATTTGTAACAATTAAAATACCCTATACACATAGATAAACACTCAAAGGTTAAGAAGACAATGTGTCTGAGGTAATAGAGTATCCAGAGAAGTTAGTGCACATTATGCAGAATTGAATAGAGGGTGTGAATAGAATTGCCTAGAATAATCACAATAAAACTAGCTGGGTGCAGTGGCGCACGCCTGTAATCCTAGCGGCTCAGGAGGCTGAGACAAGAGGATTGTGAGTTCAAAGCCAGCCTCAGGAATGGTGAGGTGCTAAGCAATTCAGTGAGACCCTGTCTCCAAATAAAATACAAAATAGGGCTGGGGATGTGGCTCAGTGGCCGAATGTCCCTGAGTTCAATCCCTGGTACCCCCTGCTACCTGGCCAAAAAAAATAAGTAACTTGTCTCAACTATTTAAATGTTCCATAGTACAAAAAGTAATATACAAGTAAAGTATGGTGAAGACATGAAGAAGGAATATTTTTTCTTCTGGAAGAAAACAGCTTAGAGACAGAGGATTCCTTGCAATAAAATTATATTAGTAAAGCATAATAACAGTTCATTGAAATAGAAGCTCAAACATAACATAATATAGTAAAATGAAAATGAAGGTTACAGAAGAATCAAACTGAGAATAAAACCAATGCTATTACGTAAATAAACAAACACAAAGCAGAAACAGGAAGAAACAGATTTGATGTGTTTTTCAAACCAAATCAATGGCATGAAAGCAAAATTTAAGGTAATCAAAGTGAGTACAAACGTAAAAATAAAATGATTATAGCAGTAGAGAAAGAATGGTATGTCTGGATATCTTTAATAAATCAGCATAAAGATAATTGAAGTCCCTGATGTAGAGACCTTCAGTAAATGGGAAAGAGAAGAGATATAAAACAAAAAGTTTATTTGGAGTTAATGAAAAATAATTCTATAGATTAAAAAGGCAAGTAATATACCTGGAAAAATTAATCCAAGATGGTCAACATTGAAACCATTCAGATTAAGTTTTTGACTTTAACATTGAGAATAATTTAGAAATTCAAGGAGAAACATAATGAGTACTACTATGATTTGACTCGGTGGTTATGATAACTTACATTATTATTTTATTATTAGAAAGTTTAAATGCAGAATAAACTTTTTTATTAAAAAAAAGTAATAAGAAAACTCTTTTCACCTTTGCTTTTCTGTTTTAATGTTAGGGAGGCGCGCCTGTGGGCTTAGCATCTAAACCTTTTCACATTCTTTATGGACACACTGATGAGGTATTGAGTGTTGGCATCAGCACTGAACTAGACATGGCAGTGTCAGGATCAAGGGTAAGAGTTCACTTGAAAGAAATACTAATTACTTTTTCTACAAATGTTTTATATATATATATATATATATATATATATGTATATATATGTATGTATGTATATATATGTATGTATGTATATATGGGTGTGGGTGTGTATTATAAATAAAATAAAGGTATTGTGTCCATTTGGTTGTAGATAGACACAATACCTTTATTTTATTTTTATATGATGCTGAGGATCAAACCCAGTGCCTCACACATGCCAGGCAGGCACTCTACCACTGAGCCACAACCCCAACCCTTCTATTGGGGATTTTATTTGTCTTACTAATTAATGGAAGAGGGTATTCTATGGGATAAAATACTACTTGAAATCCAAAATTGGAATTTTCCTAAGATATATATGTTCTTGGTAGAATGATCATTTTCTAGTTCCCTTTCCATGTTTGTTTTCCAACCACTTTACTATCTTGTTTTTTAGAAACAATTTTATTTATTTATCTACTTTTTTAGTTGTCAATAGATTTTATTTATTTATATGCAGTGCTGAGAATCAAACCCAGTGCCTCATACATGCTGGACAAGCGCTCTACCACTGATCCACAACCCCAGTCCACTTTCTTTTTTTGTGATTGTTGATTTCCCTTCTGTTTTTCCTTTTGTAATATTTCTTATTTGTAGGATGGCACCGTGATTATACATACCATTCAGAAAGGTCAGTACATGAGGACTTTACGACCACCATGTGAGAGTTCTCTATTCCTGACCATTCCCAACTTGGCTATATCTTGGGAAGGATATATTGTAATCTACTCTAGCAGTGAAGAACCGACCATCCTCAAGGTATGTAACACTTTCAAGTAGTAGATGTAGACTACAGATAGTATGTCTTTTCCTCCCAACATGTATGAGGGAGTTGGAGGAAGGAATGAATTCCGTGTTTTAAAGAGTCTGTTTTTCCTTTCATCATTGAGTTTTTTATTCCTTACTATTAGATAGACCTCCACTATAATCTTGGCCTTACATTTGTATTTTATTTTAGGAATTTCTATTGGTTTGTATAATACATGATTTCTAAAAATAAATTCTGATTATGTGGGAGTTCATAATTTTACATGAAATGATAGTCAACTGAAATTATTTTCACACAAAGCAGGGTATAAATAAGTAAACCCTTAATTTTATTTGTTTATTTCTCTTCAGTGATAAAGCTTTTTAAATATTAAGGAAATCTTTTTGTTTTATGAATATTGAGTATTTTTGGACTGGAAAGAGATTTTAATTCTTTTTTAGGGATCAGATTTCTTGTTTAATGTTTATTTACTTGGCAGTTTGATTTGAAATCACTGTAAGATTGTCTATATACTTTCTCTTTAAATACAACCAAATTGTAATCATTTTGTTATAGTTTTAGGTGACAATATAAAAACTGAACTTTTATTCAAGACTGTTAAATTTTCCTCATCAATTCTTTGTAGGATAAGAATGCATTACACTTGTTTTCTATAAATGGCAAGTATCTAGGGTCTGAAGTCCTAAAGGAACAAATATCAGATATATGTATAATTGGAGAACACATCATCACAGGCAGCTTACAGGGATTCCTGTCTATAAGAGATCTCCACAGGTAAGTAATAAAAATCATTGAACTGTCACTTAATAAAAGGTAATGGGCCTGGGGTTTTGGCTCAGTGATAGAGTGCTTGCCTCATGTCTGTGAGGCATTGGGTTCAGTTCTCAGCACTGCATATAAATAAATTAATAAAAATAATAAGGTCCATCAATAACTAAAAAATATTTTAAATAAATAAATAAAAGGTAATGGTACTTCCAACATAAATGGAAACCAGGAATCTAAAATTCCTAATCTTTTGGTTTAACATTTATTAATAATAAATGTAAATTTTTATAAATTTCCTAGCTATGGAACAAATTGAGGACGATAAAGGATTCCTGGATTAGTAAGAATAAGGAAAACACAAAGATAGGGGATTTGGGGAGAGAGGGATAGAAGTGAATCTGATGTGGATGTAATAAGATAGAATACTCTGGACCAGGAAGTAATTTATAAGAAAGATTTTCCAGAGTAGCAGGGTAACTGAAGAATACTAAATTTTAGCACATATTCACTGCTCAAACATCCCTCTCCTTCACTGCATTAAATAACAGAAGAGGGGCTAGGATTGTGGCTCAGTGGTGTAGTGCTTGCCTAGCATGTGTGAGGCACTGAGTTAAATTGTCAGCACCACTTACAAGTAAATGAATAAAGTAAAGGTATATCAACAGAAGAATCCCCATGCACAAATAGATTAACCTTAAAAACACTTTTAGTTTGCCTCACCATAATAAAAAATAAATAAAATCCATTCCAATTATATCTTTCCAAGAATTTTTATAGCCGCAGTTTTAGAGTGCTATTAACAGAATCTACAATTTAAAAAATCACAGAATCTTTTAGCATTTTTTTCTAGAATATGGTCTATATATCCTAGAATTCATCATTTTGTATTAAGCAAACACAGGCATTTATCATAATGGATTATCAGACAAAGCAAATTGATCAATTTTATGGACCTCAAAAGCACATACACTCATGTGCACTTTTGGAGCTTTTTTTGGCATTCTTACATAACTTCCACTTATTAGTACACAAAGTAAAAAACATTTAGTGAAAGAGGCTTATGTGCCCAGTACTGTGATATTTATTCGTAATAACTGATCTTAAAGGGTTTAAGACCAGTTAGAGAAATATAAATATTTGTGAAATTATAAGAATAATTTAAAAACTAAATTATATTGTGGTAGTTAAATGTGTAGGAGGAGTTTTAAAGACAGTGAAGATTGCTGTAGATCTCAGTAGTCAGAAGTCTCCATGAAGGATTAGTAGGAACTGAGATGGAGATGGAGGGCCATCTTCTGGAGGTGAGGGTAGGTGAGATATAAGAAAAGAAAGCACAAAGGCATAGGACGGCAGTGAGCACAGTATGTACGTAGAATGCTATATTTCAGCAATAAGGTTAAGACGGGTAGAACAAATGCCCACTGATAATCTGAGGCTCAGAGAATAATGATGGGTACAAGAGCTTTATTTCCACCTGTCTTAGGAAGGACACTAAAGACAAGAATGTAGTTTATATCCACATAGAATCCTACCTGGTTTTTTGTTTGTTTAATTTGTTTTGTCTCTTACTTTTCCTCTGATCCCACCTGCAAACCGCTGGTAAGAGAACAGATACGATATTTCCATCAAATGAGTAATAAATCAGAAAAAGGATTTGTAATAATAGAATGGATTGGAAATTAAGGAAAAAGAATAGGTTCTCTAGAGAATAAGGAAAATAATTTTTGTATATCAGGTTCATGGATGTTTTATTAATAATTGTTTGATTATAGATGATCGAAGAAAAACATGAATCTAAGTACAATGACAAGGTGGAACTAGGTGATCATTAAGTTATCTTCTAGGTATAAGATTCTGTGAATCCTTTATATATGCATGTAATAATGTCTATGTTTTTTATTTCTCTTCTAGTTTGAATCTCAGCATCACTCCATTAGCCATGCGATTGCCTATCCATTGTGTTTGTGTAACCAAAGAAGACAGCCATATTCTTGTAGGTTTAGAAGATGGCAAATTGATTGTAGTGGGTGTTGGCAAGCCAGCCGAGGTAAAACCTAGTGTCATGGATTTCATTTCCCGTACTATTGGGGATTCCTTTGGTTCTCCTTCATTCCAGCTGACTCAGAAGTCTCCATTATGGATAAACAAGCTCAAAAACAAATTTGATTTTTCAAAGGGCAGTAAATGAAAACAGAGGATAAAGTTGTTATTCAAGAGTGGTGTTTATATTGTAATATAATTGAAAAATACACATTTGGCAGTGTTTGTCTATCACTTTACTGGAATAAGAAAGTCTTTTTTATTTCAAATCTAGATAGAGGACCACTACATGAATTTTTAGTTCATTAAAGCCTTTTCAAATCAAACAGTAAAACTGTTTAATTTAATTTTGACAAATACCCAACATGACTATATGTCCTTTTGTAAAATCATCATTTGTTTGTTTAGAACTTTGAATATCCCCATATTAATGTGTTTACTTTCAGTGAGTTTCCTATAATAACTGTCAATTTCCTTGATGATGGTTTATCAATTACTAAATATTTAAATATCATAAATCATTGTTTCTAGGAAAACTTAGTGACTTACTCAAAGTAATTTTGTGGTTTTCCAAGAAATTTATTACATAGTTAATCATTATAAATTGGGGGGAGGGTGTCATTATTGGTCTTTTCTGAGAAATCTAATTATATAGCATCTATAGGGATTATTTTAAGAAATTAATATTACATTATCAGTGGTTATAATCTATTTTAGAGCAAAAGAATATTTTGCTTTATAAATGTTTTAAAATTTCTTTAGATCTTATGCTCTTTGTCCAGGATACTCTTAAAAGTGCTATTAAAATGATGGCAACATTTAGTTTCAGATGTGATAATCCCCCAAACAATGTGAGCAGCTCTGTATCTCAGTACTTCACTTATATTTAAACCATTTTGAGCACATCTTCATTAAACACTGAGTTTCTTGATTAATGAATTTCCCAAATCAGACCCACCTCTCCTTTGCTAATGTTATGATTATATAAAAATTCTGCTGAAACTTTACTCTTCGAGTGTTTCACTTTGTATTACCCAAGTGCCTTTTAAATTTGCATGCTTTCCCCAACTTAGGTAAAAGTTTGTTAGTTTCTGATCTTACTAAATTTTTTTTTAGTGAAACGACTGTTATATACATACATGTTATTTTAAAAATTGATTGGAAAAAACACCTAAGCAGGTATATTTTGTAGGACTAAATTAATGTTTTCTACTATTACCAAAATAAGTTTGATATTTATTAGTAAGATTGATATAGTCTACAATATATAGAATCTGAATGCTGTATAGATCATCAATAAAAGTATTTTCTGTTTTATATCTTTAGATGTAGTGACTGAATTATGGATCTATTATAATAAATTGAATATTTAGAATCTTTCATAATTAAAATATAATTTATTATATGAATATGACTGTAGAATATGAGCTAGATCAATAGTTATAAAGTCATTTCTGTTTCTAGATTTATTTTTATTTAAACATTAAAATCTTAATTAATGTATTTTAAATTATATATCATTTTTATTATTCTGTCAGTGTGAAATTTATATTTATAAATCAGATGGTAAAGTAGTACTAGAGTAATGAAAATACTGTTTCAGAAAATATATCTGAAGTGAAAATGCAAAACAAACATCCAAAGCCACTAGTAGCTTTTTTTTAAATATTTATTTTGTTTATTCATTTTCATGTGGTGCTGAGGATCGAACCCAGTACCTCACATGTGTGAGGCATGCACTCTGCCGCTGAGCCTCACAATCCCAGCCCAACCACTAGTATCTTTGTATTAAGCTTATCTTTTATCACTCTAATAAATGTAACTGAGAAAACTTACTATTAAGAAAAGGTGGTAGAGGAATCACCAATCTAAAAAGTAGACTATAGGTTGTGCAAGGTGATGCACACCTGTAATCCCATCTACCTGGAAGGTTAAATCAAGAGAATCACAAGTTCAATGCCTTCCTAGGCAACTTTGTGAGATCTACTCTTAAAATAAAATGAAAAGAGCTGGGTATAATAGCTCAGCAGTGGAGCGCTTGTCTAGCATGTGTGATATCCTGGGTTCAGTTCCTAGTATCACAAAAAAAAATTAAAATATTGTACATAGAAAAGTGATTACAGCAAATCATATGGGATTTTTGCTTTGTAGATATGTAAGTGCTTTTCAAATACTTTTACACACTGATTTAATTAATATTTGGTGTATATTAAGGAAGGTGGTAGGTGGTGCACGATTAATGGTGAACAAAATGTGATTCTTACCTTCAGAGACATTTTACTATTCTTGCTTTCTAAACTACCTTTAATCATACTATTGTTAAATTTTATTTTTTAAATTCTAATATCAAATATTTTTAAAGTATTTTCATCAAAACATGGTTTTAGCTAAAGTGCAGTGGTGCCTACCTATAATCCTAGTGGCTCTGGAGGCTGAAGGAGGATCTTGAATTCAAAGCCAGCCTCAGTATGGCAAGGCACTAAGCAACTCAGTGAGACTCTGTCTCTAAATAAAATAAAAAAATTGAGCTAGGGATGTGGCTCAGTGGTCGAGTGCTCCTGAGTTCAATCCCCTATACATGCTCTTCTGAAACAAACAAATATGGTTTATTTTTGTCCTTATGAGTAGCATTAATAGTACAAATACCAAAAAGAAAATCCTCAAACATGTATACCTCCATGGCTAGATTATAGTGTAAGAAGCTTTTTTTAATGAAGTGATACATATTTTGGTTAAAAGAATGTGGTAATTTTGATATAATTGGAATATTTTCTTTTTAAATTTATATTTGGCATTAGACCATTCCACCTAAATGACAATTACAAGACTTTATTATTAATCATGCTGATTATGCTAACAAAATCTTATTTATCCTTCATTCTAAAAAATCAGTGTCTTATATATTAATTTCATATATCCTTTTATTTTCTTAGCATCTATTCTTCATTTTTCTGAATTACTTTAAACAGATGCGCTCAGGTCAGCTTTCTCGAAAATTGTGGGGATCTAGCAAGCGACTCAGCCAGATTTCAGCTGGAGAAACTGAATATAATACTCAAGATTCCAAGTGATTATTATTTCCATCTTCTGTGATAAATAACTGAAACTTGATTGATTGCTTTGTCACTTTAACCACATCTCTCAACTTTCTGAAAGGTTTTAAGGTCTGTTTGTCCCTGAAAATAATTTTAGGGAATGCCACGATTTGGTATGGAGTATATAAAGATGTAGGTTGTATTCTTATCCTTTTTAAAATTTCTGGTTAATATTAATGAATCAAGTCTTATTAAGCAATTCTTGGTATATATTAAGATGTATTTGAGAAAATAAATTTGATTCAATTTACTGGCCTGTTCCTAAAGATCATAGGATCCATTTTAAAAAAGCTAACTTCTAAAATGAAATTAGGTTCAATTCACTTATTATTCTCAATAGCAAAATTTAAGGTATTTCTATAAAAAAGTAAAGATAATGGGACAGTTGAGAGATATGGCTTTCACATATTCTTTAGATAATCATTTTCCTATTCACTCACCACCACATAAAAAATATCAATTTTCATGAAACTCCCAATTGGAGGGAATAATATTAAAACCATCTGTTGTACAGTTGGATTTTCAAAACTCAGCAAAAGTTCCAGGTTTGCATTGTAAGATTAAAATATGAATATTGTAACTGGTAAATTGGCCCCTTCTGCTTCTATTTAACACATTAGTAATGATAATTTATTGAATTGTATTATTATTCTTAAGTAATAAAAGTTGAGTAGGAAAGAAGAAACTAGAGATAATGTTTTACAGATGTATTTCATTAATAGTATGTTTAAGCAGAAATGCTGATTGTGATTTTTATAGTGGACCCTTTAAGTGGCATTTGCAGCACAGTTTATATCTGCAAAATTTAAAATGTTTTGGCTTTTTCTTGGCTAAGCAAATAGTGTGTTTTGCTCTGATAATTAGAAGAGTTAGCAATAATACCCAAATGTGTTACTTTTTTACCTGAATATCTGTGTGATTGATGAATGAATGGAAAAGATACATAATGACCTAAAAGTAGCCATTCAGACAATAATTTTTTTAGAAACACATTTGTTTCATTTATATATGACTTTTAGGATTACAGTTAATTTTGTTGTAGTTAGTTAAATGTTACACTCTTCTTTATCATTCAAGATTTTGAACCAAAGGTCTGGTTGATTTAATTTGGAGTTCCAAAAGATTGTTAAATCTAATTCTTTTATAAAATCATCTTTTGAGTTAGGTCAGAGAGCTTTTATGTGTATCAGTTTTATTAATCTGATGTTCCTTGGGTTTGGAGGAATTCATGAATCCGTAACATTGTGCAGAAATTTTGTATGTTGAATGCATTTTCAGGAAAGAATGACAGCAAGGCTTTCTTAAAGGGGATAAACAAAAAAAGAAACAGAACTTTTTTTTACAGTAATTACCTTCTTAAAATAATATTTTTTATTCCACAAATCATAGATTTCCTTCCCTTTGATCGTCTTCTCTATTGAATCTTGGAGAAATTTTCTTTTGGTTTTCTCTTTCATGTTGACCATGGTATCTCATACTCTTTTCTTTACAATCCTATGAGTAAAACATTTTTAAGAAATAAAGGATTGCGGGGGCTGGAGTTGTGGCTCAGCAGTAGAGTGCTTACCTAGCACGTGTGAGGCCCTGGGTTCAATCCTCAGCACCACATAAAAATAAATAAGTAAAATAAAAGTATTGTGTCCAACTATAAAAAAATATTTAAAAAAAGAAATAAAGGATTGTTTAGGGAAACTTCTGAATAGTTTTATGGGTTATGAGTTAGGACTAATAAAAATTATAGGATAATTTTCTTTCTAACAAATTAAAATCCTTTATTTTATTCAGGAAAAAATAGCTGCACTTTAGGTAAATAACACTGAAATCACCTGATGCGAAAATAGGACACATAAATGTGAAGTCCTCTTTTGAGAACTTCAGGAATTCGTGTTGGAAAAAAAGTCTTTATTGATAAGTCAATATAGAGTTATGATTTATAAGTGAGATTTATTGCTTCTCTTTGTTTAACTGATTCCCAGTCTAGTACTTCACTCATGTTGCCAACAGGACCATCTCATTCTTAATTTAATCTTAATTTCTTTAGGAGATTTCAGATGATTGATTTTTTTGTTGTTGTTGAAAAATATTTATTTTAAGGGGATATTTTCTAAGTCAAAGCTTTGTACATTTTTCTTTTGTTTATTTAATCAGATTTTGATATAAGATACCTTTTCTTTTTTGAGATCACTTTATAATATTGGATTTGAAATTATTTTAGATACCAAAAGTTATAAAAAACTTAGATAATTAGAGAAAAATTATTAAATTGGTGATGTTTTACTGTGCTGCATTTGAGATGGAGGAGCTGGACAAGCAGTATTCATTTTATAATGCAAATAAGAAACTTTCTTCACACTATAATATCTTATCCAAACTAATGCTATATGGTTAGAATAGTAGAATTATTCTTCACATTGCTGTTTTCAAAAAGTAAAAACCAAAATTGTGGATTTTTTTTTCCTTTTGTACTGGGTACTGAACCCAAGGGCTCTTACCCACTGAGCCCCCAGCCCTGTTTATTTTTTATTTTGAAACAGGGTCTTGCTAAGTTGCTGAGGCTGGCTTTGAACTTGCAATCCCACTTCCTCAGCCTCCCTAATCAGTGGGAGAATTGTGGAATTTTGAGAATATTAGCAAAAGTATAGAAGAGTGAAAATTAAGTTTTATTTATTAAAATAAGCAAATTTAGTAGAACTTAGCTGAGTAATATGTTCCTCACTTAAACAGTATGCCTCAGCAAATTAAATATCACTAGATAAAATCACTGGTAAGATACACTTTTGAGAATAGTGTATTTAGATGTTATCTGTAGAAATTATTTTTGTATTGTATAATGGCAGAAATTACCTCTATATTTAGAATGGAATAATAGGTGGGCATTTTTGTTGATTAATATCTCAACTTGGCTGTTACCAAGTCTGTTATCTTTGTAGAACTTTTCATCTACTTTTGTTTCTTGACACTGGTGATGATGAAAATAAGAATCTCAACATCCTGGTGATGGGGAGCGATTTATACTGATGTTTTCCTTTTGGAAAGTGAGGTCAAGTATTACTAAGTGCACTTAAAAAATAAGCTTTATAAGAATTTTTATAACTCTTCTCAATCAATATTCTGTCATTACTTCAATAAAATTAGAAAAGGAAAAATAGATCAGGACATGAAAATCAGGAAAACATGTAAAAATGACGTTTGATCAGTTGGTTGAATCATTTTAGCCTGTGAGGCTCAGGCCAGCTCTGAATAAATTTCTACTCACTTCCTTTATGTTACAGTGTTTCCTTTTGTAGGAAAAAAAAATGCCAAGTATTCTTTTTGTCATCATCAGGAAGTATCAATGAGGTTTCCTTTCTTTCCTTAATTTAGGACACATCAAAATTATCCTTCAAAAAACTGATATTGAACATGTATTAAGCTTCTGAAAGAAATATGTCCTCATAATTAGAATTTAGATTTGAAGGTTGACTCTTAACCTAAGACTTTATGTTTTGCTTGACTAGAAGTAGGCAAACAGCATTTACTTAAATACTAGATTTTTATTTAATGATAGAGATATGGCCTTTGCATTTAAGTATATTTTATATTCTTATTTCTAAAGAAATCACTAAAGATATCTTTAGTTGAATTTAAGAAGGTTAGCTCCTTTTATATATTTATATTATAGAATAAGCAGGATTGTCTTAACTGTCTTTCCAATGAAAAGATGCAAGTGCTTGGACAATTTTAAATGTAAATATAAGATTGAATATATAATATGTGTGTTCATGCACATGCATGTGTAAGGGTGTTGGTTTTTTCATATATCAGAGTTGTGGCAGTGCTTTTCCTGATGAAATTAAGACAACAATATATTGTTATCAGTCTCCACTTCAATATTCAAAATATGGACAACAGCCTTACCTCTTTAATTTAAATGTAGTATATTCTAGGCCGGTAGTTCTTAATTGAGATTACAGATCATATTTATCCCTGGAATATTTTTTTTAAATATATGAAGTCCAGGCACTGCTTTGGACTTTCTGAATCTTTTTACTTGATATTCTTGGCATAAAAAATTATGTCTCAGAAGTATTATATGTTTTCAAGTGTCGTCCATTGTAGAAATTATGTCCATTTACTTTTATAAACTAGATACAATATTGACAGATTTATTTAAAAACAGGCTTAATCATTATCCTGAGAGACATTTTGTCTAAAATTTGCTTTGAATTGCTTTATTGTCTTTGTTCTTCATGTACAGAAACAACCAAATTTCTGTTTTAGTTGCATTATTCTTATATTATGAACTCTTTGCAGACCTTTCATATTTGAAAATTTTTAAGGAAGGAATTTTTTTTAATACCTTTATTCTATTTATTCATTTGTATGTGGTGCTGAGGATCGAACCTGGGGCCTCACATGTGCTAGGCAAGCACTCTACCGCTGAGCTATCGCCCCAACCCCAAATATTTGAAATTTTTAACTAATATTTGCCTTCAAAAACGTGTGACTGTGCTTGGGTTGTGGCTCAGTGGCAAAGCACTTGCCTCGCACATATGAGATACTGGGTTCAATCCTCAACACCATATAAAAATAAATAAACAAAACAAAGATATTGTGTCCATGTATAATTAAAAAAAATTTAAAAAGAAAGTGTTTGCTCATAGCTAATATGAATTCCTAATAAAATCAGTATTTTACACACTTGAATTAGATAACATTTTAATAAGAGAATTAATAAAAAGCCTGAGTAGCTACAAATGCTAAAATTAAAACATAGAATTAGATCTCTTGTAGCTTTTAAGCTTATAATCAATAGAATCTTCCTAATTAAAAAGTAATGTATAAATTCTTTAAGTACTTCTGATGACTTCTTACATACAGCTTCTATATGGACATGATCTTTAATTTTTCATTAGTGGGCAACAGATCATTAACATTTAATATATCTGGAAAACAATTAAATTTTCTTTGTTAGAAAATGTAAGACCATCCTAAAATAAAAGGGTGATATGATGTGATTTTATTTAGTATAAGAATTTTATGTAAAAGTGATCGTTTTATTAAAATATTTTTCTGATATATGGTAGTAATTCCTCACATCTTCTCAGATTATTATCTCACTAACTTTTGTCACATGTGTGTGGTTTCTAAACGTATTGCAGGATCCAGACCTATGAAGCTAATGTTTTAGTGACAAGTGAAAACACATAAATACAGTGTCATTTCTCTTTCTTTTAATGCTTGTCATCTTACAAACTTGACAATTCAGATGGAAAAGAACAAGTAGAAAGTCATTAATTCAACATTTTCCATGGTACAGTTTTCATGTTTCCTTAGAAACATTTTGTAAATATAACCATAATAATAATAACACAGTTTTATCATTTGAAAAATTATTCAGCTGGGTACTGTGGCAGACACCTATAGTCTCAACTCCTTGAGAGGCTAAGATGAGAAGACCACTTGAGCCCAGGAGTTAAAGATCAGCCTGGGCAACATAGTGAGACCCTATCTCAAAAAGAAAAAAAAAATCTATTTATATTTCAAAGTTGACTATTAATGAAGGTATATATGTCTCCACTTAAATGATGGCTGTTTCATTATTTACATTTATTTATAACTATTTTTGAGTATACAAAGTGATTAGCTGCTTGTAATGCTTATTATGATGTGAGTCTAAGAAAGTTTAGGATTTAGAAGAGATTGAAAATTTTACTGATTAAAACAGTTAACTATTTTTTAAAACAACTCTTATTCCTAATTGTTGTTTTTAAATTTTGATTTTGATAATATATTTCAACTTAAGATATATTAAAATTAATGGTTCTCTGGTAGTGTACTATTGGACTTTAAAATGCTATTTTGAGTGTTTTCTGTTGGTAACATTTTCCCACACTATCTAAACAATATATTATACCATTTAGTGAACTAGACCTACAAATTGATAAGTGCTACTCTTGTATTTTGAAGAGAAAAAAAAAGCCCTTATCTGTAATAGACATAATTATTTTGTTCTTCAGAATGCTGGATTTATATTAGTAAATAAGTGGTTCTGGCAGGGAGATACCAGTGTCAGATTTAACTGACAAATATTTCTTACGTAGGGATTAAAGAAAATAACTTGATTTCTTCCTTCGGAAATTAGATTGCTGTTCTTAAATTTTTAGTGGCTTAATTATATTAGTTTCTATACCCCTTCCAAAATTATGGTATGTTACAGTAGATTTTACTGATAAAGGTCTTTTACATTTTAGAACATGTTTTCCTATTCTCTTTTTACTAATTTCAAAGACTAATTCATAAACATCATCACCAAATCTTATTTATGACTACTACTTATTTTATAGTTAACTTTATTTAAGAAAGCTTGTTAGAAATCCATGTGAATGTTTTATTTAGAAACCCTTAAAAGATAGGCTTTCCTTCCCCAACTATTTGCTTTTATACACTTCAAGCAAAAATTTAGCAAAAAGTAATCAGAGATATCTGGTCAGCCGTTTTCTGTCAGATTCATTGGTATGAGAATCCATTAAGGCAGAAAAATTTCAAGCATATTTGATTAGTCTCTTTTGTCAGTGCTTCTGGGACCCAAATAAGTAAGAGCATTTCACTGTTTATTAATAGACGATGACAGTCTTGAATGCATGTATATTTAGAGGAGTTAGCTGAAAATTCAGAACAACTTGCTAAAAAAAAAAAAAAGTACTTAGAAATTGTGCTGCTACTTAAATATTTAAGAAATTCACAAAGTTGCGTATTTATTTTAAAGTGTTCCTTCTCATTTATTCTACTGGAATTGACCATGAAACAGAGAACATTAAGCCTTATTTATATCTAATTATTGACTGTGCAAACTGTGACTAACTGGGTATTTGTATGCCAAAAAAAAAAAAAAAGTTTTTGAGGAAGTTTTAGACTTAAAGATATGTAAATAATTTTGATTAGTATAACAAACTTGCTGTTAGTTTGGTGCAATACATTCTTTCCCTCCTTGTCCTTCTAAAATTAAGAATATTAAGATGTATGTTTTGTTCCATTAAGTGATGTGTTTCAAAGATTCTATGTGTGTACATGAGTTAATGTTTGATTTGTTTCTGTATAGTGTGATCAAAGATAATAATTGAAGATTTTGCACTTTTTTAGTCCCTTGGAAATTTGTATTCTAACACTTTTAAAAAATGTACATTTATTTTGTACATAATAAATTAGCTTTGTATATGAAAATCAGTTTGAATCAAATAAAAACTGTTACCTTCAACAGTTGATTTATCTATAGTCTGTTTAGAACTTGGCTTTGGCAAAATTCTTTGTTAAGCAGAAAATAAAGAGGCCATTGTTTATTTCTTGTATGAGTAGAAGTTCTTTGGTAGTCCTATGTGCACAAAATAAATATTATTTTAATTAATCAGATTTTGTCATACATACACAATAGCCTTTAATTCCAAAACCACCTCAAAAATATTTTGCATTTTTTGCCCTTATCAAATGATCATATATTGTAACTCTCTACATGTAGTTAATCAAATAATACATTAGGGTTTTTTTTTTTAACCTTATTTCCTTTCACAATTAAAATCTTTTCTCCATCAACTTCTCTTTTTTTTCCCAGTGCTGGGGATGATACCCAGGGCCTCAAGCAAACACTCTACCATTGATTTACACCCCACTCCCAGCCATTTTCCAGAAACTTTTGACAATCTAAATATTGACCTAATCCTGTTTTTGTTAAGATTAATAGAACCTAATCTACCATAAGACAGAATTCAAACTGTTTCACGTTCTTGCCTATACTTTTTTATCTCTAGATCCAAAATAATAAGACAATAGAAATGAATTTTATCCTTGACTACTACCACTTACAGTACTAATATTTATTAAAGACATGTCACTAGAATTAAAAATTTCTGCATTAATTCATCTGGAGATTTCTGAGTCACTGCACTGGACAATCAAAGCCAGGTTATAGGCTTACTTAAAACTTCCTTGCTTTTGTAGAACAAGTCTGTAGCATAATATTAGGCATTAAATAAATGTGTTTGTTTCACACAATAATACTGGAACCTATATTTTCTTGTCATGTACTCTCACATCATTCAATTTTTGAAAATATGAAATTAAACATCTTTTAAAACTTCTTTTATCCAGATTTTTTTAAACTATTCACTGCTGGATGTAGAATGATTTTAAGTCTATTCAATTCTTGTAAAACTCTTTACCTGATTAGTATTTGACATATTTTCTAAAATGTGTATTCATTCAAAGGTGGCTTACTTATAACTTTGTCATCACTGAAAAAGTTAGGGAAAGGCTACAGAAAATTTATGAATTATCATTATTCATGTTTTAGTAAGACAGAAATTTTTTAAAAGATGGACCGTTTTATGGGCTGGGATTGTGGCTCAGCTGTAAAAGCACTCGCCTAGCACGTGCGAGGCCCTGGGTTCGATCTTTGGCACCACATAAAAATAAATAAATAAAAGTATTGTGTAAAAAAAATCAGTGTACCAAATCATTCAAATGTTTATGATATAATGATGATTAATTTAACTATCCAGCCTAGATCTATTGTTCCAAAATCCAATGTAAGCATTTTGTCAGAATGCCCTCCAGGTACATCACAAAATCATTTACAAATGGGAAAATAAGGACTTGGTTGCATAACTTTGGCACATCTTCGAAGAGGTTGAAATGAACATTGGTGGCCTAAAAATTTCATCAAATTTTGCATGTGATAGGGAATATGCAGATCATCTGGAACTTTAATTATTTGGGTACAAAATTTTGAGATAGTCTACAAAGACTCAAAAAGTCATTTTTATATGATCAATTGTATCATATATTCATACAAGCCACCATCTGTGCCAAAGGGTTCTGCATCCATGGATTCAATAACCAATTGCAGATCAAAAATAATTAAAAACAGCCAGTTGTGATGGCGCGGGCCTGTAATCCCAGTGGCTTGGGAGGCTAAGACAGGAGGACTGAGAGTTCAAAGCCAGCCTCAGCAAAAGCAAGGCGCTAAGCAACTTAGTGAGACCTTGTTGCCGCAGTCTGGCTGGGCACAAAATCACGAGCCACTCAAGCAGGAACAAACTTTATTTTTAAACTGCAGGAAAACACTTCACACAGCTCCCGGGGAATCCTCCGGAACGCCACGAGGCTTGTCCAGGAACCCCCAGCCGGAAATATCTCTCCCAGAAATCCCTCCTCCTGCACTTCCCCAACCAATGGGAACTCTCGGGGGATCCCCAGAAATCCCCATGAGAACTCCAAAATAGTGCTAGAACTCAAAAGTTGCGGCAGAGGCGGATAGTAATTCCTCGCCTGTCAATCAATACTGTTGGCAAAATGCCAGGGGCCATACAGACTAGGCTGTGGCTCTCAGCAGATATGTAAATGAACAGAAAAAATAGGCTTCATCTGCACCCATAAATATTTGATGAATTGTTTTCAAGTATGCTAAAACAATTCAATGAGGGAAGTACATTCTCTGCAACACAGGGTGCTAGAACTGGTTATCCATATGTAATACAATGATCTCTCATCTTCATCTTAAAAATTAACTTTAAACTAGTTCTAAGCATAAAACCCACAACTATATACTTCTAGATTAAAGCATAAAAATGCATTTTATAGTCATGTCACAGCTAAAGAATCTGAGCTTAGAAAAGTTGAATTTTTTTATAATGAGCTACAATCAAACCTCTCATCCTCTGCTCTAGAAGGAGACTTTATCTTTACTAATGAGTAAGCAAATTTGCCTTCTAAGAGTATCTTAGAGTATCTCCACCTTCCAAGGTTATCTGCTTTCTAAACATCCTTGAAAATATGTCGACATAAAATGCAGTTAATATCTTATTCCCAAGAAACTTTCTCAACCCTTGCCTTCATTAGCTGTGAAGACTAATTGTCAGACTACCAATTTTCCCCCCAGTTGCTAGGTAAATGCTCTACCAACTGAGCTCCATCCCCAGCCCAAGATCCCCAAATCTTAAAGACCAGAGGACATAGGCAAGAGTAGCCCGGATTCCATAAATAGACCATTGTCGCACCAGTACATGCTGAGATGTTATAGGAGATTCTGTATGGTCAGGTAGATGAGGAGGAAAAAAGCCAAAACTCATTGTACAAATGGAATGTTCAGTAAAGCCAAAAATGAGTAGCAACCGAACTGAAACCTTACTTATGGGTGGTATTGAAAGATGGTAGCACAGGAGAACCATCTCAATTGGACAGTCTTTAGTGATAAACCATGCATTCACTTTGGGCTAGACTATATACAAAATCGTACAGAATCATACAGTGATGAATGCTCAGGGAGCTGGTCAGAGGCATAAATGGAAAAAAAAAAGATGTTAAGAAGACTGGGGACAGGGTGCAGGGGTTATAGCTCAGTGGCAGAGTGCTTTCCTAGCACGTGTAAGGCGCTGGATTCGATCCTTAGCACCACATAAAAATAAGTGAAATACAATATAAAAAATGTTATTTAAAAAAGACTGGGGACAGGAATCTCTGGGATAGAGGGTATGTACATGGGTATGTGAAACAAGAAAAGTATGAAAATCACACATATTAACACCCACCACAGAACATCCACCCTGAAAGAGGCACTAATCAATCAAGTGGACAAAGTGAGCAATCCAGTTCATGTCAGGCACCCCCTTCATGGGCCTCTTCAAAATGAACACAAGAAAGGAATGGCCACAATATAAAAAATGGAGGCTGCACTTGTCACAATAGCATGAATTTTCACCAAAGCTGATCTAGCTATTGCCACTGCCAAATGTCTGGCAACAAAGATCAATGCTTAGCCCCCAATATAGATAGCATCATTCTTCAAGTTGCTGTAAAGCGGAACTCAATAGGTGTGGTGCGGGAATCGAAAAAATCTGCATTTCTCAAGGTGGCGATGGCAGCGGCTGGCCCCACACTTTTAAAAAACCGTTGGTTTAGTGTTTTTTCTGTAGTTGCTTTTTGTTTTCTTCTTTTAAGTCCACCGGAAAAAGTATTGGTTGGGGCCAATCAAAGTTAACTCAAAACGTTTCTTGGAAGCCTGGGCTCTGCTCTCCCACAGCACGGTCCACAGTTGCGTCCGCCCCAATCCTGAGAGGCAGGGCCTCGACCGGCCCCTCGGCGATCCATTGCTCTCCCCGCGGGCCGGGCGCAGGCCTGGTCCCGCCCCCGACGGTCCATACGTCGCGAGGCCCGCGGGAGCCTCCGCCCACAGAATTCCTCTGGTTGGGCCAGGCTGGGGCGCTGCGGCCACAGCCAAGGATCCGGGACGTGGCTCCTGGACGGAGAACCATGCTGGACTTCGCGATCTTCGCTGTGACCTTCCTGCTGGCGCTGGTCGGAGCAGTGCTCTACCTCTACCCGGTAACCGCCGCCTTGATCCTCGGGGGGTTCCTGACAGCTGCTCCAGCCTCTGTCGCCCGCATCCACGTTGACCTGCTCGGGGCGGGCCCGCGGGGAGGGCCTGCGCCCGAGACCGCACCCTAGTCACGTGACGCCCCGCCCCTGCCGCAGCGCTTCGCGCTCGGAGCTGCTGAGAAGGGACCCTGCGCGGCGGGTCCACGCGGGACTGCCTGCCCCGCAGCCCTTCCGGGAGTAACTCTGCTAACCCCTCATCTAGTATATTGGGGAGGAAACGTTTCTCGATTCGCGAGGATTCTCGCAGCATTTTGTGCCGTCGTTTCTCCCATCTGTCAGGCGATTGCTGTATTCCAGAGAGCTGGGGCCGGGGTCTTGCAGGACCGCAGAGGCAGGAGCGCCGTGCTGCGGGCTGCGCTGCGAGTCTGGCCTCACGTCTCCCTAGCTACTTTCTCCACTGCTTTTGTTCACCTTAGAGGGAGGTTCTCAAAACTGGAGGGTTGACGGACGAGGAAGCATCCTTAAAACATATTCTAGAAAGCAACGTCGTAGTTTCATGATAGAAGATGAAAAATAGCTGAACAGCTCCAAGTACTTAGGTGTTCTTTTCAGAGCTGGTAAATGGATGAGGCTGGAATATTGAAACTACACAATCTGGAACTTCGGGGAAATCTTATCCGAGAAACTAAACATTTGTAGTGGCTGCAGGTTTTTTGATAATCTTTAAATAGGACTATTTATGATCAGCTTACAGAATCAACACTGTTGTGAGGGAATTATGCCATTAACATGGACTTTACAACGTTTGTGCCTTTCCACAATGTCACAATGTAGTGAATAATAATTTCACACGCTACATAACTTTGATCAGCTTTAATTCACTGAAAATACTGGTGGTTTGCTTGGCTGAGTCATGACTCAGGCAATCACAAATTCTTTATTTCAATCTTTAAAATTTTTTTTTAGTTGTAGATGGACACAATATCTTTATTTAAAAGAATATTTTATTAGTTGTTGATGGACCTTTATTTTTATTTATATGTTGCTGAGAATCCAACCCAGTGCCTCACTAATGCTAGGCAAGCGCTCTACCACTGAGCTACAACCCCAGCCCCACAGTATCTTTATTTTAGTAATTTATTTTTATGTAATGCTGAGGATGGAACCTAGTGCCTCATGTATGCAGGGCAAGTGCTCTACTACTGAGCTACAGCCCCACCTCCTATTATATTTCAATCTTTTTTTTAATTAATATTTTGTTTTTTAGTTGTAGTTGGGCACAATAACTTTATTTTTATGTGGTGCTGAGGATAGAATCCAGTGACCTGCACCTTCTTGGTAAGCACTCTACTGCTGAGCCACAACCCTAGCCCCCTCTATTTCAACCTTAATTTCTAATATCTGTAACACTCAAGTCACACACTGAACACAATTTTATATATGTTTCAGATGTATATGTCTCATGTAGTCATATATATCAAGTATATATATAGATTAATAAATGTTTATACACACACAGAGCTTGGTTGGCCTTTGGGTTAAATATAGTCACCATAGATAGTCAGATTAGGTTTTTTTAAAATTTTTAAAAATTCTAATTAGTTATACATGACAGTGGAATGCATTTTGACATAAATGAAGTATAATTTCTCATTCTTGTAGTTGTACTTGATGTAGAGTTACACAGGTTGCATAATCATATATGCACAATAATATCTAATTCATTTTATCATTCCTACCCCCATACTGCTCTCCTTTCACTCCCTTCTAATTCAAAGTATCTGTAATTCCACACACCCCTCCTTTACTGTGAATTAGCATCTGCTTATCAGAGAATACGTTTGGCCTTTTGTTCTTTGGGATTGGCTTATTTTGCTTAGCGTAATATTCTCCAGTTCCATCCGTTTACAGGCAAATGCCAAAAATTGGCTCTTCTTTAAGGCTGAATAACATTCCATTCTGTTTATGTACCACATTTTATTTATCCATTCATCTGTTGAAGGACATCTAGGTTGGTTCTATAGTTTAGCTATTGTGAATCGAGCTGCTATAAACATTGATGTGACTGCATTACTGTAGTATGCTGATTTTAAGTCCTTTGGGTATAAACCAAGGAGTGGGATGACTGAGTCAAATGGAGGTTCCATTGCAAGTTTTCTGAGGAATCTCCATACTGCTTTCTATAGTGGTTGCACCAATTTGCAATCCCACAAACAATATATGAGTGCACCTTTTTCCCCACATCCTTACCAGCATTTATTGTTGCTTGTATTCTTGATAATTGCCATTCTGACATGAGTGAGATGGAATCTCAATGTAGTTAAAAAAAAAAAAACATTAAATGACAGCAACAAAGTAATGATGTATACATCAAATGGGCTATACAATGAAGTTTCATTGAGCAGCACCCATTTATCACAAGGCATTATGAAAGATCAACCTCACTTACACATTACTTTTATTAGAAGTAAATATGATCAGCTGCCAACATCGTAAATGGTTATGAATCTAACTTAGGTTGTCCAAGAAGTCACTCATACTTCTGATATGGAGGGATAACATGCCTTCCTTGTGCAAATTGGTAGACTACACAGAGAGATGCTTAGAATGTCTACAATTATGACGTTCTCCAATGTTAAAGATAATTGGAATTCTTCACAAAAGGACTTGCACACTCAAAAATGAACTGTTTCTTACACAAAAAGCTTACAAAGACTAGGACAGTGGCTCAGAAACCACTTTTCTAAATACAGTTCTATATAAAATAATTTCAAGATATAATTATTAGGTTCTTATGTAGCACCCTATTTAAACAAGAATAAAATGGTTAAATATATGAAAACTGCAACACCACAAAGGTTGAGCCATTTTACTAGCATATTTAAACAATCTTGGAACAGGCAAGAAAAATATTCCGAAGGATGAATCATGGTTGCATACCTGATTCCAGCTATGACATGCATACTGTGAGACAGCACAATTTACCTTATTACCTAGTTCTGTAGCAGAATGATACTTGGTTTGCTCTTAATAGAAACAACATGAATGTAACTGACAATGTTAGAAACAGACAATGGCCTTATTTGTATGCTGAGAATCTGTGTCCCTCTAGTCCAACACCGCTCAGTGTGCAATCTGTCAACACATAAACAAATAGTGCAGGATTCATTTCAGTGAAATCTAGGCTCCTTGGTCTAACCAAAATCAATTCTTGGTTGATACTGCAATACCGTAGGGTATGACTGATACTGAGGGCCATCCTGAGAGCAGACTTGTGATGCTGAGCAGTTCAGACACAGAAAGTTTTCTCCTCTTAGTCACCATCTTATCATATAGATGAATTCCATAGTATGATCCTTCTCCATAATGTCACCATTGCACTGCATATGCAACTCATAAGAACTTGGAAGTTTTAGTTTTAAACTTAGACTTTTTAGTAGTTCCCACAGTTACACATGTAGAACATTGAATGAATTTCTTCATTAGAGCCTTTACTACATTGTGTCCTGATTGTCCATTATTTCATAAACAATCCAGACAGCAATTTGTGGGTCACTTCTATGATAGTCTTTATCATCTTGATTTTCATCACCTTCTTTGCTTTAAATTTGTTGACTTTTAAAGCATCATCTTGCCCCCCCCCCTTTTGTTTTTGGTGGTGCTGGGGATTGAACCTAGGGCCTTGAGCATGAGAGGCAAGAAGTCTACTAACTGAGTTATATCCCCATTCCCTTGCCCATTATTTTGAGGCTTATTTTTCTTCCAAAATGCCAATTCACGCTTAAATTCTTGTTCTCATAGCCCAGGTACTAGATTAAATATAATTTCCTCCAATGTATTATCCAATCTCAACATTTCTAATTGATTTGCTCGTGAACTTGGTTGCCACATCTTGGACAATCATTGCTGTCTTCAAAGGGCTGGACAATACAAATCTTACAAAAGGTATGGAGGCGTTCTGTCACTGTAGTTGGCTTGATCAGATACTCTTTATAGATATAGCAGGTAACATAAGGATTAAAATCTTTCACCAAATGTTTCCTTTGGGTAGCCATTTGTAGTTAGCTGGCTTTAGTAGCTTAAACAAACAGAGGTACTAAGTGGATGCACATCTGTTTCCAGGAGCTGGTATGGTGTTCCCAATAGGATGTCGTGAGGCATGAGAACTAATAACCAGATTTATCATGAGATCTCTGATAATCACTCCTTTCCAGAGCTCTGCTTTTCCGTATCCACCACCGTGGCTCCTCGATGGCCAGCACCAGTATGATGGCCTCAGGAAGAAAAAAAGTGAAAGAGAAACAGCACCCACTGGGGCCTAGCTGGTTCCAGGGCCTGACAGCCCTACCCCTGCAGGCCCTCAGTGTAGTTTTGATTTGCATTTCTCTAATTGCTAGAGATGTTGAATATTTTTTCATTTATTTGTTGATTGTATTTCTTATCCTCTGAAGTCTGTTCAGTTCCTTAGCCCACTTATTGATTGGGTTATTTGTTTTTTTTTTTTTTTCAGTGTTAAGTTTTTTGAGTTTTTTATATATCCTGGAGATTAATGTTGTATCAGAGGTGCATGTGGTAAAGATCTTATCCTATACTGTAGGCTCTCTCTTCACTTTATTATTTCTTTTGCTGTGAAGAAGCTTTTTAGTTTGATTCCATCCCATTTATTGATTCTTGATTTTACTTCTTGTGCTTTAGGAGTCTTGTTAAGGAAGTCAGTTCCTAGGCCGACATGGTGGAGATTGGGGTCACTGTTCTAGTGCCTAAGTCTTTGATCCACTTTGAGTTTTGTGCAGGGTGGGAGGGGTTTAATTTCATTTTGCTACACGTGGATTTCCAGCACCTTTTGTTGAAGAGGTTTAAACTTTTCTCCAGTGTTTGGTATGAGATAACTGTATTTATGTGCGTTTGTCTCTGTGTCTTCTATTCTTAACATTGGTCTACGTATCTGTTTTGGTGCCAATACCATGGCATTTTTGTTACTGTGGCTCTGTAGTATAATTTAAAGT